CGCGGATGATAATGGGCTATCTTGTGGATCTACGGTAGGAAGTTTGGCGCCCCTGGGTGTAGGATTAATGATAGACCAAAACTTTTTGGGATTTTTAGTTAGTACCTTTTTTAGGTCAACATTAAAAAACTGATGTTTCGCTGACTGCATTACGCGTTTGCACTCATTGGAAAACGCGTGAAAATGAAGCCAAATTTCATCAGTGTTTAACTTTACAGCCTTGCGGTATAAACGTTTTTTCTTTTTTAAAATGCGCTTTATTTTCACTGAGAACCAGGGGGGAGATGAGTCTGAGGTAAGTATCTTTTTAGGAATAAACTGGTTCACGGAGCTAAGCAGTGTGTCCTTGAAAAAAGTCCAATTGACCTCGACTGAACAATCATTGAAAGAGTTTTCGAAGTCTGCGAATGCCCGAATGAGAGTGGAATTCAGATCCACTATATTTGCCTTAGGGCAGTCCCAAATTATTTTCGAGGTCTTTTCTTTGTCCGGTACCTTTAGTGAAAGATTGATGGCTATGAGGGCATGATCACTAATCGGCGATAGGAAATGTATGGAAGAGATATGTTCAGGATGAGTAATAAAAAACAAGTCTAATGTTGAATTGCCACGTGTTGGCTGAGCAATTTGTTGATGAAGTCCAAATGCAGAAAGCAGGTGCATAAATTCTAAACACTCTAAGGGGTTAGTTACTACATGAAGGAATAGAACTGTCTGCCCAGTTATTACCGGGAAAGTTGAAACCTCCTGCTAGGATGATAATGTTGTCAGGATAAGACAAAAACACTTCTTCCAAGCTGGTGCCAAGTTCATCAACAAAGCCTCCTCCAGAGCTTGGGGGGGGGGGGTGATAACACACTCCCAGCACAAATTCTTGAAACAATATTTTAAATTCAATCCATAGAAGTTCAAGATTAGTAGTGACTGTCACAGCAGCAGACTCTAAAGCTTTAATAGCAATCAAACCGCTTCCTCCTCTGCAATGAGTACGATCTTTACGGTATATAGAAAAATCTGAATCAAGAAGCAGTTCACTTGGAACGTCACTATTCAGCCATGTCTCTGTGCCTAAAATAATCTGAGAATTGCACATGTGCGCATGTTCAAGTAAAATATCTTGTTTATTAAAAATGCTGCGAAAGTTTGTGAACAAAAATGAAAGTTGGTGTGCATGGGAGGCACGATCAGTTGACCTTGCGGGAGGTAGTCAAGGGCGCGTGCCGCTGACATAGTGTTTTTCAATCACGCTTTCGCTCTGAAGGTCGTAAACAAACACCTTATCGCCTACGTACAATTTGTTGTGCACAAGTCTGGTTCTCATCCTGTCCGCTCAAAACGTAGAACCGTATTCCCAAAGCTTGCCACGTGCGAGGCGTATCTTCGGACAATAGTCGTTTTCTATCCATACCTTAATGTTAAGGTTTTTTAGCTTGGGAGCGTTTCTGAATATAGCCATCTTGTCCCGGAAGTCCAAGAGCTTTATGATGATAGGTTGATAGAAATCCTGACGCTTCTGCCCTAAGCGTTGAATACGTTCAAAAACGCCAGGCGTCACGTTTAGATTATCTGATAGGAATGTTGTGACGGTTGTATCTAGCTCTTCAGGGGTTTCAGTGGATTCTTCTGCGATCCCTTTGATGATAATATTGTTTCGTCGCAGTCGGTTGTTAAGGTCGTCTACGGTTGCTGTTAATTCTTCAACAAGTTTTTGTTGTTCCGCAACAGGCCCAAGTTCAGCTTTCACAAATTCAAGGTCCGATTTCAGTGAGGGAATACCTTTGGTAGCCTTGGAGAGTTCAGTGACCCTACCTTTAATCTCAAAGTGTTATCAGTTTGGTACTCATGAGTTGATTTTGTCAGAAGATCAAGAGACTGCATGATAGCATCCAGTTTAGCAGACTCAGCACTTACTGGTCCAGGATTAAGTTCCACATCACCAGATTGCATTAATATACACGCCAGGCAAAATAAAAGCAGAGAACTGGGTCGCGGACCAACATAGCGCGCAAGGCATATTAGCGGTTTGAAGAGTCGCGACCCTCTGTTGACCATATATGTCGTTGATTTACGCCGGCAACCGAAAAGACCTATATGGGCACAGTACACAGACAGATCTACACCCATGGCCTGGGATCAGCAGCCAGCAGAAAAAAAAAAAGAAAAAAAAACATACAAAGGCAAATGACGTAAGGTATTACCTGAATAAAACAAGCGATGCAGTTAGCCCCAAACATCAGACTGGCCGCAGATCCCGCCGAGCGCTGAACTTGACGGTCTTTTGTAGCAGGGCACACGTGGGCACAGGCACCAATCCAAACGAAGCAGCACAGTGACTCTGCAGTGATGACAGTGCCGTCGCTGAACAGTCTTGAAGCATCCGTTAACAGCTTGTCATCGCAGTGGTAACGAACTTGATAGTAGGTTGGCCAGGGAGCGATAGCAGAGCCCGTCAAGCGAGGATGCCGTGGAAACCAGCGAAATATGATCATGAAATCATATTTCTACGTTGCTATATCGCTGCTAAGATTGCATTGTCTTTTATAATCATAGAAAAGGCGTGTGGCAATATTTGTACTATTGGCAAAGTCATGTATTAGAGTCATGATCGTCCAAGACGGCGTACTGTCTTTTTTGGTTCTTTTTTTTTCATCCACTGTACCCTGCAAGCCTATCATGAAAAAAAAAGAAAAAAAGCTTTAGGCTATAGAAAACTGTCTGTCTATATTCTGTTACGCCATTGAGTGGCAGTGCGTCCCCTTTTTAGAGGCGCCGCTGAAACAGCTGACGGCGGTGTAGAAGCGGTCGCCGTGCTGACAATCCGCTGCGCTTGTTGCAGTGGTTGCAGGTACGTGCGGCGCAGAGTGGTCGCTCCGGTTGCAACATTCGCAGTCGTAGGTAACGCGCTCGTTGCAAATGTCTAAACCAGCCTTCCCCGTCCTCCCGAGGCGAAAGTCAACGTGCCGACATTGTTTGACATAACGTACCAGAGGTTACGCTGCTATGCCAAACGTTGGTTTCATTATGACTTGCCCCAACCGCAAATCGAAGAACGCCCGAATATGTCTGGCGTTTCATCGTCCTCGGAACCCGAACACGACTCCGTAGCGCTGCTATCGTCCACATCGCAGGTCGGAGTGGCGTCATAGGAAATCATCCCCAGGTCGGCTGTCCGCCGAAGAATCTCAACCTATAACGGCGTCAGGTCATCGAGCGTAGAGAACTCCGCCGTGATCGAAGCTCGAATGACAACAGTGCTGTCAACGTTACTAAAACACTCAGTTGGGAAACTGCATAGAGACTGCTCTGAAAAAGTGGCCCCGATCTGTCCACGAGAACCGAGCTAATAGCGAACACAACGCCGCCATTTCTCCCGCAGTGGCCACTCGAGGAACTGCACGTGACTTCAATTTTGCCTTTAATCAGCCATTTTTGCGCCGAAACAGATACAGTGGAAGAGGTTGCAGGGGCGCCACCCCTGTCTCCCCAGCGGACGCGCCGCGACTTACTACTGAAGTTAAAATGCACCTCGGTCAGGAAGTGCTACCTGAAAGCACCACTGAGGCATGGTTGTATAAAAACCATATTAATTGTGCTGCAAAACCCTGCAAACTAAAGATTTTAAAAACATCACGCGCCCATCATTTTGTACTATACCCCAATAAATGTCATACAAAAAGAGTCTTTTCCATTTGTTTTTACGGAAAAACATGCTTTCTAAAAGCTCAAGGTGACCACAGCACAGACAAATGATAAAGAGTGGTGCTGTTGTCGTATTTAGCTTGGTCTTGGCGGACGCCAGCGGCCCAAGTTTCGACGGCGAGTTTCCCAACTCAGTGTTTTAGTAACGTTGAGTGCTGTTAAGTTTTTTTGGGCGAAGTCGCCAGGACGCGGTCTAAAAGTCGCCAGTTTTAGCGAAAAGTCGCTGAGTGGTGATGATGATGATGACCTTTCTTGGATTTGTTTTTATTGTATAAGACGTAAAGTTTCTTTTTTTTTTCCAAACATTATTTATTTTTTATTTTTTTGTGGCGAGACAAGTGAGTAGTCGGAGTCGGCCGTCCCATTCCCAAGGGACTCGCCAACATCTTGAGTGACTCAAGGCATTGGCGAGAAGATCCTGGTTCATGAACAAAACAGCGGAAGGCTGTTCTGCTTCATCCTTATCGAAAAAAAAAAAAACGCTTTAAGACGCAGAGTTTTTTTACTGTTACAAAGGATTTTTTTTTAAACACCTGATAATCCCTGAAAAATGGAGTGGCTCTGAAGTGCTTCGGGGTCGGAGAATAAAAATAAGTGAGATCGAGAGCTGTCCCCTGGAAGCCACCGGATAGCTATCCGACCGACATATTTTCCCCGTCCACGTAGCTTTAGCAACAACAATTTACATAACTGAAAAAAAAAAAGTCGTTAAGACTCCAAAAACACAAAATTGTCGTTTAGGACGACTGAAAACACTTTAAATTTAGCGACTTTCTCGCTAAGTTAACACCACTAAATGACAAAGAGTTCGGCCGGTGCGGCTACCTCAGGATTGCTGCGCGACGGAACGTCGTCCAACGCCATTGGCCCGAGAACATTTTGATATGCGAGTGGTGACCAATGAGAGTGGTTTCGTTTTCGGGTGGATCTGAGGTTTGGCAGCCTTTAATTACATTTTTATTAAATAAATGATCACCGAATGACTATATTTTTTGGTTTTTAGGGATACTTAGGGCGTCTAAATTCAGTTGTCATCATCAAAACACAAACTCAAAAAACCACTTGAGTGCCCCTTTAAATTGTAGTTCTAACTGTCGTAATATCCCGAGGAGTGGCCCACCTAAAATTGAGAACAATGAGGCGAAGATGAGGGGTAGGCTAACTTTCGGAGGTTTTGTTGGAAGCGAGGGGCCGCTTTTTAGACACAGTTAACGCACCTATCGGAGACACGTTCCACGCACCGTAGTGGCGGTCTACGCTTTGAAAAGAGGCCGCCCAAAACAAACGTGTTTGATCCGCAGTACCTGGTCCTGAACAACTGCGGGCTCGTGTGCGGTGGAAGCTACGAGTCCATTCTTGACGAGCTGGGCAAGTACGGAGACGTCGAGGACATTGTGCTCCTTCCGGGTCAGCAGTTTGCGTTCGTCGCCTTCCGAGACGTCGCGGACTGCGTCTCGGCTGCGACGTTTTTGAGCACGAGACCGTCACACCTCGTCGCCGACGGATCGGTGCACTCCGCATTCGTGGATAAAGGTACGGACGTTTCTGGCATCTGACTAAGAAGCATCTCTTGTTTCCTGTTGCCAATTAAGGAAGTTTCACATAGGTTACGACAGACAAGTGTGTCCAATCACCTGCGTGTGGGTGTCTTTCAATGCCATTTCGTCAAATAAATCCTTAGATGGCTTTACAAATTGTGTGTATATTTTAGATGCGAGCTCGACACTTTGATTTACTCGTCACAACCATATTGTTTTCCTCTTTGTGTGTTGTGCATGTTGTATAATCACGAACGTGCTTTCCATCGAGGCTTCGGTCATTCTGAGACGTGAAATAGTAAAGCAATATTATATTATCTTTATATACTTCCGTCTCAAAATCTTGCCGGATGCCATGTTGACACACATTCACCCTATGCCAGTGCTTCCCAAGCTCTGCTTCCCTGCAGCTAGTCAAGTAGATAAAATATTACATTGCAACGTCTGGCTCACACGGAAAGAATAAAACATTGAAATGGAGAAAGGACAGGCACTTGCAGTTCTTTCAACGAGCAATGACACATTTATATGATCATTGCTCGTTGAAAGAAGTGTGAGTTTCTGTCCTTCGTCCATTTCAGTATTTTATTCTTTCTATGTAAAGTAAAGTTTATCCAACCCGCTCTGCTACGTGTATGCAACCTCTGGCTCGTCAGGATGCCACAAGCTTTTCAGTGCATGCGCATAAAATTGATGTTGAACTTCTTTTTTTTTTGTGCAGTTAATATAATAGGAGCGAGTCAGCTGGGCTAGAGACCATCGTAAAAAGTACATGCCTGCAAGAATGACTGTTCCTAACTACTGAAATCAGTTTGTTTGTTAGAGCGCACTGTCGCAAACCAAGGGCAGAGTTTGGACACCTGAACTCGTAGTACCGGCTCGACGTTGAGCTGTGACCTGTACTTTGTTTTTATTATTGCCACTGCAAAGAAGGCTATTTATTTCCTTTTTTTTCTTTTTTCAAGTTCCCGACTTGCTTTGCGAAACCCCCTTGGGGTCGCGATCCACAGTTTGGGTAACACTGTGTTGATTCATGCATGGAGGCAGTGTTTTCAAGTTCGCTCGAGTTCTTTAGAGCTGCGATCAACAGCGTCTTCCAGAATAGACGGGGACACAGAAGAGCATTGTTTGGCACTCGATTTTTATACGTACTGGTCTTCATCCGTAGCACAGATTGGCCGGCCATCGAGTGTGACCCATTGGCGGACCAAAGGTAACCTTAGCCATACAGACCAGATGCCAAAGCTTCAGAAAAATCGTTATTTATTCGAAAGTTACGAGCAATTTCCTAAAAATTTTGGTTTATTTGTGGAGTGAAAAATGTGCTGTAAATATTTTGGGGGGCACCCCGCGATTTATTTGGAAACCGTGGTGATACTTGCAGTGCCGGAGCACAGCAGCTGCGGGGCCCCCTTCCTGGAGCATCCCCCGGGCCTGCAGCTGGTGCGGGAGGCCGTGGACGAGGCTGAGGAGGCATTGCTCTGGCGTCTCGTCTCCTGGGACCGGGACTGTCGCGGTGAGTGCCAGGACCGAACGTGGAGCTTTTTCAAAAAAACTTTGTCTTGGCCCCCGGGTAAGATATATATTGGTGTGGACACCGAACACGTCACAGCTGCCTGACAAAGTCCTCTCCTTGGCTTGGTTGCAACCGGGCAACCACCAGGCGACCCTTCGATAATTGGCTAAATGTTGCCTGTTGCGGGCCCGTTTCCCACACTATTGAAGACATGCTTGGTCTGAAAGTTGATTTTCTGGGTGTGCCATGTCATGAAGAACTTGGCATTTCCGCTACGTGCATTGCTTAGACTCAGCTTTGTCTTTGGCCCTAGTTTTGTGCTGTTTCATTGGCAGATATGCTGTCAGAATGGGCTACTGGGGCGTGCACCAGTAGGACTTTATCGGGTCAATCGCGTCGCCATGTTGCCGGCCAGTGGGTCCACACTTTTATATATCCTGCACTATTGTCCCGGCAGACCTACTCCTCATGTTGCGCAATACGCTTGACTGTGACGAGCTGTTGGCGTCGATGTGGTGCGGTTTCCATTCGGGAAAGCCTTAGAGTGTCTGTACACTTTCTATTCAGATATTCATTCGAAGTGTCTAATGACACGGTTGCAACAAACTTCAAATTTGATGTTTTTACAAAGTGACATATTTAGTTCACTAATTTATACAGTCGGAGCACGCAGCGTACCCAGGTTCAATAACATGGGCAAACAGTTTTTTTTTTCTTTTTTAACATTTTGCGATATGGAACGTAAAGAAATAAAATAAACACCAACAAGTAAAAATTGCACACACATACGAAATACAAAAACACTTTTTAGCAAGTTATTGTTATGATGCAGTTTTTCAAATCAAGGTTCACACTTACACAGATTGATGCACTTGTTTTTAAATGAAATGGGATTGTGCTCATTTACAATATGGTTGTGTAGTTTGTTCCAGTCAGTGATACAAAATACTAAGGGAGAAAAAGGGAAAGTGTTAGTACGGCACTGAATTAATTCAATTTTGCAGGAATTATCTAATCTGGATAATACAGAATTGGCAGCCCGGCAGTAAGCAGATTGAAAATTGTGATCTGAGTATAATAGACACCTTGAGAAAAAAACACAATCGGGCAATTGTTTGTCTTTTTCCTGGAAGAGGAATATTTATGTTAGTTTTTAAAGCAAAGACACTAGTTTCGGATGAATAATCACTGCATATAAACCTGGCTGCTTTGTTCTGAATAGATTCGAGCCTCGAGATTAGGTAACTTTAGTGTGGGAACCAAATGATGCTTGCATAATCTAATTTGAGGAGGATTATTGTTTTGTACGCAAGTATAGCTTCCTTTCAATGCAAGCTAGATATAATGTTTGTCTAATGAAACTGGCTGCTTTTAGCGTGCTATTTGTTATTTGCTTGATGTGCTCATTCCATGATAATGTGTCTCTAAAATACATGCCCAAATACTTGTACAATGATAAGTGTTCTAGTGGTTGTAAGAGTAATGAATACTGGGTTTGTGTTTTAGTGGAAGATTTAGTTGCAGACATTTGTTTGCATTTACCAGTGTTAATGTTCATCTGCTATAGGGAACACCATGAAGATATCATATTTTAATAGTCTGCAATATTGGGATCATTAGGTGTATTTATTTTTTGGCAAATAATGCAATCATCAGCAAATAGTGTAATTGTTGATTTAATCTATGGTGGTAGGTCATTACTATATATTACAAACAATAAAGGCCCGAGTACACTAGCCTGAGGGACACCGGATGCGACAGTATCGGGACTCGATGTTGACTGGTTTATTCTTACAAATTGTATTTTATTTAACAAAGAAGAAGATATCGAGTTTATAGTAAATGGGTGTATCTGAAGATGTGAGAGTTTGAGAAGAAAGGGATGATAAGGAACAGTGTCAAATGCCTTGGCGAAATCGATAAAAATTATATCTGTCTGAGCTGTGAGATGAGTATTAAAGTGAAGGTCAGTAACGAATTCGAAATGCTGGCTAGTACGGATGTGACCCTTTCTAAAACCATGTTGGTTAGTAAAAGTTACCAGCGATTTTCGGAAACTTTCAACGGTATAACGGCAGACGACAGAGCCCACGAATACACAGGGCTAAATGGCACAAACTGCCAAGAACAGGCCCTATTTTCCCGTGGAAAGTTTTCCGAAACTTTGGCACCTGGTCCGGGCCGCCAGGGATACATCTGGGCAAAGACTGAGCGTCTGGTGATGCATACCTTATTTTTGCAGTGAAAAAAAAATAGCTAAATTTTTTGGGGATACGTTGTCCACTGTATGGAGCATGAGTGTGCCGAAGCGCGTTTGGACGTAAGGTTGACAGTCGAGCCACGTCTTGCCTCTCCGACGACGCAGCTTTGAAGCAGCGCGAGGTGAGGCACTTTGGCTATGCCTTCGACTACGAGCTGCAAGGGGTGCGCAAGGATGCCCCGCTCGCCGAGCCCATCCCCGAGGAGTGCGCGCCTTTCCTCGGCAGGCTCGTCGCCTCGGGCCGTCTGAGCGGGCTTCCCGACCAGCTCACCGTCACGCGCTACCTGCCCGGCCAAGGTGAGGTCCAAGGTCACATTCGCTCGTGTGTTTTGCCGGTACTCCTAGTACCGGCTGCCGGGATTGCAACGTCACGCAACGCACCGGCGTCTGCAACTTCATTTGTTGCCACTTCAAGACTACTTTTGATGCACGGGACAGATGGGACGCCGACGCACCAGTCCGAAAACACGTTTTTGGCACCATACGCGCGCTCCGGTAACTCCACAGTCCTTAAGTTACCTGGTCTGAAACCTTTTTGTCGTGCCGCTGGAAAGTTTTCCCTAGGGACTAATTGGGGCTCCGGAGGTGCACCACCGATGTTGGGAGTCAACCAGTCGGATCGTACGAAAAACCCGACAGGCGGATGTGGGTATGGAGCAGCTGTCGTGGAAAACGTCACCGGATGCATCGAGTACTCTTTCGGGAAAACCTCCTGGACCCGTCGAAGAAACAGACAATTGGAAACGCCATTCATACTTGAGACCTCGCGGTTGTACTGTGTACAAATTAATTGAAATGCCACGTGAAGTGGCATTTCAATTAAACATTTGTTTCGTTTTTTTTACATTTTACGAGGGTTAACATCATTTGTGGTGTCAAAATTCCCTAGGGCGGAAAGCGCCATAATTTCCAGATCAGTAAGTTGTTTATTCAAGTACTGTGGTGACCTGGGAGGCTATGACGAGCGGGCAAAGGCAGGCAAGCAACTACACTACCCTCTCGTCTTCAGCGTCATGGGGGGGCAAAGAGGAATGTACGGGACTTCGCGCAGCGTTTGTGAATTTTTGCGAGAGCTCTTTTCCTTTGACATGGTGGGTGTAACAGCTTCGAAAAATGAGGACGATAGAAGGAATAGACACGACTCGTTTTTTAAGTCTATTCCTTTTATCGTCCTCGTTTTTTGAAGCTGTTACACCCACCATGTCAAACTTCTACCAACTCGCCCAGTTCAACACCTTGTAACTGTTTTTTTCATTTGGCTCGTGTCACGTTGCACATCTTTTCAATAAAGTGCTGCTCGGTACTGTCGCACCTTCGTAGCATTTGCAGCAACGTGATTGCTGCGCCCTTTGCGCCAAACTGCACCTAAGGGCTTACCCTGCTACATTCTAAACTTGATTTCACTCTATTAAATATTGAAAATATTGTGACTCAGGCCCCGCTACACGTCCGGATCATTATGGTAGGCTTGTGCGAATATTCAGAACTTTCGATTTTAGCCGCCAACAACATACTATCCTATTCAGTATCTGTCGATTTTAAACACTGTCAGTACTTGAAATTTTCGCGCTCATACCTATGCTCCTAGTCTGCTCTGGCGTGCAAGTTAGCTTTGTTGAGTGCGCTTCTCACTGTGCTCTTGTGTACCGCAGTGAAACGGTAACTGCGAAGTAATCATCGCAATTTTGCTTATCTTGCTTCACCTCAGTGCATCTGAGTGCTAAAGGGAAAGCATTCCCCCAGAGCGGGACATTTAAACACGCAAGCATCGGGTATATTAAAACGAGGAGCTTTGTGAGTATTAATGTAGCTGCTCTTGGTTGTAATAAAAATTTCTGAATTATACTGTGGCTATTATTTACGATAGACTTCGGTATTTTAGCGATATCTTTTTCAAATACGTGATTTAGCGAGGGTACTCGCAAGAAAATTTATATGAACCGCTCTATAGGTTTATTTTTTTCTAATTCTATTCTTTAGTTCTCACCTTTATATATGATAATGATGATAATGATAATATTTATTTGCACTCAGGAAGAGATGTTTTATCCGTTTGAGGTACAGTCGATAGAATAAACTAAATGAAGTGAAGCAGTACGAGAAAGCTTGGGAATAACCTGAACAACTTGGGCCGGATTGTTTTAAGAAGGCATACTTATCGTTCACACGCCAATGTCTTATTATGAGGTTGTACATAGAAACTGTCATTAATTTTTATAATTCAATGACAAGATCTTTTTTTTTTAAATCTGAATTATGAATTTTTTTATTATTACGACCTTTAGCACTTGAATGAAACATCAAGCAACTTCATCGTGCCCGAAAGATGGCCATAAACATATGTCATAAGGCACGCGCCACTCATGCTTAAGTGCGGGAGTGTGATGCCACTGCCGGAGTGCTGTGTGCAAAAGGTGCGCCTCGGACATCGTTTGTGCTCGTTGTGTGCTATGTGCGACAGACTGTGAGGTGACCGCATCTACATCTACGGCCTCGATGTCAGCGGCAACGTCTACATCTACGACGGCTCCCACAGGCAATTGTGGCCTCCCACGCAAATATTCCGCAGCCTTCTTAAGTGCCCTCCTCCAGGCATCGTTCTCGACGAAGTCCTCTAGGCGTCATTCTCAACGTCATCCTAGGCGTCATTCTCAACGTCATCATCATTAAAGGATAACTGCAAAGAAAAAAAGTGTGTTTTTAAACAGCCTAAATGGGACAATCATGACATAAAACAAATCTTCCGTGAAAAAACAAACTTTTTCTAGCAATATTTACGCCACAGGACGTAATTTAGTCAGGGTCACAACTTCTCCAGATTTGAAACTCCCGCCCTTTCAACGCGCAGAGTGGCTGTTGTACGTCACATAAAGGCTGCTATACGTCACTCCGTAACGTATAGCAGCCTTTATGTGACGTATAAGACCAACTTTCTGGCGCACGATTTAAAACGGACGAAATAGCCACAAGCTAAAATCAATCTCGTGCAATAAATATTGCTGTAAACAATTTTGTTTTTGTCGGAAAAATTATTTTGTAACATGCTTGTCCCAATTAGGCTGTTTAAAAAATGACCGCATCTCCATCTGGTGAATGATGTTGATTGGGGCGAATCTCTGATGATACTGATTTTGTTCATAGGTAGTGCTGATGGTGCTTCCGAGCTCTCAACTCCGGGTCCGCCGTTTTTCACGCTTCGCAGCAGCTTCTCGCGCCCTGGTCTCCGGAGCAGCTTGCTGTCTGCGTAGACGCCGAGCCGCAGCGTGCCAAGCTTTTCGTTCGTTTTCATCCATGTCAGAAAGAGAATGTGTGGTATGGAGCGTGGTTATATACGCATTAGAGCATTTGACCACAGCGCCCTCTCGTTTATAAACATTGAGCCAATGCATGCAAAGTTGAATGCGATTATATACGCATTTGACCGCAGCGCCCTCTCCTGTATAGACGTTGAGCGGCTATGTTGTATTTAAATTTTTTCATTTAAGTTTCACCACGCTAACTAGGTGGCGCCACGAACTGCCATAGCAACCCCCGTAGCCAGGCGACGCTACTGTTCACCCATCGGGGCCCGTGCGCCCAGGTGGATTTCCCCCGGGGCACTGGGCCCCCAAGTTGTTTGCTCCTTATTTGGGCTCTCCGAATCACAACAGGCTACATGTAACGTTTCATCCTTGACAGAAACCCCAGCTCTTGATTTACTACCACATCTCAAAGCCCCCTACTCATCCCGCAGTCGTGGCCGAGTGGTTAAGGCGATGGACAAGAAATTCATTGGGGTCCCCCGCACAGGTTCGAATCCTGTCCACTGCACAAACATTTTTTTTTTTTAAAAAGACAGATGGGATGGCAATTTATGTGAGCACGGACGCCGGACGGACAAGGCTAGACCCTAAGGAGCTTCGCCCCTAAAATACACTTTTTTTTCTTTGCAGTTACCCTTTAAAGGGGCCCTGCAATCATATTTAAGCGTCTACCTTTTTTGCAGTTTCCGCGTCTCTTGGGGTTCAGGCAAGCCAGCGGGCACGGAAAGAGTAACCAAACATTAGTGCGTCATATTTTAACCAGACGATGCGGAAACCACCTCCACCTCCACCTACGAGGGCGACCCGCGTTGCCAAAAGCGCGCGATATGTGACATCTTTGGTCCTGGCCTTACAACTGGTCAGAGCCACTAAAAGCTTCTTTTTTAGTCGAGATGAAAAATATAGGTGTTGCAAACCGTTTCAATTATGTATGAAAGTAGTTTTTGTTCAGCATTTTAGATCAGAAAAGAAACAAATGCAGTTTATAAAGTACGTAAACAAGAAATGACCCGTTGACATACCCGCCACCAAGTAGCAGAAAAACGGCGCATACTAGAAAGAACTAGTGGGATGAGGCTACGACGAACGGCGAGCGTAGGAAGGTCCCGGATGTACGCGGCGGCGCTGCGGTCGTATACCGGCTCGAGGATCCGACCAGTTCCGAGCGTTCCGAAGGTCTTCGGCGTGGGCCCTGCTGTCGATTTGGCCATTTTGCGGTATGGCAGCACGAAGTGGCTCCAATTCTGAACTGATCTTTACCCCGTGTTTGCTGTCATTTGCCGAAATAGTCTTTAATCGCGCAGCAAATGCAATGCGAGCCGCCCTGGCCGCCCGCTTCATAGAGCCTATCCAACTCATGCTTTAGTGGCGCCCTCTCGAGCTGTCGACACGGAGTGCGACAACCGTGAGCGCTTGATGAGCTCACTCCTCCTCTAGTTCACGGCCACTCAAGCCAAGACCTACGACGTTATGAAGGAGGTTATTTTTTGCTTGTTCTTGTAATTCTAATTTGCCTATAACTTTAGAAAAAAAAAGCGAAATTTGAGAAAAGAAAAGTTTTATTAAGTTATTACATTCAGTGCGCTCAGGTTCGGTGCAAATTGAAAACCAATCAAAAAGTCATTGCAGGGCCCCTTTAAAGGGCAACTCCGCTCGATTTCGGAAATATAAACGTGAAAAGTACTTCAAAACAACCCTAGACCGTTTGACTCATTAAAAGCAAAATATTTTTCGTGCGATTTGTTATTTACCACAATCGCAAACCGAAACTGAAACTTCGGCACAGCCGGGCAACATTGTACCCTCAACGTCAGTTGCATACGCACCCACGTGGAATACAAGGGGTCACGTGATCTGCCAGCGGTAACCCAGAAAAGACGCGGATGCGAGGGGAAGGGCGAGGAGGGAGTAGGGAGGGCGGAGCCTAGCCGCGGCGGCGAACAGGCAACGCAAGCAGCGACGAAGCAGGCTCTGTAGGCGGCAACCCAGGCGGCTAGTCGGTTGGCACCGGCTGGCACGTGTGTCAGCGAAACTCATCCCGTACAACTCTCTCTTTCTCTTTTTGTTTTTGTTGTTCTCGTTCATTTTTTTTTCTTTGTCTGTCTCGCCTCTTTGCTTGTTCGGACCTGGAGCGCGTTTGTAGCGCCGCCTAATAAGCTCTCCCTGAAAAAAAAAAAATAATAATACCAGGAAAAAAATTGCGTATGCAAGTGACGTCAGCCACAACGGAAATACAACGTTGACTGCACCGCACGTCGCCCGCTAAATTAGCGGATTTTGGTGACTTCGCGCATCTCAGTTTTTGTCGGCCGGTTTAGTGATCTTTTAGGTGGTATTACGTTATATTTAAAATTTGGTCTCTCTAGATGATACTAAAGAGTGTCGCAGTGTTTGCTAACAACCGAGAATGAAGCGGAGTTTCCCTTTAAGGTCGTCCTAGACGTTCTTGACGTCGTCCTCTAGGACTTCATCCTCGACCTCGTTCTAGACATTGTTCTTGACATCGTCCGAGAGGTGGTCTTCAACGTTATCCGGGACACCATACTTAGCGTCGATCTCTAGGACGTTACCCTCGACGTTGTCCTGTACGCCGTTCTTGACATCATCCTCGATGTCCTCCTAGACGCCGTCCTTGACGTTTCCCTCGATATGTGCACGGCAATGCAGATGTTTTCACATTCCTACACGTAAGCAGTCTTAAGTGCCCTCCTGTAATTTTTTTCTAACATTATTTTAGTGGAATATGCTATTTGGTTTACATTTTATTTTGTACCTAAAATGACCATTCACAGCAGTCCATGCTGTCCTTCATCGATCAGCATCTTGTTGCAGTGCCTAGTGCTTCTATGGGCAACTAAACAGCTAGTTCTGTGTTTAAGGAAATCAAACCTGCCATTCCACAGATGTGTGAAGGCAAAGCATGCATGTTTTTTAGTTGGATAGGGCCAGCACACAAATGTTAACATATGATATTCACAGTGGTACGAATAAAAATGAAGTGTGTGCTTGTGCGCCAAAAGTATTTTTTTGCCACTCTATAATTGATCTTCGGCCGCTCCAAAAGGTGCCACAAATTGAGTCGGGTCAATTGCATCACTGTACTTGACATAACGCCCGAGTGGGACGATTGTCTTTTAAATATCTCCCCGAACCAAAGGCTTTCTGACGGTTTTGTGCCGGGTCCAGGAATACCCCCGCACGTGGACAGCCACGTCTCGTTTGAGGACGGCATCGTCTGCCTGAGCCTGGGCTCCCCCGTGGTCATGGACTTTCGACACCCCGACGGGGACCGCGCGGCGGTCCTCCTGCCCCCCCGCAGCGCTCTGCTGCTTCACGGGCCCAGCCGCTACATCTGGACCCACGGGTACATGGCCTGGCACTCATCTTGGAATACTAATCGTTTTGTGCATATATTTAGACAATGGAAAGTATCAGCCCAACGGGCGTCTGGGGTCTTCTCCGTAGACAGTAAATTTAGTGAGTGCAGTACCGCCGGGTCGTTCTGTGCCAAAGGAGATGCAGCAACTTTTTCATATCTGAGATATGTGCGAAACAATTATTTCGGATAAAGAAGCCTGCTGCTGACCAGATCAGGGTCTTCTACAGCAAACTGCAGGGCTGGATGAGCCGCATGAGCAGGGGAGACCACAGCCCTTTCAAGAGGCTGTGCACCTGTGAGGCACAACTTGCTCTGTCTGCTTCTGACAAAGCGGTAATCATGGCTCACCTTAGTACACTCAGGGCTCGTTTAGCCAATTACTTTCGGGAGGTGGCCAGTGCTCAGTGGTTTCTGTCGCCTTTCCATGTGGACATAACAGCATTCAACAATGAGGCTGTTGAGATTGAAAATGAGTTCCTTGAGCTCAGAGCAGGCACTGCACTCAAAGGGAAGTTCAGCAGCCAAGATGTGGTTGCATTTTGGATGGAGACTGCCTCACTGTTCCCACTCCTCTTTGGCAGGGCAGTGGACATGCTTCTTCCTTTTGCAGCTACATATACTTGCAAGCAGGCATTCTCAGCACTAGCCTATCTGAAAAAATTGCACCATCATCCCGAGGGGAACCATGGGGTGATGCGGAGCATCGCGGATCGTTATTAACGGTGTTAGCACGCGAATGCCGTTAGCACGCAAAGTGCACGCAGCTGGTAGAGAGAGAGAGAGTGGAGAGGAGTAACGCGCAGCTGTTGGAGAGAGGGAAGGAGGAGAGTTGCGCATGCGTAGTGTGAGTGCGGACTACAACGCCGCGGGACATAGACTTGAGCAAGAGATGCTCCGCATTTAAAACAAGCACAGGAACCGACTGAACCCGGCAACATATATGAGGCTGGACCTAAGCGTGACTGAGTGACGCATTGATTCACTGTTGCGAACAAGGCAACCCTCCCCTTTACACTGATATGTTAACTGTCTTTCATTCTAATCCCACTCTTCAATCTGTGTGTTCCACTTTTTATTGTTTTATCTGTGCAATAAATATTTTGTGAACTCTTCTATTGAAAGTGTATCCAGGCAGCAAAACAGCAGGAAGGGGGGGGGTTCCTTGGCACTCTTTAAAAATTGCTGGGGTTCCGTGAGACCAAAGAGTTTGAGAACCCCTGCTTTATGGAGTATATTTATTTATGGAAGACACACTGATCCATGGGGTCAAAGTTAATTAATGGTCGCATGCCTCCAACCCAAAAATATTTCTCTCGAATTATACTTTTCGAGACACGGTACTATGCAAAGTGGCACCCCGGCCTCACATCCAGGGGTCACTCTCTCCAAGCGGCCTTAACTGGCTTTTCTTTATTAGAAACTGTAACTTATTGGGTTTATTACTAAGTTAGACTATTACGAATCTCTAGATGTCGGTGTTTGCCCTAAAGTGCGAGGTTGAACCACTTTAATTCGCCTTTTTAGAACAACGAAGGAGCAAACCGACGCAGAAGTTCCCCAAAACAAAACTTTCCAGACGCCATCAACGGGTGTCATTACAAAACAAAGCATTGCCCTACGCGTAAAAATGAAATCGACAGCCCAAAAGGAAAAAGTAGGAAGCAAATCGAAACCAAAACCTGCTTGGGAGCACTCATTTAGATCGAAACATGCAAGGACGGGGCAGGAGCCAGGGCACACGCACCTGAACTCGGTGCACGTGCTTTGTGTTCCGATGCGTTAGCACGCTCAGAGATCTCGTCTATAGTCACTCACAAGATGAGAATAGCAGGGAGGAGTTGCAGTGGCACAGCACAAACATCTTACAGTTGCTGAGAGAATGAGAACAGCGGGGTGCTCCTTTCGAACACCAAACACATGCTGGATGTGTCTTTTCAAATGTGGGTGCTAAATTGCCGAACAAGTGCCAGAGTTAGGCTTCACTTCTCGTCTCGTTTTTATGTGGCATCTTTGGCTCAAGTCCGGCACTTCGGCAATTACATGGCGAACCAGAGAAAAGCCACAGGGAAGCTAACGAGAAGTACTCTGGCACCAACTGACACCTCGGAGAAAAACATTATTAGGCCCAAGTTGGGCCGCTAGGATTGCCGAACTTGGCCCAAGTTAGACGTTCCTCTTGTGCGCTGCCTGGTGTGCCTTCCCGACATCACAAAAAGAAAAAAACGCCTCGGTTTTTGCAGGATTGCGTCGCGCAAGTCAGACGTGGTCCCTCGGACGGAAGTTCCAGGCCAGGGGTTGACTCTCTCCCCACGGGACGTCCGCATCTCCTTCACTTTTCGGCGGATACGACGTGGAGACTGCGGCTGCGGTACGGCAGCCCCCTCGTAGCTAGTCGTGCACAGAGCCACCGCAATTGGCAGCTTCGACCTTTCGGTAGCCGGAGGGCCGCCTCGCTCTTCTCCGTGCCACGTCTCACCGCACATGTGTGTTACCGTAGCAACAGGCCAAGCTGGCTCGGTTTCCGTAGCAACCAATGGGTCCGAAGGTAGACCTTTCCAAAAATATGTGGCGCCCCATTGCCCGCTTGACGCATTGCGACGTTGGTTTAACATTTTAGGATTTCAGATTGCTGAGAAGGTAGAAGGAAAGCAAAACAGAGTATGTGATCACCTCCTTTTGTGTTTGTTTTATTTATTGTGCATTCTGAACTTCTAATGGCAAGAGAGAGGGAGCTGTGCCGTTTCAAGGATATACAAAGCGTTCGATTGGCACGAGCACACATCTGAACAGCTCCACAATTCCCATCGCTGCAAGGTCTCCCGGGATTTCCTGGAAAGATCTGCTGCCGTAGTTGCGTTCGGATATTTCAGAGTGCTGCCGGCATACCTATCATCTGCTAATTTTGCTTCTCGAGTGGCATGGACCTCGAATTGTCAGTGACTGTCCCGCGTGCGTTGAACGTGCCACGAGTGAGGTGCCCGTAACTTGAGATGTGCCCATGCTGCGATGCCAAACCACGCTTTACATGGCTTTTACCTACTCACTTTTACCCACTTTTACCACTTTTCAATGATTGAGTGAAGAGATCAAATAAGCCACGCTGGTAAAGCGGCCGTCTGGCATCGCTGGCGGCACGGTTACCATGGCAACCACTCGGGCACCTAAAATTGCTATTGGTGCCTTCAATATTCTGCACCTAGGTCTTTTTGCATAGCGTTGTTACTCCGGCAGTTAAGGCTCTCCGCGTAGAATGGTTCTAGTTGCACGCGGACGTGCCACCCAACCTCATGGCTTTGTTTCATTCTCTTGTAGGGCACGACCTGCTATGCGACTCGAGTCGTCTCACGTGAGTAGCTTTGCTCGCTCTGATAAATGGGGTGGCAATTAGTGCCTTACTCAAAAAAAGTCAGCCAAGATATGATGATTTCGGGATGAGTTTGATATACCGTAATCGATGAACTACAGTCTGCACCTAGTGCATTCGCGACTCCAGCAACCTGTAGGGGTCGCCACTATCGGGCACATTTGGCAGTCTTGGGGGAAGCGATGGAGGGACTGCGGTGCTGATGAATGCTGATAAACGCACGACGTCTGCTTCACGCAGTAGCAGAGGTTGTGTTCAGAGTGCCCAGGGCAACATGTTTATACAACAGTGACAACGGAGTCACTTGGATTCGCACCAACTGCCGATAACATAATCACGGAAGCCACAAGGGACGAGCAGAAATTGGGAAAATACCCGTTTTGTTCGGTTTATTGGTTTCCCACTACCGTAAAATCCCGAGAGATAGCCCACCTAAAATCAAGAGAAAATAGGGTCAAAATAAGAAGTAAGCTCACTTTCATTGTGTGATAAAAAAAAAAAAAAAAGTTGAAAAAATGCTAGTTTTAGATTTTGTGACCCGCGAAACTTGTGATTGCAGGGAGGGGCAGTAAACTAAAAATGACCGTCCTTTCCAGTGAGCAATGTTCGCTCATCTCCCGCCGTGGTTAAGTAACACCATTTCTGCCGAGGTCACCATTGGACAAGGCCCTGCGGTTACTAGAAGTAGGCTATCTTTCGGCATTTTTTGGAAAAATAGAAAATCGTGCCAAAAATAGGGGTGGGGCATGTCTCGGAATATTACGGTAGGTGCTGTCCGTTTTCCTAGAATCTCAAATAGTGCACAAAAACAAATTTTGGCTGAAAAAAAAAACAAATTTTTTTAAGTAGTTTATTTCTAGTGCATAAAGTTTTCGTATGCAGCATGGTTTAAAATTGCTCATTTTATTGGGCATCATACAAGAATTAACATAACCTGTCATTCAAAAATATCCTCCAAGAGTGATCTTGAAAAATAAATCCTCGTATATTCTGTACCACCTAAAATTAATCTTTTAAATGTGTATAGCCCTCGAATTATAATCCCCCCCAAAAAATATGGTAGATAGCATTTGGCTGGTGCAGATGTTCCCAAACTTTTAGATTTTTGAGAATGCCTGTTTTTCTTGAATGGAAGTTAAGGAACTCCTCCTGGTCTTGGCATTGATGCGGTAAAATATTGCAGAAGCCTACACACCTTGTAAAAATAAATGTCCATACTAAGGAATGTTTGCCAGACAGGTATGCGTCAATAGACGGCTCAGATCTTCTAAAATAGCACTTAAACCTGGAGAACACTCGGGGCAAACTTGAGAGCCCTGGGGAACCCTTAAGAGTTCTTGGGAGAACCACCTGTTTCTTAGGAGCCCAGTTTGATGCCCCACGGGTGCACAAACTGGGTTTCCTAGGAGCCCAGGGGTTCTCCAGAGTACCCTCGAGGGTTCCTCAAGCGCCCAAATTGCCTCAAGAAGCACAACTATGAGCCAATCACTCCTTAGTGTGCGAATTTTTGTTAAGAGAGCCCTTTGGCTTCTGCACCGTTTTATTGTGTCAATGCCGAGAGTGGGAAGGGTTCCTCGGATGTCATTCGAGGGTGGCAGGGGTTCCTCGAGACTGAAAGATTGAGAACCCACGTGCTAGTCTGTAGACATCTAAATTAGTAGTTCCCGACCGTTTTATTAGTGTGTCGGAGTTCTTGGGACGATGTTTGTTTACCTTGTACTTTGCCAATGCTTGATGTTCATGCGGTCATCAAGCTTTCGAAATTAACGTATTGCTCAAAAGTGGTCCACTCAATCTTGACGTCTTTGCGGCCCATACCTTTTACCATCGTGCGTTGAGGCAAGCGATAACTTCAGTGGAAGCTTGGAGGGCAAGGTGTCGAAACCCGGAGTGGGAAAGTTTCCGAGAACATGATTTTGTGTGAATTCCGGTGCAACTCGTCTCACCCTTGTCGAATGTGGCTCGCAGGGGTCGGATGTAGCATAGAACTTAGCGAGGCTACGGCGCCCGAAATGCGTCTCTGACTTGTGCGTTTACCGTCCTGTCCATGCGTAGAAAGTGTTCCTGAAATGGTGACAATTGGTGTCACCGGGGGCTGGCATTTTGCTTCGTCTGGTGTCTCGGTCCTGGCAGTCGGTTGTAGAAGTTACGACAAAAAACACGGGCAAAGGCGAGCGTCGCCATCGTATCCCAACTTCTGGCTGCCAAGGCTTCCGCCTTCAAGCCGGAGAGCGACCCACAGCAGAACGGGTGTCTGTCGCCTTCAGCTTCAGGATCAAGGTAGGCAACGGCATGACACTTCCGCGACGTTGTCGGGCGTCAGTCGAGGGACCACTTTTGAGGACGCGGTAAACGGTTTGGTCTGTGACGCATTCCAGGCACCATACTGCTGCTAATCGAGCCGTTTTATACTAGTGGCAACGGCGCAAAAAGACAAAAAAAGTAGGAAGCGCACAAAAGGATAAACATTGGCATACAACTCGTGCATATCTGCTTTTGTGCAAGAAGGCGCGTGGCCGTGCGTCACTACTCTGCGGTGCATGTTAAAGGCCCCAAGCTAGCGGTTGTACCTACTGCGCCGGCCAAATTGCTCATCTACAGCTGAGACACCAGACGCCGATTGGGACCAACTAACTTCCGGCCAAATAAACACACGCTCAACACAATTATTATTATTATTAATGCCGCTATACAAGAAAACCGAAGGGCGTTTGTGAAATCTACACACTTCACATTGACCCTTTCGCCAAACAATCCGATTTTTTGCCAGGCAGGGACACGGAAGAAGCACCAACACTTCTGTCCTCGAGCCACGCAGAAGAATAGAGGCCTTTCAAAATGGAAGCGATCCTAGTAGCATAGGGCCGTGCAAAGCATCTTGGGTGCCCCTTGGCCACAGTATCTGTTTTGATTTGATGTCTTTGCTCACCCCTTCACAACCGAATACAGTGCTTGCATTTTCGAATACGTGACTTCTTATATTGAAAAATATACTGCAAATGTTGCCTACCAATACGGATAAGATACTAGGGCACGTCGTTGGAGGAGCTTTATGGGTGAATGTCAAAGAGATCCCATAATGCAATGCACGCAGTGTTGGAAGCGGGGATTTTCAGAAGTAGTTTATTAGACTATTTTGGGAGAAGGGTCAGTGTGAAGTGTGTAAAATTCACAGATATTTTTCTTTTTTTTTTGTATCATGGTATTGCTACTTGCAACGAAGTGAAAGAAGAAATGCGTCAGTACCGTTCTTTGTCCTTCTGTCTGGCTCCTTTTTTTCCTTTTTGCCCTTGTCTTTTTGCACTGTTGCTACACCAACTCTAACTTGCCCAAGCTTCCATCTTAACCAGACGAGCTTCTTCCGCTGAGACGCTGAGGAGGTTATTGTGATTTGCAGCAAGAGTGATCGGGAGGCGAAGAGGCTGGAGGAGGAGCACGTCTATCAGGTGAGGCACCGTTTGACGGGACCCTCGGAAAAGGAGCCGGTCGGGCGTTGGGCCCAGCAGAACAGCCCGGACTATGGTTCAGACCTGGGTTACTCAATTTTTTCGACCTCAAGAAACCCTCATATTTCTTAAAGGCAGTTGAGGAGCCCTTCCCACTTTTGGTGTTCTCGCAATAAAACAGTTGAGAGGCTATGCACCTTGTAAACAATAATGCACACCCAAAGGAGCGTTTGGATTCTAGTCAAGCACACATGCAGCGCTTATAGTAATCCGCACGAAAAGCATTTTTGCATTACAATTTTGTACCTTTAGTAAATATTGTATAGAATTATTTTTTGACATTCATAACCTATGAAACATGCGTTTTTCTCCGCGCAATGGCGGTTGAAGTCAACTCGCAGCCAGAACAAGCGGCCACGCGATCTGGAGTCGGTTGTATGCCGCTAGTCATAGCCACTCGCTGAAGCTGGCGAAGCACAGGGCACGTGCCGAGTTCCACGCATTGTTAAGGTTCGGCAGTTCCCATTGTCACAGCAATTGGGCACGAGCTACTACCCTAATGTGTGTCGATGCATTGTCACGAGCCCAAGTCGAACGCTTGCACGGTGCTTACGTCCACTGTATGAGCCGCATTCACATATCATTGCCGAGAGGATCGCACAGGTCGACGACGAGGTCCTGGGGACCGCATTGCTGACGACGCCAACAATGCTATCCCCGTAACTTTGTCATAGAGTTCTGTGAAGAAGAGAGTGAAAGGAATCGTCCGTTTTTATTTTTTTATTATGTGGCGACAAAGAAGAAGCTTGGTCAGTAGCATCGTGTGCGAGTGTACTGGGTCCCACTAGTGCCAGTAAGCTTGTGTGAAGCAGGAAGCATTCCTTGAGAGCGAGAAACAATGTCGTCGCACGGCCCCTTTAAAGAGAACTCTCGGCAGGTGTACGAGAGCATAGCGGAGCAGTTCAGTGGGACGCGCCACCGGGAGTGGCCCCGGGTGGCAGCCTTCGTGGAGGCTTTGGAGCCGGGCTCCCTGCTGCTCGACGCGGGCTGCGGCAACGGCAAGTACCTGCTGGGGCATCCGCACGTGCTCAAGGCAAGTGCCCCCAGCAATGTGGGGACGCGAGTCCGTGGAACTACGGTGCCTCCAGTGCATCTTCGACTGGTGTATAATGCCCGTGCCTTAAAAGCGTTCCCAAGATGGGAACAATTTGTGTCGCGGGAGTCGGCTAAGCTTCCACTGACTTCCGAGCTGGAGAGGGGCCTCCGGTAGAACGGGCATCATAGCGGAAGCGACAAAATGGGAAATGAAGATGCAACATTGTCAAGCTTCGCATGCACCATTCAATGCATACCAGGGTTGGACAGAAAAGGGATACGCGCAGCAAATATATAAAAGCGTCTGCTACCCAAACTCTCTGCAAGCATTCCCGACAACCTCGGGGACTTAGGTCGCTTTGTTGTTAGGTGTCCTAGCAAGCACAGTGTGAAAGTGTGTATGTAAATGTGTATTTTATGTGTCTTCACTGTTATCCTTTCAGCTCCAGTTCAAACAGCAATGCAAAAGAGACAAGGGCAACGGGTGGAGACATGCAAAGATACTCATATAAAGGTGCCGACTTACAACTCGTACATCATCTTCTAATTCGTTTTGAGACGCAATTCGTTTCATGTCTATGCTTCTCGCAAAGAAATGGAAGATAAATACGGTTGAATTGTAAGTGCCCTTGTTTGTTTTTCTTTGTGCGAATTCACCTGTTGTCCTTGTCTTTTTGCACTGTTGCTGCCTCTAACGGTGTTTTTCTGTTTTGTTTTCGTCTGCAGACGCTTTGTAGCAAGCAAACCACATTCTTTGCTCACGTTGAAAATAAACCGTCTGCAAACAATATCTTACGCTCGCTCCATGAGAGGCAATTACAGTCGAAGCTCGTTATTTCGACCCGTTATTTCGATCATCGCGTTAATTCAATCCTTCCATTTAGCACCGTCAGAAATGTACAGGCTCCAATAGGCAGAAAACCCCGGTATTTCGATCTGATAAATATCCCCAACCCGATAATTCGTCCCGGGAGCCAGCATCTTCGTAACCGGGAAATATTTTTTAAGCTAACACTATAAGTTTAAAGGTTAAAACGGCACCTCAGAACACAACACGCGTCCCTACCCATATTAGCAAACAGCCGTTGCAGTGAGCCCGCGCCTGATTGCGACACCTCCACAGACGCGCGATGCCCGTCGGCGCCCCCGGCGCCTCAAGCCGGGGCACGCTCCGCGAAAGAGCGCCCGCGCAGACAGGCGCCCTTTCGCCGGCGCCTCGCGCCGGAGAAAGGGCCAATTTGATTAGTCGAGATAAGACCCAGTCAGAGCGCACCGGCCCGATCACGTGGGGAGGCGCGCGGAAGGAGACGGGAGCAACGAGAGGGAAATGAGTGAGCGATGAAGTGAGAAAGAACGTCGGGAGGATGGAGAAGGAGACTGGAGAAAAATGAGCGAGCGATGAAGAGGGACCGTGCTGTCATGCGGTTTCTGTTCTTTGGAGTGCGCGGCGTTTAACGCTCATACCGGAAAATGTCCAAAGAAAAGCGAGGAAAGTACTCTTCGAATGATTTAAAAACAAAAGTTCACATACTCAACGAAGTTAGGGTAGGGTGGAAAAATTGTCCAGAAAAGAAATTGCCGAAAAGTATGACCTCAAGAAAAGCAGCAATCGTGAAAGCTTTTGAAGAAGAGCAATTTGTGAATGGACCTTTTTCCAGTAGGCGCCTCATGACAGTTTCGCCGCCTACTACAAATGGAGGGCAACCGGACTCGCCTTTTCCCATGGAAACAGATTAGTGTCGCAAGAAAACAATGCCCCCCAAGAATGGCGAAAGGGTGGTCAAGGTCAAGGGAAAAGGGTGTGCGCGTGCGCAGACGCTTACTGGAAAAAGGTCTATTCAAGAAAACGCCTTCGCAGTGAAGCCAGCCAGAACTCGAAGAAGCCGTTTACAAATGGGTGACAGAAGTAAGAACGCACAATCTTCTGATGACTGGAGACATGATTCGCGCAAAGGCTCAACAGTTCAGCGAACGTTTGGGCATCGAGGGATTCCGTGCTTCCGAGGGATGGCTCGCGAGATTCAGGGAGAGGCACTCTCTTATTTTTAAGCACGTGTGTGGTGAAAGAGCTGATCTGGATGAAGATTTGTGTGAAAACTGGAAGACGTCGGAGCTCGCACGTATTCTTGCGGAGTATGCGCCTGAGGACATATTCAGTTGCGACAAAACGGCGTTGTTTTTCAAAGCTCTCCCCGACAAAACGATAACGTTCAAAGGGGATCCTTGCACTGGGGGAAAACGCGGTAAAGAGCGGGTGACCGTGCTCGTGGCAGCCAACATGACAGGCACGGAACGTCTGCCTCTTTTGGTGATCAAGAAATCCAAGACGCCACAATGTTTTCGGAACATCCCGCGGCTTCCAACGGACTACTGTTTCAACAAAAAAGCGTGGATGACACGTGAGATCTTTCAAGATTGGCTTCAAAAATTGAACCCCCAGTTCACGTCCAAGGGGCGCAAGGTCGTGTTAGTAGCGGACAACTGCAGTGCACACACAAAAATGCCGGAGCTGTCTAAGATCCGCCTGATTTTCCTTCCACCCGCAACCACCTCACTCTTGCAACCAATGGATCAAGGAATAATCAAACACCTGAAAGGCTTGTACTGCAAGCATCTCATGGCAAGAATATTGCTTTGTCTGGATCAGGGTAAGCGCTATGAAGTCACTCCATTGGCGGCGATTCATATGCTTGTTAAAGCTTGGACGGACATGCCAAGCCAGGTCATCGCGAACTGCTTTCGTCACTGTGGTTCGCGAGTTCGACGACTGCATCGGCTACTACGTCCACATCGGCTACTACATTGGCAACTGAATCGGCAACTGCATCGGCTACAACATCGGCAACCACAATTGAAGATGAAAACTTTGACGAAGAGTGCAGTGCTCTAATGTCCACTCTACCCGAAAACGTTAGTTTCGATGATTACGTTTCGATAGATGATGGAGTGCTTGTGTGCGGTCAATTGACTGACGACGAAATCATCGCATCAATTCAGCGTCTTGAGGGTCAGGAGGACGACAGCTGCGAGAGTGACGCCGAAGAGCCGCCGCCACGCCCATCTCCTGCCGAAGCATCCGCTGCGCTCGATGTACTTGCGAACTTCGCAACATTTGAAGACACCGACGGGACGATGTGGCCGCACATTGATATGCGGAAATTTGTTTTTGCGAAGCGTCTGACGGGAATGCGGCAGCAGAAAATATTGGCGTTTTTTTCTAAATAAAACTCCGTCGTCACAGTTGGCTTTTCGCCGCTTCTCGTGACGTATGTCGTTACTCGTTCGATAATTCGACTCTTCAATAATTCTATCTATTTTTGAGGAATTTTCAGAGTCGAATTAACGAGCTTCGACTGTAGTTATTGCTTTCGCGATGACCAAAGTAGACCCCTTGGGGGGGTGGACACTGCGACCCTGGCATTCCATTACGATGCCTGGAATGTGTCTCCCGCCGGCGTGTTTGGTGTCCAATTACGCGCATGCGTTAAAAGTGGTCTTGAAGTGGTGACAAATGACGTCGCAAAGGCCAAAGTGTCGTGCTGACCGGATATTTTAATCGTGGCAGCAAGGCGTAGAAGTTGTTTGAAAAACCATGAGAGAATGCGAGTGTCGCTGTCATCGCGGCATCCCAACTCCTGACTGGCTGTCAAAGCTTTTGTTGACTGTCAAGCTGGAGGGCTGTGACACCTCCAGGATCGCAGCTGGCAACAATGTGCCACTTCTACGATGTCATAAGGCGGAAATACAGAGGCCACTTTTTTGGGTGCGGTAAACAGGCCAGTCAGACACACACACCAGGCACCGTACTTCCGTCTGCTGGTGTTGCGAGCCCAATTCGAACAGCCCCGGCTTCCTCCTCGGTCGCAGGTGGGCTTTGATCGGAGCGGCGGACTGGCGGCCATCTGCCGGTCGAGGAACCTGGAGGTGGTGCAGGCAGACACCCTGGACGTGCCTTTCAGGAGCGGCATCTTCGACGCCTGTCTCTCCATTGCGGTGCTACACCACCTGGCAACTCCCGTGAGGCCGCTTTTCCCTTGGCCATTTGTCGCGCATTCTTCGGACGCGACTGTCTAAGGATGGACGTGGCGCCGAGCAAAGGTGTCAGGCTGCGGATTGCACGGTCCAAGGACCTTGCTTGTTTAAGACCAATTATTCCTAGTTATAGTTACTTACAATTAACTATGACGAACTGCGCCTGCCATGGGCTCTATTTATGTTGCCGTCCACTTTAAAATATGATAGTAATGTTCCAAGATGTGCGCAGAAGGGCCGTCTCCCTGTGGCTCCGAGGCAAAGTGCCGGCCTACAGACCCCCAGGTGGCGGGTTTAGATCCCGGCTGGGGTGCCTGCAATCTGACGGAGGCTTATTGCAGAGAACGCGCCGTGTAATCGAGATTTCTTCTGCATGTCGAGAGATCCCCAGGTGGTCGAAATTGATCCTCAGTCCTTCGCTGGAGTGAGTGAGAAGCCCTTTGGCACGTAAAACACCCAAATTTGACATAGCCTTGAATTATGAAGCTATCACATACTAAGTACCTCAGTCAAATGCTTCTATTCAATATGTCCACAATACTGAATAACATAGGTTAAAAGGGAAATGGCCTGGAAACATTTTCACATAAGGCACCCATTGATTTCATTCCTTTCATCTGATTCTTCATGTGCAGTAGGGTGGTTTCATTTAAATTCGGCCAAATTTAGCACAAAAAAAAGCCATCAGATCTACAAAAAACAATTGTATGTGGTAGTTTTGTTTCTCCGATTAATAAATCTTTCTTTTAAGAGAATTAGAACTAAACTGTTTCACAGAAAAGAAATCTAGAATGCCAGAAAGTGAAATGCTTCAAAGAAACTCAGTTTAATTTTTTTTCTCAACTTTGAATGTCGTTTTTAATACTATTGACTTTACTCAAGTGGCTAATATATTTTTACACTGCAGGGAATGTTATGGGTCATTTTTATCAATAAACCAGTGATTTTGAGTTTTTATAGTTCTATTTTTGTATAAAATAGCAAATTTTCTGCCTGGAGCAATTTTGCATCCAATATGATTTTTTCCAGTAAGCGAACCGTTAACGATAATGACACGAAACAAGTATCGGTGCACAGCTATGATTGTAAGCTATCTGGCGGTGTAACTTCTGTCTTGGTATTGCTTACGAAATATATTGTTGTATCTATAGTCAATGACAGGTTAAAAGGAAACTGAAAGCTCCTCCCACCTCTTTCCACTTTAGCAGAGCACAGCGTTTGCTTTGCTGAAGTGGAAAGTGGTAGGAGGAGCTTCTACTTTACTCTTCACCTGTCATCGACTATAGCTCCAAACGTTTTACAACTCTAAAATTTCGAGATATTTTGAAGTCGATTCCCTCAAGATTGCCTATGATTATAATGCTATTAATGCAAAGGCACAAGCGAGCTGGACAAGGATGACACTCTTTATGTTCTTTAAACTTTCTTACTCAATAACCCATAAGGTCTAGAAATACTTGATATAAGTCTTGGGTGTAAGAATTTTTTTATATTTTAAGTCAATTTCGAGCCCATCACTCAATCCTTGGCTGAACTAAGTATACTGGCTTCACTGCCATGCTACTGGCGGCCTCAGTAATAACGGACATTTCGGGAAGCTACTTTGCCACAATTTATTTCCAGTTTTTATGTGCTCATATCAAATCCTGGGATATTCGAGGGACTTACGGACGGCTAAAATAAACCATTTGTGACAACAGTAGTGCCACCTGCAGTCTGAGAGCGAGGCAAGCCAGACATTACGTTTCAAGCTCTGGCAAGCAAACATTCTTAATCTCCGAGAAAAGCGCAATTTAAAATTAAACACTGGGGCATCGTTCAGAAAGCAGCTCGGTAAACTGGGCCGGAAAAATTGGCACCTGCACGTGAAAAGCTCAAACTCTCCCTAAATGTGCACTGAGCAGGTTAGTTTCACCGTACAAAATTGCAAGGCGTAGGTTTTTTTCTGTAGGATTGGAGAGCAAGAAACTTGCCAAAGTCAAGGTTGGGCGCATTCGCATACGTTAGCGACGCTATTTACTTGTGGCGCCATCACCCAATAGGCACAGCGAGCAGATAACGCACTCTTTTAACTCTTCACTGCACCTATGGGGAGGGGGCGCCAGAAGTAGATGGCGTCACTAATTCGGTCGTCTGCAAGCGCACCCAACCTTGACTTTGGCAAGTTCCTTGCTCTCGTTTCCTACAGGAAGAGAGCTGTGCCTTGGAATTTCACACGCAGCGATGTGATTGCTGCGCCAATTGCGCCAAACTTCGCCAAGGGACTAACCCTGCTACATCCTGCTACATTTTGCCAAAATATGGGTAATCTGTGCCAAGCCTGCGCCAAAGGAGCAATTTAGGTCGCCTTTCGAAACCGAAACTAAACTGAGTACTGTAATTGAGCAGACGTGTGTTACGTGGCGCAAGCGGCCGCCTGACACAAAGTACCGTGCATCAATTGTCCACCGGGTCTTGCATGGTTTTCCCGGCGTCTTGTGTTTCTCGCTCTCGTCTTGTGGGTCTTGTCACTCGTCTCTTTTTTTATATTTTCAGTGATAGACGCGGATGTGTGCAGACGCTCCTTCGCTAGCGGGCCGGGCACCAGCGATGCCGTCATGCTGTGAAACGAAATCACGTTTTTTTGGCAACGGCCGTGGGAAAACTATATTTGGTCACTGCCTTTCAGTCACCATGGTTGCGCGAAGTCGAATGTTGCCATCCCCACATCACTGCAGATATGGTACTTTCTAAAATGAAACTAAGTACCGCCGCATGTCGTTTAAATCATACGTTACTACAAAAATCCATCTTTAATTCAAAGACTGCTCTGTCAAAGTATTGATTATCTAGATTCCTCTCGATGGCCCTTCTTTCGAGAGGGACCTCGATACGTAAAAAATCTGCCGTGAAAGAAAGTTGGTGAAGAGAAGTGAGCTAAAGCAAAGAAGGCAATGTCTGCACGCTGAGCCAGCACAGTGTGCTTGTTTTTCTCGACTTCGGTAGTTGCTCAAAGCGCTCTAAGAACTTTTTAAGGCTGGCTCGCAATGTCTTGCATCGATGCACTCAGGTTCTTTATTTTTTTGTGTTTTTAGCTTGTACCTTGTTTGCCGGCCTGGCAAGCACAAGCCACTGAACTGTTTTTGTCGCATGCTCGAAAGTTACATTTTGTGTACAATTTTGAAGATAAGTCAGCGACGGAGCTGAGGGGCATGGTGTCGGTTTCGATCGGATAGCCGTTGTCTGCGCTCGCGCAACGAAGCATGCCCAACAGCAAGCCTGCCGAAGTTGGCCTCATGTGCATGCAAACATGATTGCATGACTGAGGCACCAGCTGGGACGCTTGCAATTTATTGTTTTACGTTTGCTTACTTTTGACGAAAATCTGGCACGTCGGGAACGAGTAAAACGGTGGCAAGCGGTTTTTCGAAATTGCTTGGCGATGCCTACAGCACTGTACACTTTTGGGATGTATGAGCAGTAAAAACAGAAGCAGTGAGTTCCGTCACAACACGTCACATCAGAACACAACACAACGCAAAGTGCCGTTCGTTTTACAGCACTTAAAACAAATATCTTTATTTTCCTAAGAATATCTGCTCCAAAATCGACTTTTGCTGCTCCGAAACACTGTCTTGGCTGCTTCAAAAGCCGCTTTTGCTGCTCGAAAACACTGTTTTGGTTGCTCCAAGGGCCACATTTGCTGCTCCAAAACACTGTTTTGGTTGCTCCGAAACGTGCGCCAAAATGGCTTAGGCCAATCACATCACTGCACACGGCAAAACTGACCTGCTCAGTGCACATTCGGTGAAAGTTTGAGCTTTCTGTGTGCAGCTTTTGGGTTTTCTGGGTTATTCTGGGTATCTGCTTGGAACACCATGTAGTATATTCTAAAATATGCAGATGAATGAACCAGACTTAATTGAATGGAAAAAAAAAGTTATGACGCCGCTGAAAGACAAAAGCTTTGGCAGTGCTGGGATTTCAACTCCGAGTCTTCCAAGATGATAAAGGTGCCCCACGATATGTATATGCAGGGTGTTTTTTTTTAAGCTTTACAGATTTGTTTTTGAGAAAGCCGTGAAAGCTACACTAATGCGGTCAGTTCAGGCGAGTTCTACGGCCAGGGGGACACAACGTAGGGCGCTAATCGTCACGTTAAGTTGGCTAATTAACTAAAATATGGTAATTAACTTTTTGATGAGTAAAAACAAATGTGGTTCCAATCAGAAACTTGCTGAGCCACTTAAACAGTCAATTTTAGAAAGACTGAGAGCACGTGGGAAGCATGGTGGATTCCTGAAATCACCCCTAGTGCAGCAGGCGCAAGGCTACCGTTGCAATAACGTGCACGAGCAGTTTTTTCGTCTCCCTTCATTAGCATTTTCGCACTGTTGCACGGATGGTGAATTTAGCGCGTTATTCCACTTTCCACACATTCAATCTTTTTAAAAATTACTGATATAATAGTTTTTATGATGCCCAATATGTTTGTTTGGAACCATGTTTATTTTAACTCATCAAAAAGTTGATTAACAAGTTCTAGGTAATTATTCAAATTATGACAATTAGCCTCCTATATGTTCCCCTGGCTGTATAACTCACCTGCACAAACTGCATTGTGTAGCTTTCATGGCTTTTTAAAAAAAAAAAAAAAATCTGCAAAGCAAAAAAAAAAAAAAAAAAAAGGTACCGTAAAATACCTGGCAAGTGCCCACTCAAACTTGAGAGATAATCACAAAAAAAAAAAAAAATGGGGGATGGGCGCTTGTCCGGTCATCAACTTTACATATAAAAGTAGTGTGCGTATTTTCTCCGATCTTACAAATTTGGTAATGTGCAAAGAAAAAAAAAGTATTTTTTTAAACAGCCTAATTGGGACAAGCAAATCACAAAACAAATGTTCCGCGAAAAAAATATTTTTTTTTATCAGTATTTACGCCACAGGACGTGATTTAGTCGGAGTCAGAACCTCTCCACATTTGAAACTCTCACCCTTTCGACCCCCGCGAAAGAGGAATACGCCCCGTCCCTCACTCTCCTTGCATTGCAAACTTGAACGACGCAGCGTCTCGACTTCCCGGTAAGATCTGGCAACAACGCACGGCGGCGGTATTGTTTTTAGGGGTGTCGCGAACTTTTGTCGAACCGGATTTTAAGGTCGAACTTTCGGGGTTTGACTGGGTCGAACCGGTTCGACGAACCTTCGAACTTTTCAACAGATTCGACTGGTTCGACTTTGTGGACAGTGTGGCCAGACCTTGATACAAGCATGTCTAGGTTTGAAAATTTTTTTTTCATGCAAAGGATTATTTTAATTTTGTGAACAGCTACAATTAAAAGAAACTGATTCTAATAACTGAAGAAGTACTTAATTTGTTGTACTGTATTAACTAAAATAACCAATCAGCGCTGCCCTTAATTCATCCCTTAGCCATCACCATCCAATCCAAAGCCAACTGGCCAGCCTGTCGCGCATGCGCACACTAGTCGAACCTCAATACAAGGTTCGTCGAATTTTCCATTAAAAGTTAGAAAAAGTCGAACCTGGTCGAACTCGAACCTCGGCCGGTTCGCGACACCCCTCATTGTTTTGGTTTGACGTGGTTTGCGAGCACATGTAGCAAAGACGTGACCGGAGAAGTGCCCCTGTGATGTTCCCGGACGACTGAAAGTATCATTCGTAATCGTCGTGCGTGCTTTGAAAGCGAAGGGAGTCACAGAATCCACGAGTGCGCAACCACAAGCCAAGGTTCACGACAGCGCTGCGTTGGTTTCGGCGATCTCATTCTGTTTGGTGACGTTCGTGGTGTGTGTAATGCGGTGCTAACAGGAAGCGCAAATTGGTTGACGAAAGTAATCCCTGGAGAAGGGGAACAAGAGGGACAAAGGACAAACATAAATCTCCAAACACAGCTAGGTGACTGGTGAGCGACCGAAAAAATCCGCCTGGTCCGGGTATCGAACCCGGGACCTCTCCATTACAAGTGGAGCGCTCTACCAACTGAGCTAACCAGGGGTTAGACGTCAGTAGAGCAAACGGGTTTTATCAGCTGCCACCAGTTGAACACCAACAAGGGTGAAGCTTGCAATTTAAGGTTATATTATAATGCAATTAAATGCAAAGGTGCAAGCGAGCTGGACAATAATGACGAAAGTAATCCCTGGAGAAGGGGAACAAGAGGGACAAAGGACAAACGTAAATCTCCAAACACAGCTAGGTGACTGGTGAGCGACCGAAAAAATCCGCCTGGTCCGGGTATCGAACCCGGGACCTCTCCATTACAAGTGGAGGTCCCGGGTTCGATACCCGGACCAGGCGGATTTTTTCGGTCACTCACCAGTCACCTAGCTGTGTTTGGAGATTTACGTTTGTCCTTTGTCCCTCTTGTTCCCCTTCTCCAGGGATTACTTTCGTCATTATTGTCCAGCTCGCTTGCACCTTTGCATTTAATTGCATTATAATTATAACCTTAAATTGCAAGCTTCACTCTTGTTGGTGTTCGACTGGTGGCAGCTGCAAATAAACCCAACAGCATTTGAGATTTTGTCGCCTTGCCTGTTATTTTATTTTTTCATCTCTCGTGGTTTAAAATAGGATCTTTCCTAACCAGCTCACTTGCATGCTTTCAGTTCTTCCAAAGGTTGTCATTATTATTATTATTATGATCATCATTACTCCCCTGCACCTCCCAGGAGCGGCGGGAGGCGGCGGTGCGCGAGATCCTGCGGCTCCTGCGGCCGGGAGGGCGGGCCCTGATCTACGTCTGGGCGCTGGAGCAGGCTGAGGGCGCACCGTCCAAGTACCTCAAGGCGTCCAGGAACGCCGGTCACACACTCCCCTCGGGGTGCGAGTCGATGCCGGGCCACTTGCCGGTGCACGCCAACCGGACGCAGTTCGAGGCCCGGGACATGCTGGTGCCGTGGCACTCCAGGGGCACCCAAGAGGTGCACTACAGGTGGGTGCTCGAGGCAAGGTCGCCTCCTCCCCCCTCCCAAACGTCGCTTCTTCCCCCCCCCCCCCCCCCCCCCCCCACCTCCAGTGGGCCCACACAGCACTGCCCAACGCCATACTAGATGGAAGTCAGTTGACAAGCTTCCTAGAACACCCGGTGCCATTTCGTAGCGCGTCTGCTCAGTGGTGCTCGCTACACTATCAGCTTGCCCTATGGGCCGAAGCAGCAGAACCGGTGGAACCTTTTAATGGTGGAATGTGATTCTATCTTGGTTTTGATAAAAAAAACATAAAGTTTGTGCAAAAATAGCAGCCTTCAAAAACAGTCTTTCTCCAGATGCAGGCGGTCTTCTGTCCGCCTGTATCTGCTTGCGCGCAGGCAACAAGCAGAAAACATTTTCCAACAACTCTCTTCCGCTGAATAGATCTAACATTGGCACCGCTTACCTTGCATCGGTATCATCAGCAGCCTGCCGTATAGCATCTCACAAGCACGACGTTAGCGTGCAGCGACGCTCAAAGGGACACATCTGCCACCCTGCGGCGGCTAGCTTTCATCGAGCTTCGGCGCGTTTGCCACATGCGGCGGGTTGGACATCCACCAATAATGACGTCGTGCGCGGGGCTTTGAATAATAGAAATATTAATGTCTTTATTTCCCTTTTTATTTGATTGTGCAAAAAAAAGGAGGATGCCAACGGTGAAGCTTGTTCACTCACTTGAGTTCAGTGGCAGCCGGGCAAGCTGTGCAGCCGTGCGTTCCTTTTTGACGAGAGAACACCCTGCACCATCTACGGGGTAACCTTGGTACTGCGTTTAACTGGAACAAAGCTTTTGCAGTCTTTGCAGAATCAAACGTATGCGGGCGATTCCATTTCAAGTCGTGCAGAAGAAAAGGGCATGTCTCATATGCGTTTGAAAAAAATGTATATGCTGGGCAAGTTCTTCATTAGGACGAAACTGAAAACTGTTTTTCCATCGTATTTTTAGTTCTCGAGTTTTTCTTTTTACTTCAAAAGGGCCAAAGCCGGATTTTGAGATTCGAGCGATCGTCGCAGGTCGCGTATTTGGCTGTTTGTCCCGGCTCCAGGATGCCTTTCGCGCAACCACGAAACTTTGCATAGGGTTTTTCTGAACTATGCAATAGAGGGTTCAGATGGCCAAAAGCCCGTTTTAGGGAATGCTGGTTTAGAGACCCCCTGTAGCAAAAACCATACTTTGTCAAATTCGGGAAATCATTTCACTATTGGCTCTTTCGGCCGTCTTGTCTCGACCGACAGCCAAGCCGAGCCAGTCGGCGAGTCGGTTGCTCAGGGATTCGGGCAGCCAGCACATTCAGAAAACATTGTGAAGACGATTGAAAGTTTCTATGCACGTCACAACGCTGCTGTTTTCGCAACAAATTTTTTGTGTCTCACCCAGGCATGTAGCCAGGGGGGAGGCCCATGGGGCCTGGGCCCCCCCCCCGAAATCTTCCATTTTGCTGGGACCTCCTCTCCCCCCTCCCCCTCATACAGCATTTTGTCATGGGCGGGCCCCCCCCAAAACAAAATCCTGGCTACGTGCCTGGTCTCACCTGATTTATGGGGAAGAGAGAGAGAAGGGGAGGGGCCAAGGCTTATGTGTACACCATTCAGTGAATCACGCACTAGCCTTAGCCTTTAGCGGCTTCCAGATGTGATTACACCAGCCAAACTAGCCTCCTTTTCGATAAACGGTACATCTCTAAACCGCGATTCGGTGAAACGCACCCTTTCTCTATAACGAGTTTCGATGAAATGGCGTTGAACGAGCCATAGTATACCCATCTAAACAAGCTGTTCTTTCCAGTCATGAGGTACAATTTGTCAAGTGTGTGGAACTTGACCATCATCCTCACTAGATCCGTAGTGATCCACACGATGTGGATCCACAATGAATCGTGAGGTCCAATTTGTCAAGTGCAGAAGTTGACCTCCATCCTCACTACACCTATAGTGATCCACACAGTGTGGATCCACAATGAAACTATGGGAGAGGCGGGGTGGACATGTCTTGAATGTTTTTGTCACTGAGGGGTTGAGGTCAGCTGCAAGGCACCAATATTATAACATTTGGGAACACAGAGGAAGTGGCACTTAGAGGCTGCATCGAAAACGAGATCTACAATGAAAGAGAAACTTTAAGCAACAGTTACTCATTTGGCATCGTCAGCAAATTATATGCACTGAAAAAGCAGAACTGCAAAAAGCAAATCAGCTGAGTAAAAATTGGCTCAGCTACCTTCCTGGGAGTGTATGTCACCACTCAAGCGTTAAAATATGCTTTCGCAGAACAAGAACATCGTCGCAATGCATTGAAAATGTAACTACACTACCGGATGCAACGTTATATTGTCTCCTCAAAAATATCCTGGCAGGGCCTCGAAAATCCTTGAAAACCCTAAGCATTTTATCTTTAAAATTTGTACTAACCCTGGCACAAGATGGGGCTCCGCATGGTTGCAGCTGGCCCACACCAATCCATTGAGGCACTAGCATCCCTACCCAATAAGCACGTAATATCCAAATTGTTCCCCCCCAGATGGGTGCAATGCATCTGCTGTACCCAACACCACAGGTTCTCAGAGCTGTTAGGAACCCAAGGGCTCCCCAAGCGTCTCTGCCCTTATAAAGCGTTTTTTCTGTTTAAGCACCATTTTATAAGATTCAGGCTACCGATTTATACGTAACTATGAGCCTATCCCTCCCTAGTATGCAATTTATTGTTTCAAGGGCCCGTTGGCTTCTGCACTGCTTTACTGCGTTGATGCCGACACTAAGAAAGGTTCTCCAACCATCAATCGAAAAAGAGGAATTCCTCGAGATAGAGGGGTTTGCAAACCCACACCCAATAGGGGCGTTGTGGCCTATTTGGTTACGAGGTTCAGTTTCTGCGGTACAGGCAAAGAGCACTTGGGTTACTTTTGACGGCCTTCCTCGGATTGGGCGCAGGTACTACCACCTGTTTGAGCGTGGCGAACTCTCTGGACTGCTGGAGCGGGTGTCACCCGGCTGCGTCCTCGAAGAATACCACGACCAAGGGAACTGGTGCGCGGTCTTTGGCAAAGACCCGTCGACAAGTGCCCCTCTGGGCAGCAGACCTTCCAGCCTTTTATTTCGAGCGTCAGATGCCAAATAAATGGCCGTTTCATCGGATCTTGTCATTGTTTTATTAAAAAAGCACAGTAGCTAGCTGGCCATGGCATTCTTCGGAGTTTGTAGTGGACATTGCAGTTTTCTTTTCTTTGGTTACAGGCTTATAGCATGTTATTTTATCCTAACTGTCTCTTTTTTTATTGTGATGATAGGCATGTTTTCGATTTCTTCCCATTAACTTTTCGAATGCGAACGGTGGCGACTGGCGTTCGCATTCTTACAGTTTGTAGAGGCCGTTGTGGTAGAGACAACGCCAGCTAGCTTCGAGTTTACCCACCAATTAGCATAGTGATAGAATGTCGAGCTCTCAATTATGGGGTTGTCGGTTCAAGTCCCACGTCGGGGTGCATTTAGAATTTTCTTTTCTTATCAATGTACCACACTTTTGCCCAAATTGTCCTCAAAAGCGTAAGTCGCATATTTCATAGTGCTTTTCGTGCCATTTCGTCGCACTTTCCTTGCGGATCCCAGCCCTTGAACACATTCTGCGTTAAAACCATTGTCTTCAACATCAGAAAGTTGGAAAAAATTAGTCGTTTTGTTTAGGTATGCGTTAAGGAATTTCCGAGGAAGAACACGTGTAATTTCCGACAGGACATGAAGGTCTTTCGGGTGTCTCGAGGCACCCGAAACATTCCCAAATGTTGGCGTTGGACCTTCTGATGCCACAGTCCATAAATATGGCTAATTAAAATATGTATGAATAAATATTAAATAATAACTGAGCTCAGATGTAAACAGCTGGATGCTTGAGAGCAGCTTTTCAAGCTCAGCCGAATTTTCATTTAAAGTGCCACCGACTACCCCAGCATCAATATTATTTTTTTTCTCGATCTCACCAACATGCGAGAAGGACTCACGGGGAAGCCACACCCAAGTCTGCGATCGCTTCAAAACTAATTTCCTGGTATACTCTCTGGCACTTCCATTTTTTGACAATAACTGTGCACATTTATTCACTCATTGTCGCGAACAACTGGAAATAATCCCTAGACTCTGGACAGCTACTGCCATCTATGAGCGACAGCAACAGCCGCAACAACCAGACAACTCCAGTGTGTTGCGTTTCCAGTTGTTTGGTTGCCGCCGTCGCTCATTGATGGCGGGAACCTTTCCAGCCTTTCCACCCCGGCTTGCCGACTTGCGGCCGGCCATTACTCCATTCCCACCATAGTACAGCTTCGCTGGTCTTCCTTCATCAGAGTGGAAAGGCTGAAAGTTTTTTTAGTGACTTTCTGTTTAGTGGGTCTCAATAATATTACGGTAATCATATTTATTTGCAAGACAAAAATGTCATCCTGGGTGGCGTGCAAGGCTGTGCAGAACCGGAGCCTTGCAGAACGGTCAGAAGCCTTACGCAAGTGAAGTGCAAGTGCACCTGCGAGCCCATAACCCTCGAGGAAAGTGGAAAATGACGTGTTGTAGACTGGTGAGCAACGCTAGGATAACCCAAAATTCTTGATCGCTCAAAGTCCAAAAAATTATGCGGTACCAAAAAAAAAAAAAAAAAAAACTCCGAGCACTTACAGATTTTCCAATCTCACTCTCGATTACCTCGGCGCAGCTGCTTCGAGAGCATGCATCAAGAGCAAGAAGAAAAACAAGGAGACTGCCGATGTCTCGTCAATATCACTCCCGGGCTCAAAGGTTTTATATATCCAAGTCGGCCGCAAGTGCTTTTGCAGTGGTCGCAAAAGCCCATCTGATGGATGTCATTAATAATTGCACATGCAACTTCCGAAATTTCTATAAATTTATGACAAATGCCTTTGCCCTTTCTTTCATCAAGAAACGAAGTGAGGAGGAGCCCAAATTGGGGGAAGACATGGACCTTTAACAGGGCTCTTCACGCGCTATAGTCCGTTCAACTTCCACTGCTACTCGAGAAGGTGGGGCGAGGGAAAGGAAGGCTAAGGAGGAGGAAGCAGACGGAACACTAAAGAGGAGAGGGGGAAACCTCCTCCAGCATTTCGTCTGCTTCCTCCTCCCCAGTTTTCCTTTTCCTCGCCCTACCTTCTTGAGTTGCAACGGACTATAGACAATTTTTTTTTTGCAATTACATTTTTTGGGGTGTTTTGTCACGCACCTCTAAAGCGTCCAAGAAAAAAAACAAAAAATATCAATGTTGGGGTTGTCAGTGAATGGCTTTGACAAACAATTTGATATCAGATTCAAACTGAGAATCCACTATTCACAGATGTCCACATGCAACGCTTGGACATACTGAAACCAGAGACTGCAGGCAAAAAGAGGAGACACTACTCACTTGAACTACGCTTTCTTGTAATGTTTGTGCAAGCACCGAATTTGCTATGTGATAGAAACATTGTGATAAAACATTTTTTACAACAGAAAAGGTTTATAGTAAGGATGAGTGTTCTGTAGTAAATAATAATCTTTATTTGCAAAGTAATGTTACCCCGGGCGGCTTGCAAAGAGAAAACATAAAGGCCCGTACACTTGTGCATCTTCTAGCCAGTCACAATAAGTGTGCAATGCTGGTAGGCGTTCCAGGTACTAATAACGCAAAGATACCGATTTAAACGTAAATGTTAGACGGAGTCGGGTTTGGTTTAAACTTTAATGTAAGAGACTTCCAAGTAATTCATAAATGTGAGGGGGCCCCCCAACATTTCCAGACTAACAGCCGTTTCTTTTTCAGGGAAACCATAACTGCTGAGAAGCAGCAGTCTTCCTTCCTCTAAAGTAGTAGTAATAACCAACTGATTTATTTTGCAATTTACTTCATACACACTATTTCACAGAAAACTGGCAAAACATTTCCTGCAAAAACTATGCACCACACTGAATGGTTGTACTTTTAATTGACTCATTAATTAGTGAAGATAAAGGTATGGTCCCAATTATATTTTCTAGGCATCGTCAAGAACTGTACGAGTCATTTTTAGAATGATTTAATCAAAAAACTTTATCGTGCCCTGAAAAGAAAAAAAAAAAAATCAGGGTTAGCTTTTTTTTGACTTATTTAATATCTTGGGTTCAAAAGCCAATAAGACAACAAAACCACAGTGGTGCATTCCAAGGGCATCAATATTCTATATCTGCTTAAATATTTATCTTTTGACCATGCCCAGCTAGTTTGTCATTAAAAGCATACCACTACCTATAATAAAAAAAAATTAACCATTTTACCTAACTGAAGCCCTATGGACCTAACTAGTGACAATATGTCAACAACCTGTTCCCTGCACAATGCGCAGTTTTTGAGGAAAAACTGTTGACCTCTATTTGACAAGATGCCCTGCGCAGGCAGGTTCTACCCTACAGAAATGGTTTCAAGTCAGACAGATGCCAACACACACGAACCTGCAACGAAAAGCCAGAGAGATTGACGTCGCCACTCGGAAGATTGGATAAGCGGTTTTTATTCGTTTGGCTACTTTTTCCACAAAACTGCTAGGTGTACCAACGGTAGGAAACATGGTCTCGCCTTTTGCGCGGGTCGAGAAAAAAAGCCGTAGATTGTTTGTTCGGCCGGCTTTATGGGCAGCACTGGCTGTGTGTATGGTCCACGGCTAGACTTTCGTTCCCTTTAAAAAGTCGTCTGCAAACGGTTCCCATGGTTGCAAGACTTTGGCAGTTGCCGCTGCAGTGGATGGTCGCTTCATTGTGGGCATTTTTTCTACAGCAGTACCAGATGCCACATTTAGGAGGGTCACCCAAGAAAGGTACCAGTGCCATTAGGGACAACGCTTTAAGGTGCAGTTTCCACTGCAACGTGGCGCCCCTAGCACCGAGTTTCCCCTCGTTTCTCAAAGTCTTCGATGTTGTAGCCGGACTTTACGGCACCGAATGAACTCCCACCCTAGAAATTTTCTTTCCCGATTTTGGGGCAGCCGGAATGCAAAGCGTGGAAAAAGCGGCCACGTACATCTAGTCGCGAATAGCTTCTCTACGACAGAGGGAATCGGAAAAAGGTAAATTCAGATTGAAGCGTCGCATCTGCGGAAACAAGGAGGTGCCTTCTGTATTCGCAAGGGTGCGACATGCACACTCGTAGCAGACGAATGGGCATATCGCACGTTGCCAGACCATGTTTTGCATTCCGCCGAACCACGTGGAGAGAGGAAAGTTTCTGGAATATCAAGACCGTTGTCCTTGTTGAAGAGCCGCTTTGGAACACGGACAGATTTTGTCTGTAACCCGACGTCAAAAATGTTTAAGCAAAACAAACGCTCGCGAGGGTGAACGAAGCGCGGGTTTCGGCCAAGGGACTTTGCTTTGGACACAGATACAGAGACAAACAAATGCACAGACAAAACCACGGTGGGGGTGGCACGGTGGGCATGTGCGTGGAAGGAAGCGTGATTCGCAACGTGCCCGAGGAGTGTTCACGGCACAGAGCACAGATGTTGAGCGACCACGACACACACACACACTCTCATCACGCACACTTTGGCTACCGCAAAAACAACTGTGTTGGCAAACACCGCTTCCTTTGTTTTCCTCTCGAAGAGGCTGTAATGGAACGTGTGTGGCAGCTGAACCTTGCTGTAAGGGATGTGCACGTCGATGGACGTCCGACAGTAAAACGGACAACTTTACAGTGTAAGCGCCATCTTTGTCAACCCCAACATATGTGCCCCCCAAAAGACCATGAGCTGTCACAAGGATTACAGATCGAACACAACCTGGCAAAAGACAATTTTGGAAATATGCAGTGTCCCTGCCATCTTCCCGACGCATTAGGGCAATCCAAAGCGGTTCGTGCTGGTCAGCTATTTTGCGACTCTATAACACAAATAAAGAGATAAATAAACGGTGTAAGCGTATGCTCTGTTACATGCTCATTCTGTTTTCTTTGTGCTCTGAATTCGCAATGGTAAAACAGAAGGGATTGCACAGCTCGCAGAACGAAGGGAGCGTACGAGTCGACTGCATGGAGCAATGTGCAGTTTCCAAGAAGCCTCGCGCAATTTTCCAGTCTGTCATTCTTTCCACAAACATAACGAAAACTTGAGGAATGGTGTGGTTTCCTGGTCGTAGCATGTAGAAGTAACAACCTAAAATGAATCGTTAAAATAAATGAGAATGTCTTCAATCTCGACGTCAAGTTGCGACGTAAAAGGGTGCGTCGTTGCGCTTGTGACAATCTCATCAAAAGAATGTTGTGGCTTCAGATTGTCGCGCTGCGATAAACGACGACAAAACAAGGAACGGCAAAAAGCTCGGAATGTGTTGCCACGACAGCATAGGCAATACCGCGTGAGAAATAAAATGCAACAAAGGGGAGAAGACCGGTACGCGATTGGTCCACTAGCACGCTTCGGTTTACGCAAATTCCAATGCTGATTGCACCACAAGCCCAGGACCCCTAGCTCACGAACGCTCGAAAATCGTCCCACAAAACGAGGTTTGCATCGTCGCCGCGACATATATGTACAGAACTTGAGCATTTGTGTGGAAGTTCCCCCCTTGTAAGACCTATACATGGTGATATACAGAGAAAAGTGCTACAGTGACACCATTCCGAGGGTGGTCACACCTCCAGCAGGGAGCATTTTTTGATCGAATTACATTTAAGTAGTTGCTCGTGGGCATGTCTGACCATGCCATTCTGCTATGGATCCCGTGCAACGGTTCCTTGAGAAATGGCGTCGAGGGTTTGACCGAAAGTGGCGGGCAGCCAGAACATCTAGTGACCCCGAGCAGACGGCACCGGCACTGAGGCTACATGGCGCAGAACAGACTGCCGCCGACAGAAGCGAGAAAACAGAAAACCAATCCATGCTCCCACCGTACAACGGGAAAGGTGAGGTGCGAGACACGCGGCAACGTCGTTCACAACCGGTGCCTCGAAACGAGTCTTAAGAGTTCGAGCTCAAATGGCCGCTTCCTGTCCGCACACGTTCGCTACTGACTAGGTGTGGGCTTTCCCCCCCTCCTACACCCCCCCCCCCCCCTTTCGGCTAAAAGACAAACAAACATTCCGAAGACAAACAGAGTAAACAAGTGGCATTGACGGATATGGTTGAGAAATAGAAAGAAAACACCCACGGAATGTTTGTGTGGTTTGTTCGCAAACACCAACGAGTTAAATTTGGACCGTGGACTCGAGGATCCAAGTTGGATGAGCATCCATTTGTTCTTGAGTTCCAGCGGCACTGCAGGGAAAAGTCCCACTTGGTCACACACACGTTTCGTAGCACAGAGGAGATGCTGAATCAACAACTTAGGACTTGGAGTTAGTCCCAGCAGACTAGGCCTAGTTTGTTAGGCCTAGCTGCTTAGGCCTAGCTGCTTAGGCCTAGCTTGTCAGGTCTAGCTCCTCCAAGCTGAAGACTGGTGAGAACTGCGGTGAGTGCAGCAAGCAGGCCTCTAGTCTTCCGGTATCCCAACATGTTCCTTTCAACCGATGATGGTTGGGGGCCACTTTTTTGTAGCTTGCTTCGCTAATGATGGCTTCAGTGCGCTGCTGCTGGATGAAGCTGGGAAGGAAGTGTGCCTTGTACCCTTCGGCGCTGGGCAGAACTCGGAGGATGCTCCTACGAACGCGCTGACGGAACAGACATTGGGTGACGAGGAATGGTGATAATAGTAAGGGGTCTTCTTCCCACGGGAGGGGTGTGTCAGTGTCAGAAAAAGCGAGGGCTTTCCCTTTGCGTTTGCTCTCTCAAAACTTGGTGGCGCACGTCAGGTCGCCGTCATGGTGCTGAAACGGCAACAAGGCGGTCAGGTCGGTAGAGCCCTTCGCGGCGCCAGCGCTTGGTGGTACTGCCCGTTGGCAGGGAACAGGGTTGCAGGGGCCCCAAAGGAAAAGAGGAGAAACAAAACATTCACATGCGAGGGAGGTCAGGCACTCGCAGAACAAAACAGAACGGCTGGCACAAGCAAGACTTCCACTAGTTGCGAGAATTGCACGACACTTCTTAAAACTGCTTGCTACGTCAAACTCGCTTTCACCTATTCATGAAGTTGATCAAATTCATGAGCTTGGTCATGCACATGTATTCTAGGGTTCCCGCAAGCACGTAAGTGCACAGACATAATCTGACTGTCGGATTGCCAGATACCAGAGATGGTTCAGAAGTTTTTTCTAGCTATGTACTCTATCATTAGGAACTTAAATACCACTAGCCACATACGGCGGTTTCACGAAATCAGTTTTCACCTGCCAAGTTTTAAGGGATGGTCAAATGCAAAAGCATGACCGATTGGCCCCATCGACGACAGAACTCGAGATGCATGTTCGAGGATATATCTAGTCTCATATACCCACGCTTACCCGGCTTTTTTCCCATTTAGAGTCACCCCTGCAGCAATTGCCAGGGCCATTTTGCTCGTTCACGAGCAGATTGTTCAGGCGACTGGTCAAGTTTAAAATAATTATCAACATTTGTAAAAATTTAGTACCAGCAGATTCCCTTTTATGTCGCCGATTCTTATGCCAAGTGAGAGAACTTGAGCATGCAGGAAAACACTGCCTCCGTGCATATTGTAAATTCAAAAGGAGAATCCCTTTTGAATGAACGTGAAGTTCCCAGCATGGACTCCGGCAAGATATTGAGACGGAAGTATCTGTCACATGAAATCGCCCTATGATCAACACAGGCAGTAGCTAGCAGACAACTAGGCTGCTTTCTAGCAGACGACGAGGCAGTTTGTTGCAGACGACGAGGCAGTTTGTTGCAGACGACAAGCCAGATTTCCAGCAGACAGCAGGCCACATTGCAAACCGCGGCGGGGCAGTCTTCTAGCACACGAGACTGGCTTTGCAGCAGAAGGCTTGCGAGGGTTACCTACCGTAGGGGGCGGCGTGTACCTGGCCTGCAGGAACGCCTGCTCCTCACGGCTTGCGGAACGTCCATTCCTGGAACACGGGGAACCAGAGGCCCTCGAAAGGCCGTCGGTGCAAGCACCGCGCCCTCCCCTCGCCAAGATCCAAGCCACGAAATAAGCTACGCTTCAGAGTAAAGACACTTCGGTTATCTTGAGGCATTCAAATTATTGTAGCTAGTTGTCTCCACTCCAATTTGCATAAAGTTTGACTGTAGCCAACGCTACAGTCCGATGGAGTCAATCAAGCAGTGCCAAAAGTGTGCTGTCACGGTGCACGTCGTCTTCGTGCGTTTGCTTATCAGTGGCTAAACCAAACACGCGCATTAAATTCAGCACGATCCTGCACTTTTTTTGCTTGCAATTGTCTTAAGAGCCGGTGATAGCAAATGCAAAAGGACGACAAGTGTCGCGACGATGCACTTTTGGCGCCGACTGATTGGCTTCATCGAATCGTAGCGTTGACTGCGGTCAGACAATGTTAAACGGAGTATAGAGCTTCACGCAAAATCACGCTGCCAAACACCTTACACTCCTGCGACGGACACCGTCACCGAAACTGCGACAGAGCAAAACGACATCACCCCAGCTTCCAGACACTGAGCCTAAAGCATGGCTGTTGCGTGTTGCCAATTGTGCCCCCGCTCCATACGGGCAACAAAATAATGCAGCCCGGAAGACAATCTGAGAACGGTTTGTCGATACTCTAGGTATCGACAAAGACTAGCCCTAATCCAAGCTATGACACAAAGCCCTGCAACAAAGGGGAATCCATCTTTAAAGTGTCCAGCCTCTGCAGTGTGTCAAGAAAGTCTGTGGGTTGGCCGCCAGAACAAAGGACCGCCCGACAGCCGCAGGAAAAGGAAGGGTGCGGGTGGCCAGGAGGAATGACGACTCTGAAGCCAGCGCCAGGCAACGCGGAATGGCCATCTTCTAAAACGCTGCACTCTTCTTTCTCTTTGCAGGAGAAAACCGATCGTCCCTCGCCCTCGCCTACGGTCACAGCAGTCGCGGATGAGGGGACGGGGACGACGTGCCAAGTGGCAGAGAAAGGAGCCTAAGCTACGGGTGCAGAAAAACAGCATTCGGTTTTCCCAAAAAAGAAGCGTGTTTTGGAGGATGTTCACTTTCCTTGGTTCCGGAATGCCAATCACTTTCCTTTGTCTCTCTCCCAGTATTGGTGAAAACCTCTTTTCGCGATGTGCCAGGCATCCTCGGTAGAGGCAGAAAAAGGTTAAGACTAGCATGCATTCGTCGAATCAAAACAACAGTTCGAAAGATAAGCTGTAGACATCACCGGCCATCAGTATACCTACCGTTACATTTAGCTGTTATTGCTGTTGACTATGACAATGCTACACTGCAGTGGTAGAGGTTACCAACCTACGGGACGCTCAGTAAGGATTACCAGGTGCCCTTCAAGATTTTATCCCATGTGAAGCTATCCTTAACTAAACGAGGTACCTAGTAGCATCCGTTTTTCCTTTAAATTTTCATTTCTCGAATAATTAAGAAGATTGCAGTGCAAGGCTAGGGCTGCAGGTTCCCATTTTCATCTCTCTATCATCCTATCATCCGAAATGCCGATTATTTAATCCTTGTAAAGTTTGCAATTGCAAAGGGATGTGTGACACGAGGTGTCAAACTCCTCCAAGACCAAATTCAACAACTCGGGGTAGAAGTACTACAGACAAAGCTCCAGTGTGCAAATGCGAGACAAATTGCAGTTGTTGCAGCATTCAGACACCAAGCAAAGGTTGATTCATCCGAAGCCTGGCTAAGTACAAGTCACTTCCTCCAATCTTGAGTAACACTTTCAAGGACAAGGTCATGAAGATGCGCCCAACAGCAAACACAACTCTCTCCAAGGACAGAAACAGATCTAACCTGGAACAGAGTCGCTCCCGCCGACCACAAACAATAGCTCTGCCTAAAAATAAAACCAAGTCCACCCTTCCGCAACACAAAACCCGGTACGTCCAGAGCATAAAGCCTTTCCTGATGACTGTAACAGCAGTCTGTCACAGGTACAAGAACTACCCTGCCTAGGAGCACAGAGCATTTGCCGGTGACTGTAACAGTAGCTCTGCCCCAGACTTCTTAATGCAGCGAGCCGCTGTTAACACCAACTACAGGGACATCCTGCCCAGCAGGAGAGACTTGGTCTACACAGTTGCAAAGGTATTATTTAAAAGGAGCAAGAACTGATCTGCTCAGAAGTAGAATGCCACTTCTCCTTCCAACTGGGAGGGTACCACCTCTATCAAAAAGCAGAAAGCAATCTAATCGCAACTGCACTGGCAAAATGGCGAGTGGCCCCATTTTGGAGCAAATTCCACTCCACTAAAATCGGTGGATTCGGCCAGAAGCCACTTTGTGGCGCACACATCTTCCAGTCTCGCCAAGCATGATGGGATGCACACTGCGGGAATGCTCCCCCATGTTCTTTTATTATCATTATTATTTCTACGGGGCATTTTTATAAACTTCGCACACTTGTTTAAATAAAGCTGCAAAAGCTGCACTAATCCAGTCTGTGGAGGTGAGTTGTACGGCCAGGGGGACATAATTTGCGGGGATAATCGGCACATAAGTCAGATAATCAACTAAAACTTGTTCATTAACTCTTTAATTATAGAAAATAAGCATATGGCTCGAACTACAAACTTGCCGAGCGTCGTCGGAAACTACTAAATCAGTAAATTTTAGGAAAATGTTGAGCATGTGGAAAGCACGGTTGTGCATTAAAGTTGCCACTTGTGCAATAGGCACAAGGCTGGCGATGCGAGGACCACGACACCACTGTGCACTTTACACTTCACACCCCCAGGCCCAAGTGGTTCACACATCAGCGTCCAAGCACTTCGCATTTGCCTCTAAACCCTGACGACCAGCAAACACACTGGCACAATCTATCGTGCAGCCCTGAAACACCTCTGACCCGCATATATATGTACTGTTTTAATTTTTTATGCATCATTGTCCAAGCACTTCGCATACCCGCATATATATGTACTGTTTTAATTTTTTATGCATCATTCTTTTACGATGCCTTTATCATATCCGACAAACATGGAGATGCATGGGATGCGTCGCAAACAAGCAGTGCATGTGTTGCTACCCCGACGTCACGTGGCTTTATGATGTCACTCGACCTCGCGACACCATGTGACACCATAGCGTCGCAGACTTTCGCAACATCCGGGTGTCAGGTGACGTAATAGTGTCACGTGACATCATGACATTACGTGGCACACCAACATCGCATAACGCTGTGCTGTCACATCACACGACACCATGACATAGTCACATGGCATCCCGGTGTCACGACACGAGTGTCATGCGGTATCAGGGTGCCATATATGTGATATAGGCCTGTGGCTATATTGCTTATACAGTCGATCCCGCTAGAGCGAACACCGCATGAACGAGATTTCCGCAACGACTAAGCATTATCAATTTCCCATTTGTTGGCCATAGAAGATAGCTAATAAACCGTCTTCCCGCAACGGGCAAATTTTAGAACACTGCTACGCTTCAACAAAGGTTTCGTAACCAAAAATTAAGTTAACCCGGTCACCTAATTCGTGAATTAAAGAAATATTAAATTATTTTTACGTTTGATATCACAGCTAGCTCTCGCCAAACGGCTATAAAAAGTGCAGGTGCCGTGTTAACTGCTGCTCGGAGGCATCGGAAACCTAAATATTGCTTAGTGATGATGATGACAATGTGGAGGAGCATTCTGCGAGAACTCCAAAAACCTTACTCCCCGCAAAGGCTGTTCTGCGTCAGGTTTGGGCTCAAGCCAAGCCAAATCTGCACAAGATGGCGTGTTGACAGCACGTCAGTACAAAGAGGAATTTCAAACCTCTTTGAGTCAGTACCTCAAGGCACGGTACCAGTCGGCAGAAGATATTGCGCAACAATTTGGCACAGTTCATAACAGAAACAGATTGTTCTCAATGGCAAATGCTAGCAAATGCAACAGCATGGGCGATTTCTCTCAAGTAGAAAATGTATATATCACCAAGGTGGCAAGAGACAAAAAAGAAGGCAGATATCGCGGGCAAGTTTGGTGCATCTATGTTGAGCATCAATGCCGACATAATTTGTAATCACTCATGAAGAGATGAATGAAGAACATATCAATAAAAGTGCTAGGAATGGCGATGACTTAAATGGTTAGGATGAGGCTGCCCCAGCACTCGCGTCCCGGGTAATGAACACCTGCCAAATAACCCAAACTTTTGCTGGTGTCCAGGATGACAATGTCACAATGCAATTTTCCTAAGAATCGCATCGTGCCGCTCCTTTACAGAAAGTGCAATCAGTCTAGAACAATTGTTTTTTTGGAACTAAAGCTCATTCGAGTCCCACCAGAACTAATATATCATTGCCCCTTCCTGATTTCACAACACCAAAGTTCCTGTGGCAACAAATGTTTTTGCTCACTTGCCCCGTCAATTCTGCAACGCATAGCAGGAATCTACTGTATGACCTTTTCCTGAATGTTGGTCGAGCGAAACTCTCGAGCGAAACTCTCGAGCGCAATGCGTTGCTTTTTTTGAGTAACCCGGCTCTTAAATACAACGTGTCAATTCTGCCGACATTGTAAGCAACTGTTTCTTGGAGATAATGCGTAGATTTGACCGTGCTAATACAGCAAAACCTTCAGTCACATATCAAAAGCGATTCCAGGGCTACCTCAGGGATGGTAGAGGCGTGTTCCCTCATCATAACCGGTTCCAGGAAAACCCAACGCACTTGAGCACACGCAATCGCAACTGCGCCAACTAGCCTTTACTCCCGTGGGTCGTACTACACCACAGAATGCGGATGCCAGTGGGCTTTCGAACACTGAGGCACAAACCCCTCGTTCTGGAGAGAGATCGAGCGACTTCTGGAACACGGCCCCCGTCTAACCCCTGCAAAGCTGGGGCTAGAGTGGCTCCGCGCGAATCGTCAAATTTGGGGGTTTCAAGCGCCGAACCAACTAAGGGCATCTGGCACTCCCTGGCGGAAGACCGAGAAATAATTTAGAACACCCGGGGATCTTTTGACGCACAGCCGAAACCTCCGCCTTCTTCGCGACAGGTCTGGATTTGATCGCGGGCACCTCGATCGAGATTCAAACCCACAACCCAAGGATCCGTAGGACGGCGCTACGTCTCAAAGCAACCGAGGCGGCTTCCGCGCGAATTGCACGCTCTGTCGCGAACTCGAGTCGCCGCCTTAAGACGACCTGCAGAAACCGCCGCAGCCGACACACCCGACCCCGCCTGCAGAGCGCCCCGGAGGCCCTCTCCGAGATGTCCCCCGGGGGGAGGGGAGGGGGAGGGGAGTCAGAGGTGTGCTGGGGCGTACGTGTCGCGGCTGCGCCTGGCTGCAGCACCACCCACCGCGGAGGGTGGCAGGAAGGGGTCCTCCTCGTCCAGGGCTTCCCGGGGCCGTCTGCGATGGGGCCACGTGAGGAGGGGAGGAGGGGGAGGGGGACGGGCTTACCTCTGCCGGATGTGGATCCAGGTGTGGGAGGCCACCCAGATGAGCACCGTGAACAGGAGGCCCGCCCCGGCCGCGGAGGCCAGCATGAAGGCCGTGCCCTCCCTGGGAACAGAGGCGTTGCTGTACACACTGGCGGAGCGCTCACGATTGCTCCCTCAAATTCCCCCACTTCTCCGAGCTTGAATATTTCGATTAACTGTCCCAACCACTACGAGAAAAGAAAATGCGGAGGATGGGGTTGTGCGGCGAACATTCCCATTTAATCCGGTGAATAGAGGGGTGGCATCACTTCCCAGTGATGCCTCGGGCAACCGCTACTCAGTGCGAAAGCCATCCACGCCGTCGCATGCCACACGCTTCGTTGCGCGTCACTGCACCGCCCACATTACCCATTTTCCCCGACTTGGCTAACTTTATGACAGTTTCCCCGACGATTCCTCGACTTTTCCGGATGCTTTGAAATTCCTCGACAATTTTAGGTTTTCCAGGCTGGCAGAAACCCCGACCTTGCGGTCGCATCTGTGAACATGGCTTTAAACTGCGGTGTCGGAAACGCATCTTGGACTGGCATGTTTATGACCCAATTCGCCCGTGCGTCGGCAACAAATGGCGACGCGGGAGCCGTCTGTTGTCGCCACCTCGGCGGTCGGTCGTTAAAGTTGTGGCAAGAAGTACGAGCAAATGCAGGCGTTGCCGTACGTACTTTCGTGAGTGTTGCCAAACATGCTTGTTCAACGAAAGGTCACCAACGCAAGCTTTTGTGGAACGAGCATTAATGCTAGAAAGAGTCTTATCAGAGCAAGCAATGTGGGTTAGCTTGCACTAGTCGCCTTTGCTGTCCAGTTAGCCTAAAGACGTTGGGAGCTCTGAAAGATGCAACCGGTGTGCACGACTTGCATCCTGCTAGACCGGCAAATATTGTCTCGCTCGAGTTTACGGCAGTCTTTTGGCAGCGTGAAAATGCGATATTTGCCACGCGTGTGCAAGCAATGAATTTTATTTCGCGAGTCTTTTGGTTAAAAAAACAAACTCAAGTTTTGAGTTCAGTCCATCTGTTCAGCTGTGCTAGCTACTGTATTTACATGATTGTAAGTTGACCTCCCCACAGTGCGTGCCAGAAAAACAAGAAAAAAAAAATATATTACACTTTAGGGGCGCATTGAACGGCGAACTTGGGACAACCACAGGGCACCTCTGTCGAACACCTGGCCACCGGCCCGCACTCGATGCCTTCTAGCGTGCTTTGGCTACACCTGGACGCATGGGACGCACGAGGTGCCAAAGCGTTATCAGAGCTAGGAACCTTGCGCTGGAAGCGAGACAGCTGAAGCTCCTCCCTGTCCTCCCTGTACTGGCGCCATCGTTCCTCTCGTCATCATTGCAACATTCCCCTAACATGTGATGGGCATTGCTCAACGAAATATCGCACTTCACGAACGACCGTAGCATCAACCGCATCTTCTGCATTGGCTCGGTGATCGCGTTGCACGTCGAGGGCAGGGACCGATCGCGCACTTCTGCAATGTACGCTGCAAGCTTGACCTCCGACTCTTGGAAAGCATCCAGACATATCTAAATTTTGGCCCGCAAAACCCTCTTCGTTTGGCGTCGCAGTTAAAAGATCCTGTGCCGTAGCAGACGCCGCTGCCACACACAGTTGTTGGTTGCTTTTGGATGAAGAATGGCAGTAAAGGAGTATCGAAAGCCTAAACTCACCGCACGTCAATACTGAGAAACATAGTTCACACCCAGCACAGTTGCACAATCTTGACACTCCATCAAACATTGTGCAGCCGCGCATCATATGAAAACAAGCAGCAGGTAGTGAGGCTGTTTCAGTGGCTGTTCCGACCAATCCAGCGTGGCTCCTACATTAAGTGCCGTCACCCCCGGGACCCAGTCCCGCTGCTGCATGGCACGGTGTGCTGCGCGCCGTTCGTTGGTGTGCAATTGAGCTGATTTGCAATTCGCAATCACCATGATTGTGATACTCCCTCGCGAGCTAAAGGAAGATAGAGCTTGTAAAACAAGCACACAGAATGGCACAATGCTACAAGTGCAGCCGGCTGAACTCGTAACAAGGCCAGGTGTTGTTGATGCCGCGATTGTTTCATCTTCGTCGGTGGTGGGATGTTATGGTTCCGATTATAAGTCGACCTTTCAGTTCACATTTTCAGAAATTAAAAAATAGGTCGACCTACAATTGTTTAAATAAGGTAGTATGTACAAAAATTATGGGTACTTTATAGCTTTTTCTAAACTTTTTTGACACCAAGAAATCACCCACCCTGCTTTTTTGTTATGAATTCCAGGTGGCAATGACTCGGAATATTGCGACGAGTTGTAGACAAGTTACTGAATGCAAATGAGTTCAAAGTGAGTTTAAATGTATACACTTTTTAGAAACTTTTGAAAAAAAGTTTTAAAGTTAGTTTGGATTCAAGTTCTAAGCAAGTTATAGATGCGGGTTCCAGTTGAGTACTACGTAAGCGAGTTCTGGATGTGGGTTCTAGTCATGTTCTAAGCAAGTTAGAGGCAAGTGCTGGATGCAAGTTTTGGAGAAGTTCTAAGTGAGCTCTGGATGCATCTTCTAAGAGAAATCTTAGCGAGTTCTGGATGAAGTTCTAGGCATGTTTTAAGTAAATAATAGATATAATGCAATTAAATGCAAAGGTGCAAGCGAGCTGTGAGTTCTAGGCAGTTCCGATATACGAGTTCTAAGCGATTCCTGGTTGCGATATCTAGATGAGTTCTGAATGCGAATTCTAGGCGAGTTCTAAAAAATTTATGGATGCGAGTTCTAGAAGAGTTTTGGATGAGAGTTTTAGGCTAGTTTTGAATGCAAGTTCTAGGTCAGGGGTAACCAAGCTGCGGCTCTTCACGTGTTGAAGTGCGGCTCGCGGCTCCCTCCCCTACCCCCCCCCCCCCCCACAACCCGCCTACCTCCCTCTCGGTCACATGAGCACTCCCCAAAAAGAGAAATGGAACGCGTTTTCAATCAAAGGACAGGTTGCGGCTAGGTAGTCTTGTGCTACTGCTACCTTACGTACAGTTTGACTGCTTTGGCTCAGATAAAATGAAAGCAGTTCCAGTTTCGTTTATTGCTCTGTACAAAAGTTTGCCCCCCCCCCCCCCCCCCCCCCCGCGGCTCTTCGAAGTTTCGTGGTTTTGTTTGCGGCTCTTAGGTCGAGTCAGCCTGGCCAGCCCTGTTCTAGGTGGATGTAAATCAAGTAGGATGTAAATTCTAAGCATGTTCCGAGAGAGTTCTAGATGCAAGTTTCGAGTCGCAAGGCGTCAACTCACAAGAGCCCCGTGCAGGTGGCGCCCATTGCACTGCGGTACTGCTGATGGATGTGGCGGCAGTCCAGCAAGAGTCCCAGCTGAGCCAGCACAGTCTGGGTGCTGTTCAGCTCCTGTCCCAGCTGACTCAGCAAGGAGTGCACCTGAAGCATCAAAGACGACAGAAAGAATAACACACTTAAGACAAAGGGACGATGGAGCAAGTTCACTATTTAAAAAGCTTTACGCAGAACTTTTACTTTGCCCTGTTTACCCCAGTCTCTATGCCTCTGACCTAAAAAAGATATCTGAAACAGAGCTGAGTGAACGGGGTTCGTTTTTGTTTTCAAAGTCAAATTTGAAGGTTTTACGTGCCAAACAAACCAAACTGGGGATTCAGTTTCGACCACCTGGGATCCTTTTGACGTGCAACCGAAATCTCGGTACAAATGAACAAAGATTCCGTAGGCCAGCGCTTTGCCTCGAAGCAATCGAGGCGGAACCGTTTTTGATTCAGGTGTTCATTAAAACCAGACATACTTGAATCCGTCTGCAGTTCCAAAGCTTTTCTGAAGGAACTGGGCAGACCTCGTTCCGGAAGGAAGAAAACCGAGTACAAGCCTAGTGTACAAACGAGGTAAACAAGAATTCACTTTGAATCTGGACAGTTAGGGCAGCCAATGTGGGGAAAAAAACTGCACATTCCACGACCATGAGGCGGCATAAAATTGAATTAGCTCCATCACACCCTGCCAGGCCAAGCAGGCCCCCTGTGCTCGGGTTAGTCTCGAAACTTTCAATGTGCCCCGCGGACGTGCGGCGGCTTGTTGCCCAACCTCAGCCTCCGACAGAGGGCACTGACCTCCTTGCGGGGGAAGTAGCGGTCAGCCACGTGGGTGACCGGCACAAGCAGCGTCTGGAGTCCGTCCACCGCACCCCGAGCATCCCTCAGGGGCTGCAGAAACAGGGCAGTCATGTGTCAGGTGGGAAAAATGGACTGCTTCCTTGCCATCTCCCAAAGGCACTCCAAATGCACGTCATTTATGGGGCACCTTCACGCTCCTCCTTTTGCGGACAGTGAGGAGCATCCCACTCTCTCGAATAATGCCCAAAGGTACATCTTTATAAAGAGGTGTTGAAACTCCCAGAAAGAACATTTTTTTTGAAGTGCCACGATATGATGTTCATGTCACAAATCAAGGTTTCCCGGAAAAGACGCAATGAATAAAATATAGTCAGGCATGTGCAAATAGTATGTTTGGGGGCATGTGCAAGTAGTATATTTGGAGTTTGAAGTGCATTCAAAGCGAGTAGTGGTTTTGGCCAAATATTTTCAAATCAAATAGTTTCTCAGACTTTGCAGAAGTGTTGTAAGTTGGGAGAGTTGGCATGATGGCATGATGAACAGAACAGTGCACAAAAAGACAAGGACAGAGAAAAGGAACATGCAGGACACACAAGCGCTGTTGCAGAAGTGTTGTAAGTTGGGCGAGTTGGTATGATGACATGATGAACAGAACAGCGCTTGTGTGTCCTGCATGTTCCTTTTCTCTGTCCTTGTCTTTGTGTGCGCTGTTCTGTTCATCATGTTCTCAGGCTTTCACTACCGTGCACCATGGTCAAACGAAAATTCAGCTGAACTGGGAAAGGTTATTTCCAAACTTCCACTTGTCCACTTCCAAGCTCACTTAATTTTAATATAACTATATGAACTGTGGCATGTAAACAACAGATTTGCCGCAGCTCTCCTACTCGAGGGATTTATAAATCTGCTTGCTATACGTGAATATTCTTTCTTCTACTTCAAAGTTGACACAAAGAAAACAAGCACGATTGATGAATGCGGGCAGTCAAGACATCACTGCATATATGCAGTTGAATCTCCTTAATTCAAATCCCCTTAAGGGGGGATGTGGGGATGAAAACCCAACTTTTTTATTTTCAAAGCCAAGTGAATGAAATTTTCAGGGTATGTTTATAGCATGAACAATCGAATAACAGCAACATTTCATGGTGCTGCACTTATTAGTTCTAAAGTTAGAAGAGTTTTTCCAATTTATTTTAATGCCTCCTTTGTTCCGAGCATAAAGTAATAATGAAACACAGTAACAGTGTGTAATTTGTTCTGAGGATTCCTGGATAGGTACTTAAGGGCAAGACAAGGCCCTTTTTTTAAATTTCATTTTAGGAAATATTTGCCGCAACATTGTATTTTATGTGATCAGCGGTCCTCACATTCATGCAAAATAATTGATTTGTCATAAATAGCTCGGACATTTTTTTTAGAAAAGGGGCTTGTCTTGCCCTCAGAAATTTATTCAGCATCTAGATTAAAAAAACAGCACAGAAATCCATCACACAGTTCTTAAGTTATCACCTGAACAAACACCAAGGTAAGCAAAAAATTCAATTTTGAGAAAACGGCACTTAAAGTTCCACTTCAGTTTTCAGCGTTAAAACGCCCCTGCAGAATAGTCTGAGGTGTCCTTTTGCAGTCTCTTGTTCTTCCGCTGTTCAGTCTTTGCTTGTTGCCTCTTGTTGGCCTTGCGTACCCGCATGGCGTCCTTTTCAGCCGCCCGCCGGAGAGCTAAATGAGCTGGCTTGAGCCCCAGTGCCTCAGAAATTGTCTCAGTCGCCCTGTACAGCCCGGCATTAAATCTCAGCACTGCCTCATGCAGTGCTGTTTCAACAGCAATTAGTGAAGCGTGCTGCTCCTTAGGCATCAGCGACCACAGCACCGAGTGAAAAGATTCGGACGCGTTCTGGGTCCTTGCCCCCATGCAGCGCTCAAGCAGTGATCTCTCAGAGAGGCGTTGATAGACCGGCAGCATTGCTTCAGCAACAAATGCTGGGAGGTTGTACTTGTGCTGGGGCTGAGGTTCACTCTTCGCTTCAGCAACTCTGTGCTGGCACCACGACTCGCTTCCGTCCGGGCAAAGTTCATGGTGGGGATTCTTGTCTGTTGATGTGACATGGTAGTATGTCGCCATCACTGCTCGCTGCATTTTTGTTAAGTCATTGCAGTTGTTCCTTAGGGCCCAACCATAGTAGCCTGTCAGTTTGTCGATGAGCACCTTAGTCAACTTGCCCTTTCCACCCAGAGGCTTGTCACTCTTTTGGACGATATTTCGGAGTGCGGTTCCCATCCTCTTCTGAACATGGTTCAGGCATTCCTCCTTTATGATAGGGACAATTCCGTATACATTCTCTTGCGAGAGGGCTGAGAAGGTCCTGCTGTCCCCATCCGAAACAAGCGTTGTGTAGCGCAGGTCGTGCTTCGAGATTGACCGCTTGAAAAGAATCAGAGCGGCTTCTACCTCCATCTGTCCCGATTTGGCGTCAGTGTTTTTCTGGCAAATGTGGTGTTGGTGCCAGGTGTGGTAGTTCTGGTCTCCAGGCTTGGGTCCTATCTGGCATCCAAGGCACAAGTTCGACAGAACCACAGCATCCAAGATGAGGCCAGTGTGGTACTCGATAACTGCACCAACACCAATGTGGGACGTGTAACCACGCTTGTGCCATGTCCCATCATACATTATGGTGACGTCTCTGTGGAAACCTGAATCCATCTCCTTGTAGATGGTTTTTACTGCTGAGGCCGATTCAGAATAAAATTCTTCCAAGCATTTTGCCTCTGGCTCCTTGAAAGTATTCTTGAGGTGCTCTTGGAAGGTCTTATGGTGGAGACCCCTGTGAGACACATTCATTGCCGCCCATAAATCGTTCAGAGCAGTCTGCCCCTTTCCAATTTGCTTCACTGCCATCATGGCTCGAATGTTGACCTCAAAGGCCCTGGAATCTTGCTGGCGTGGTGAACTCCATGAGTCTGCTATGATGCCGCAACGGGGACACACGACCTCCAACTTCAGTGCCAGCCCAAGCTGGGTGCCTTCTCGAATGGCCAATCCACTCTCCAAACAGTTCTTGCAAACTGTACAACACAGCAGTTCATTCAGAACATCAGTCTGGATAAGTAAAAACTTTGCACCTGTGCTTGTGGCAGACGACACCGTTCCGGGTGTGGGACCACGCTGCATGGCCTGGAGCTTCCTCTCGGTCGCCGACGTAGAAGAAAGTTCGGTTTGGACGGCATCACGACGCACAGCTGCCGCTTCGATCTCTTCTTGGGTCAAGAAATGCGTCCGCAGATGAACACGGGACGATGGTTTCTCTTTCATTGTCGCGGACGCAAAACTGGTGCTGGCGATCTCGGAAGACCCCGCGGCGCAGAGCGAGCTCGCGGGCCCTTGCGTACTCGCAGCGACAAATGCTTCCTCGGCGACGGCTGGCGCCGCGGTAAACTCGTTGTGGGACATATCAACCCGATCGTCGTCGCCGGTCGGCCGAGCTGAGTCCGACTTCGCCATGCGGACAAACTTCATAGATCGCTTCCGGCTGCCAAAGGCGTGCATAGTCTTGAATTTCATCTTCCTCCGCATCGTGCGCGATCACAAAATACGCAGGAAAGACAAATCGAAACTAGTAAAGGGGCGATAAACGATCGTAAAGGTGGCGAAAGAGCGAAGCGGAGCTGGAGAAAGCAAGCAGACCACTGAGTTAGCAGACGATGCGAACAGGCGACGCGGGAGAAACCGGTCGGTAGAACGGCGCTCCGGGAGAGGAGGAAGGCCGCGTTGGCCAATGACGACCTCGTATTCTGTTGAGCGCCCGCTTTAGCCAATCACGGCTCTCCGATCGCGAGAAGGAAAAACACCAGCGACGCGGGAACCACGAGGCTGACGCCATTTTGAAAGAAGGCAAAAGAAAGAGAAAGAAATCAGCTTCAAAACGGGACCAAGATGGCGGCCGCCAGCCGAACGAGGCGGGAGCGGCGACCGCGCAAAGTTGGGCTTGTTTGGTGTGTTTGATTGTCGATTTTGAGCTCCCGCGGCCTCGTTAGTAATTTTTTTAACACATTTCTAGCGCGAATTAGGTGCTGAAACTTACAGAGAAGATAGTTTATGGAATAAAGAACCCGAAAATGTTATTTTCCAAAAAACGCCATTTTCGCAATTTTTTGGTTTCCAAGACCCGCGTCCCCCCTTAATTCAAACTCGCGGATAATTCGAACTAACATGCAGGTCCCGTCCTATGCGTTTCTAGAAAGGAAACTCCCAAAAATTCAAACTTTGCATTATTCAAACAAAGTTCTGGTCCCCCTCGGATTCAAATTAACGGGATTCCACTGTACTCTTGCATAATGGCAACGGGTTAGCCCCGTTCAGTGCTCTTCTCCTCAAGCAGCTGTGCACTGCGGGGAAGCAGTACCCGCAGGGCCCGCAATGCAGAGGTGCTCAGTCAGAAGCGCATACAAAGGGGCTTACCTGCCGCCATCAACACTTCAAAAAATATGAATATTGCAGTTCACCTCGAAGCGAATATCAAATAGCGTACTATACAAAACTACTATTAGAAAATTAAAATATTCACATAACGCTAAATATAGCGCAACTACACTGCTAGACCCCTCCGAGCGGTTCCGAAACATGCTTTTATTTTGGGGTCGGCGTCTTGAAATAGACGCACGTTTCGGAATCGCTCTTAGCACCTTGCAACATAATTATTGCCCTACACAATTTGTTTTTTCTTTTTAGCCCAGATTGTGTTTTATCAGCTGATTTTCATGGAGATTTGTAACCAAAAACAGACACCGAACATTACGCCCATAGGGAACCATATAAAAAAATTTTAAAAAGAAAGTCTATGGCTGGATTTGAACCCCACACCTTGAAATTGTGAGTCAAGTGCTTCACCGACAAAACTATCGAATGACTGTGTTTGCTCTCGCACATAAAAGCAAACACCTTCGCGTGGGCGTAGCCGCACGCCTTGCGGCCTTAAAGGGACACTGGCAGAGTATTTATGCGCACCAAGGTTTTTATTTGTACATGACATATGAGAGCCCAACTTCCCAAAACATAATTTGTGGCTCGAAATTTATTTTCTTATCACCCAAAAATCGCCAATCGAGAATCGAGCTCACTATCTTCACCGAGGTCACGTGGCGTTCCCTACACACACACACCAAATATAATCAAAGCCGTGGGTCATCAAAGGTGCACACTCAATATTAAAAATAGAAAAAAATATATGATACCCATTTTTCGTAGGTTCTAAAAAACTGCAAATATGTCGAATGAGAAAAAGAAAAAAATTCCAGAGAGAATTGGATGCACTCTGCATTCTTTGCATAATTCTCAACATGGCGTTGTATCGCAAGAGTCGCAAGCTGGACGGCAGAATGAAGCAGACTAAGCGATGGCGGCGGACGATGGACATGGGACCTCTACTTCAGAACTGTTGTTCACAATGCCGTCGAGTCTGTCTAGCTTCGAGAGAAAAATTGTTTACCGATTAAAACTAGGGATGCCGCGAACTTTTTTCGAATCGAAGTTTCGATGATCAAATCAAGCGGTTCGAAAGGTTCGAAAGATTTCGAATGTTCGAACTTTCCATATTGAGAAATTCGACGGAAGTCGAATTTTCGAACGTATTAAACTAAGAAGTTTGACGCTTTTCGAATTTTCGAACTTGTTACGCTGCAAAACTCGATGCTTGTCGAACTTTCGAAAATGATAGACTAAAAAATTAGATGACTTTCAAAATTTCGAACTTCTTGCACTAAAAAGTTCGAAGCTTTTCAAACTTCCTATGCTAATAAATTCAATAATTTTCTAACTTTCAAACTTATTAATCTAAAGAATTCGAAAATTGTAGAACTCTCGATTCCTGAAAAGTCAAAAGTTCGACGAACTTCGAACTTTTAGGGTAAAAGTTCGAAGCTCGTCGAACTTGAAAAGACCGGCGGGCGGTTTCATTTGGATTCAAGCAGTGAGGTACATTCGTAATTTTTTTTCGCAATTTTACATGGGGTGACGCATTCCTTGCGAAAGACAAAGCCGTTTATTTCAATAATCTGGCATGCTTGGTTTTAGAAAAATAGATTCCCGAAGGAGCGAGGAAGGACGACGGTTTTTGACAATTGTCGTTTGTGCCATATTTGAAGCGCGCTATAGCCGAAGCTATTTATGGTAGAGATGTTAAACTTTTTAAGAATAATTTATATATAGCCTAGGTGAGTGTCGTCTTAAAGGGGCGGTGCAATGATTTTAACACTGAACGAATGTGCAGCTTGTATTTTTTATATTGTTCACTTTGGCATAAGTAAGAGAAAAAGTGCCACCATACCCCAAAATACCTCTATTTCGCTGCGTTTTTGCAAAATAAGAAACACTTTTTTTCCCAACCTGCGGCCACATGGTGGCCGCAAATAGAACCTGTGGTGTGACGTCATTCGGAGTGGTTTTTGTAAGTGACGGTGTTAGGCACTTGTAAGCTTGATTTATGGTTAAGTTTAAAAGATCTTGTTGTTTAGGCATGCTGAAACGCTTCAAAAGCCTAACATTGCCGCTAAAAGATTTGTGGCGCCATCTACCGCAAGTCAACCAAACCGGCCGTCGCCGTCATCTGTCGACGCCCGAGGCGCCTATGGCGGCTACACGAGCAACCCGGACGTTTTGTCTTTCCCTCGCTCGACGGAGTGCGTTGGTCGTGGTCCGTAGTATCGTGGTATCGTTATTGTTCCTGGTGTCTCGATCTCGACTTCGACTGCCCGCCGCGTCGACTGCCCGCCGCACAAGTCCACTTGCGCTCGACGTCGCTCAGGCCGTCCGCCCATGCCGCCATGTTGGTCGGGAATCGACGGGAGAGTGGGAGAGCGGCGAGCCTGGCGAGCGCTGGGGAAACGGAAGCCAGAAGCACCCAACCGGAAACCAACGCCACTCCGAATGACGTCACAGGCAAAGCTGGTGCCGCTTCAATGTTGAGTTGAGGGGTGCCAGAGATATCAATTTCTTTCATTTTTTTTAATGAAAACTAGGGCAAGCAGGAAAGAATAGTTTTCGGTCCTTCGTTTTATATGTGGCCGGGATAAATTCCCGCAATTAATTAGCCAAAGTCCGCAAATTGTCGCACCGCCCCTTTAAGATATGATTATTGTTGTTCAAGACGAGTTTCGAATAAATATCCAAACATGTACCTACGGACGATTATGCCCTAAACTTGGTCATTTTTTTTCGCCTACATGGTTTGGGTATCGCATTTAAATTAACACCAGAGAGCACATATCATTATTACCATCTGCAGAATACAAAATAATGTATTTATTGTTTTTTTTCACAATGAGGAATAAATTAACTCATGGGGGAAGATTTCCAAAAATTGTTCAAATTCAGCGCGTCATAAAAAAAATGTTTTTTTTTTTTCTCATTTTACATTTTTGGGACGTGTTTCTTTTGGCCTGTACACATTTCGGTAGGAGAAACTTGTTTCATAGTTCTGGGCCTCTGAATATGCAAGAAAACAACACTTCCAGCGGGTTCTTAATAGTTTTTTTTTTTCTCTCCAGCTTTTTATTTTTGCATTTATTGTTATGTTTATTTATTGATCATTTTTTACCAATGGCACAGTTATTTAGGTCGAAAAGACATAGCTTTGAACTTTCGAGCCACCGAGCATGTGACGAGTAGTGCCTCCTGACAACGAGTTTCTAAAGGCCTGTTCACACATGCAGCAGAGTGCAACAAGCATAGCGCTGACCTCGTGCTAAGCACGTGCCGGCGGGAGCGTTCACCAGCTTTGTATCGCACCGTCAAAACTGTTGCTCATGGCATACGATAAGCACCTGACGGCACGTGAGCAGCGTTACATGCATGATGCAGCGACGCGATCTTTTATGCAGTGAAGAGCGACAGTAGCTATACATATGCATAAATAATTTCAGATTAAAATAAGCTCGACCACGCCCTCTTTCGCCGTATTGTTTTCTTTAACAGTCCGAAATATGTGGGAGAGGGGGGGGGGGGGAGAGACTGGAGCTCCCCTCCTTCCCCTTCCCCCACCCTCGTTTTCCTCTTCCGACGCCACTGGTATGGTAGAACGCTCCTCGACCTCGAGTTGCGTCAGCTTCTGTGCTTGTTGCTCGGCGTTTCTTCCGCCCCAGAAAAAAAACCTCCAAAGCAATTACAAACAAAAAAATTGTAAAGGTGCAGGCGAGCTGGTGTATGTTGATCATGATGCAAATTCCCGAGACTGGGAATGAAATTCGCAAGAAATAGTGTAAGAAGAAAGAAAAAAGGGGACAGGACAACGTCTCAAACTCAGCTGAGTTGAGTTTAAGACGTTTTCCTGTCCCCTTTTTTCTGTCTTCTTACTAGGGATGCCGCGAACTTTTTTCGAATCGAAGTTTCGATGATCGAATCAAGCGGTTCGAAAGGTTCGAAAGATTTCGATTTTTCGAATTGTCTATATCGTAAAATTCGACGGAGGTCGAATTTTCGAACTTGTTAAGCTAAGAAGTTCGACACTTTTCGAACCGTCGAACTTATTACGCTAAAACATTCGATCTTTTCGAACTTTCTACCTTATTGTGCTGCAAGGTTCGATGCTTGTCGAACTTTCGAACTTGACAGACCAAAAAATTCGATGAATTTCGAACTTTCGAACTTATTTTTCAAGAGAATTCGAAAAGTTTCGAACTTTCGGATTCTGAAAAGTCAGAAGTTCGACGAACTTCGAACTTTTAGGGTAAAAGTTCGACGTTCGTTGAACTTCGAAAGACCGGCGGACGGTTTCATTTGATTTCAAGTAGTGGGGTACATTCGTAATTTTTTTTTCTCGAACTTTTACACGCGGTGCTGCGTTCCTTACGAAAGACAATGTCGTTTATTTCAATGTTCTGGCATGCTTAGGTTTAAAGAAATAAATCCCCGAAGGGGCGAGGAAGGACGACGGGTTTTTGACGATTATCGTTTGTGCCAGATTTGAAGCACGCTGCAGCCGGAGCTATTTATGGTAGACACGTTATACTTTTTTTAAGAATGATCTATGTATAGCCTAGGTAAGTGCCATCTTAAGATGTGAGTATTGTTATTCAACGTGAGTTTCGAAGAAATGTCCAAACATGTATCTGCATGCAATTATAACCTAAACTTGATATTTATTTTCGTCTAAGTTGTTTGAGGTATCGCATTTAAATTAACACCACAGACAGTACATATCATTGCCATCTGCAGAATACGAAATAATATATTTATTGTTTTTTCACGTTAAGGAATAAATTAACTCATGGGAGAAGATTTCTAATAGTGTTCAAGTTCAGCACGTCATTAAAAGAAAACTTTTTTTTTTTTTTCGCTTCACGTTCCTGGGACGTGTTTCTTTTAGCCTGTACACATTTTGGTAAAAGAAACTTGTTTCGAAGTTCTGAACCTCTGAATATGCAAGAATAGAACACTTCCGACGAATTCTTGATAGTTTTTTTTTTCTCCTGCTTTTTATTCCCGCATTTATTCTTCTTTTTTTTTCTTTTTTTTTTTTTTTTGCTATTGGCACAGATGTTTAGGTCGAAAAGACAGCTTTGAACTTCCGAACCACTAAGCATGTGACGAGCAGTGCCTTCTGACAACGAGTTTCTAACAATGACCATCTACGCAACCTTTTATGCAGTGAAGAGCGACAGTAGCTATACATATGCATAAATAATTTCAGATTAAAATAAGCTCGACCACGCCCTCTTTCCCCGTATTGTTTTCTTTAACAGTTCGAAATACCTGCAAGGGGGAGAAGGAGGCTGAAGCCCCCCCCCCCCCCCTCGCTACCCTCTTTCCCCCCGTTTTTTCTCTTCCGACGCCACTTGTATGGTAGAACGCTCCTCGACCTCGAGTTGTGTCGGCTTTTGTGCTTTTTGCGAGGCGATTCCTCCGTCCCAGAAAATAAACCTCCAGGACAATTACAAACTTCACCGGATCGGATTACTACCAGCGTGCAAGGGGTGGCGAGGTAGTTTGCCAGGTCGCTTCAAGATTTTTCTGAGCCTCAACCTCCTGCTCGCCTCTGGCCGTTTCGAACTGGATGAGTCTCGTAAAACAGTGTGTTCGTGCAATCACTACTGCGTGATGCAGGTTAAAGACCCCCCCCCCCTGGGGCTGGCGGTCACAATTCTGCACTGGCAAATATTCTAGCACGTCCGGGACACTCGTCGTCTCATTTAATTGCCTGACCAACTTCGCAGAATCTAGATATCACACCCTAACTTTTCTAAACTTGATTTCGTGAAAACCAGTCAGTCGTGAAAACGTTATTTGAAACTGAAACTGTGGAAAAACTTGAAAATCGGACTTCGAACTTTGAAAACTTGGATTAGAAAGAAATTCAAAATCTTCAAAGTTTTTCTTTTTTTTTTTTTTTTTAGCGTTAAAGAGAATCGAAACCTTCGAACTTTTCGAACTTTATGCAAAAAGAAATTCGAAATCTTCGAATTGTTCGAACTTCATGTCTATAAAAATTCGAAGCGTTCGAAGTTTTCGAATTTTTTTTTCAAAGAATTTCGAGATCTTCGAATTTATCGAACCTGAAGTAAAAAAATATTCGAAATATTCGAATTCGAAATTTTGGAAACCGTGAAAGCTTCGAAATTTTCGAATTCGAAACTCCGCTGTGGTCAAAAGTTGCGAATTTTTCGAAATCGAACCTCGGTTGGTACGAAAATATTGAAATTTTTCGAAATCGAACCTTAGTTCGCTTCGCAAATATCGAAACCTTTCGAAATCGAACCTAGGGTGGTTCGCGACATCCCTACTTCTTACACTTTTTCTTTCAAATTTCATTCCCAGTCTCAGGATTTTGCATCATGTACAAACTAAACTTACTATATGCCAGCGTCACTCGGGCGGCGTTTGATCGGATTACTACCAGCGTGCAAGGGGGTAGGGAGGCAGTTTGCCAGGTCACTTCAAGGTTTTTCTGAACCTCAACCGACTTCAAACTTTGCACACTTGGACTTAAAAAAAAAAAATCAAAAACCTTCAAAGTTTTTTGGTTTTTTTTCGAATTTAGCATTAAAGGAGAATCGAAACCTTCGAACTTTTCTAACTTTATGTAGAAAGAAATTCGAAATCTTCAAATTTATCGAACTTTTTGTCTTAAAAAATTCGAGACATTGGAGTTTTTCGAATTTTAGATCCAAAGAAATTCGAAACATTCGAATCTCTCGAATTTCAAATTAGGGAAGTTCGAAATCTTCGAATTTATCGAAACTCAAGTAAACAAATATTCGAAAAAATCAAACCCAAACTTTTAGAAACCGTGAAAGCTTCGAACTCTTCGAATTCGAAACCCCACGATTTTGGAAAGTTGCGAATTTTTCGAATTCGAACCTCCCTACGGTCGAAAATATCGAAACTTTTCAAAATCGAACATCAGTTCAGTTCAAAAATATTGAAACCTTTCGAATTCGAACCTAGGGTTGTTCGCGGCATCCCTAATTAAAACAATTAGGATTTATTCTGTACAACACGCCCAACCACCAAGCTGATTTGCACAAAGACGCCGCCGAGTCGTCGCACCTTCTTCTGGCCTAAGACATTGCTCATCTTACGAACACGAATTGGTAAAAGCTTGAAAAATGCACAAAGGTCAAGCACCAAGTGCTTGAATTCTGCGTTTTTTGTATGAATGCGACATGTACGTTTTTCGTCTGCTTCACAAAACAAACAGAAAAAATGAAGCAAAAAAGAAATGTGGTTGGGTGTAGCCACATGACTTTCAACAGCTCTCTTATCTACATTTCCTCATCCTCCCCAGATCAATTTCGGTTTTGAGCAGTTGCATTTTTTTACTTTATTAAATATATATGCGACACTGTAGCAAAATATAGATTGGGTAATCTTCAACACCATACTAAATCGCTTGGCAAAAAATAAGAAATCTTTTTATAGGGGGCGTCAGCATCTTTTTAAATACATCTGAGCTTGTCGTGCTGCACCATGTCACGGCGTTTGTTAAAAATCTGAGCGAATTTCAACATACTTTCTCCATGGCGAGGCGGCACCATTCGAATGCTTCTCTTTGGCGAAACAGATGACCGCAGAATTTTCCTCGAGAACGTAGGAAACAGCAAAAGTAGCAGGAAGAGCCTTCACCAGACGAACGCCGATTGGTGTAAAGCCTGCCTATTACACATTCTGTGTTTACCAGTCTTTGTCAGCATGATGAAGCATGTAAATTTTTTTTTTTCTAGAAAAGTTAGATTTGTGACAATGTCCCTTATCTATGCTTAAAAAAGGAAAAAAGCAGTTTCTAAGTTCAGGGTTCCTTTAACAAAATGTAAACAAATTAAAGAGTCTTAGTTTTTCCGTGCCCCCAAGATTATTGCGGCCCTTTGGAACTCAAAATCCCCCCCAAAGTCCAGACCCCTCAAAATTGAAGCCGCACATCGCACGCAAGTGATCTCGCTGAGGCTCACCTCAATGAAGGGGCTGGTGACGTCGTCCCCACAGTGGAGGTAGTAGCCGAGCACCACTGGAAACGCACCAAAAGCGTCAACGCACCCCCATCTACGGTAGCCCAGAGAGAACGCAGAAGTGTCTACCCACCGGAGTCCAGCATCCCACTGGATTGCTTCTGCAGGAACGGCTCCGGGTCCAGGCAGAAGTCTGACCCGGCCTGGAACAACAAGAGGGGTGGTTCTACATTTTGTTCCACCATAACTTGGCAAGCAGCGAACGCTACAGTCCCAGTGAGCCAAGTAATGCGTTGGAAGGAGACATGTTACTGTACTCTATCTCAGCTGCAGGCACCGCTGTCGAAGCCACAGGCAGAAGAGAAAGGAAAGCCGCTTTTGTAAGAATTTTGAGTGATGGGTTAATTGTTGAAGGGGACAAAAGCGGTGCTTGGGACTCACACAGGAGGATCCTAACACGACGTAAAAGAGGTCGGTGAAAAAAATTCTCACTCCGTCAGGTGCAATGAAGGTGAACTAGCTCTAATTTACAGTTCCTAACCCCCTCCCCCCCTTTCACGGAGTGCAATGCCATTGGTTGTAAAAGAAAATTCCGAGGACACCTAAGCACTTTTTATGAGTTGCGCATGTGAAAGCATGAATGTAGAATCCAATGCCGCTGAGTGCTCCTTCGAGTTTTGCGGTGCGAGTGTCACGGCACCGAGCCAGGGCGGTCTGCGCGGCGGTGCACCACACAGGCCGCCTTAGCTCGCCGGTGACTGCTGCGCTGCTGGCGCCCACGCCATGAAGAGGGCGTTCCTTGAAACTATGACATGTGCCAGCCAGTGGCAGTTTATTCATCAATTCGCTGCTACATACTACAGGCTTCACTCCATGGGACGGGAATTTACATGCCGTTTGGTATGGCCTCAAAAGCTGATAACACTGGTTTCGCTCCATGAGACAGCTAATGCTTTCACATTAACACTGTGCTGCATTGCTGACATATCTCCCATGACCTTGCTACGACCAACATGGGCGAGCAAAATCCGTTCAGGATTGCCCACCCGTGCCCACGTCAGCTGCTACAGACCACACACAAGCGTTGCGCCAAGACAGAATCCACCTCCACTGAAGTGTGATTTCCGCGGAACGCCCTGTTATAGGTATTAGAAGTGTGCTTCAATTTTCCTTCAGTGTAACCACATCCCTAATATACAGGTTTTTACTAGGGAGAGGGCCTACCATATTTAATATTTACGAGTCAGCTAAGTCTTCAAGAAATCCAGTTGCCCCCTTCGTCATGGCTCGAGCTACCCTTCCCATAATGCGAGTCAGCCAAACCTACACAATAAGGCACAAACTATAGAGTGCTTGGCTCATAGTCATGTAGTAATGAGTGGCCCTCAGATCTGCTAAGATAGTACTTCATCTGAATAGACACTTTACTTTGAGGCAGGGACAGTCAAGGAAATTTGAGAGTTTGGGAACACTCAAGGGTACCTTGCGAAACTCCTGCCTTCCTAGGAACATAGTTTGAGAGCCCACGCTTTATTGCACCGGTGCAAAGACCGGGAAGGGTGCCTTGGACGGCACTAAATGCAGCAAGGGATTTCACAAGATAAAAAAAAAAGAACCCGAGCTAAAGCCAAAATGGACTTTTGTCACTGCGCCTTTGGCGAGCGAGAGAAGCGTGCGGCTCACCACGCAGATGCCAAGGTAAAGGGAGACCATGACCCAGCAGAGCACCACAGAGAGCAGCCCCAGCACGGAGAACCTGGGGAGAGGAGGCAGTGAGGAAGAGGAACGGCGGAGGGCGGGGCAGCCACGCACAGGATGAGGAGGCAGCGCGAGTGCCGGATGACGCCCCACAGCAGGAGCAGGCACACCAGGATGAGGACACACAGCAGGCCGATGGTGGCGGGCCACCTGCACAGGACAGCAGGCGGTCAGCGACAAGCAACGGTTGAGGACAACCGATGGCAGAGGACAACTAATGTCAAGGTCAACAAATGCTCAAGGACAACTAACAGTCAAGAGAACCGACAGTGGGAAATGGAAATTGAGAACAACCGATAGCCAAAAATGACCGCATCTCCATGTGGTGAATGATGTTGATTGGGGCGAAGCTCTGGTGGTGCTGATGATACTGATTTTGTTCATAGGTAGTGCTGATGGTGCTGATTTTTTTTTTTTATTGCTCATAGGTAGTGCTGAGTTCCGGGTTGCGTTTCAATTTCATTATTACTGCTTTATGGTCGATGAAATGCAGAGCCAGTGGTTCTTTTAGCGGATCAGCTTGGATCCGCTAGAAGCCGTGGGAACGCATTTCCACCGCTTAAGTCAACGGTCCATGTCAGAAAGAATATATGGTATGGATCGGGGCTATATACGCACTTGAGCATTTGACCACAGCGCCCTCTCGTCTATAAACGTTGAGCCAACGCATGCAAAGTTTAACGCGATTATATAAGCATTTCACCGCAGCGCCCTCTCCTGTATAGACGTTGAGCGGCTACATGCAACGTTTCATCCATGACATCCTCAGCTCTTGAGTTACTACCACATCTCAGAGCACCCTACTCGTCCTGCAGTCGCGGCCGAGTGGTTAAGGCGATGGACTAGAAATCCATTGGGGTCTCCCCGCACAGGTTCGAATCCTGTGGGCTGCGCAAACATTTTTTCTTTTTTTTAAGAAGAGAGATGGGATGGCAATCGATGTGAGCACGGACGCCGGACGGACGAGGCTAGACCCTAAGGAGCTTCGCCCTTAAAACATCCGCTGGTCAAAAACAGCTAACGGTCAAGAACAACAGATGGTGAAGGAGAACGTCAAGAGAACCGATGATAAAAGAGGACCAACAGTCAAGGAGAACCAACAATGGGAAAGAACCAGCAGTTGGCAAGCGACGGTTGAGAGAAGCTGATGGTCAAGAACAACTGAAAGGGACACCGAAGTGGGTTTTAAGATTGTCCTTTTATGGCGCAGAATCTATGCACCTTAAGTATTTTAGAAAACCCAAAATTACAATCATGCAGGGTCAAAAAAAGTGCAATGCAATATTACGTTTTGTTTTTGGATGGGGAGAAAAAGCTAAGCATGATCTTCATTTTGGGTTTCCTAGGATGCTTAGGACACATAGGTTCAGTTTGCACAATAAGAGAACCATTTCAAAATACACATTAGTGCCCCTTGAAGATCAAAGACAACCGATGGGCAAGGGCAGTCTAGTGCGGTCCTAGCGCACTCGCAATGTGCGCATGTAAGCATTCAAAGGGGCATTTCTGCCTGCCACTGTCGCTGTATGCAGCATAATTTTCTCGCTAGTCATCTTGTTGTTCCCTTGCTTTCGTGTCGGAGCACATATTGCCAGCAGTCATTGTGCTTGTTTCAAAGTTTGTGCACTCGACTAAGCGATGGTGTGCGCCATGCGGGGAGAGGGACAGCCTTCCAAAGACTTGTCATCTTAAGTACCCTTGTCGGGTCCCAGAGATCCCATATTTTCCTGATCACCCCAGCGCCAAAGTGAAGTGTTTTCCGAGTTTAACCAATACAGTTGCCGACCGATTATTCGGACTTCGCAGGGACCGAAAAAACGTCTGAATAATTGAGCAGTCCGAAAAATCAGCAGATTGAAAAACTTGCCTTTATTACTTCCAAGTGGGCTTAAAAAAAACGTAAATAGTGCCTTGCTTCAAATTACACCTGCGTGCCTTGTTTTAGGTTACGCCTGCGTTTGCGTTCGGCAACCTTCTGTTAGCTTCAGAATCGCTGCCTTCTTTTCTAGCATTATGGTCGAGTATTTTCTGCGCTTCTTAACGACACATTGCGGCGGCAGAAGAACAGATGGGGCCATGACGTCCAAGCCAGCTTTGTCCGAACGAGATTAGAGGCGCAAATCCACGAGCGCAAAATGGCGACTGGCGACGCGAAAGTGGAGCTACAGTGGCTTAAAGGGGTAGTGAAACGAAATTTTAGCGCCGATCTTGTTGCATAAATATGGGCTAGGGACAGGCACCACCTCGGAAATATAAATATTGCGCTGTAAAACACAGGAGAACTAATTTTAAACAAAATTAAACGATTTCAAATTCTCATCTGGTGGATGGGGGGAAGTTCTCGTGACATCACTTGTGCCAAAATAGCAGCGCCGTTCTGCGGCAATACGGCGTGCCGGCAGAATTCGCCTAGGCCTGAACGTGTTCGCAAAGCCTTGGCGGAGAAAGCCAAAGCGTAGTTGGCCACAGTGAGCTCGTTCTCGTTGCGGCTCTTTGCACGACACGGCCCGAGCATGCTTCTGGCACGGCCGGTATTAGTTGCTGCGAGTCGCGAGCTGCAAGCCGACGTTAAAAAAGATATGTTTGAACTACGAGGGTGTCAGCAAGAGCCACGCAAATGCCAAACACCTGTTCACACTGGGAGCGGACACGCGCGTTTGATCGAAGTGCTGGATTCGCTCTGTTAGACCGCGTTTCGGTAAGCGCTTCTGGACCGATCTCTTACGATTGCAACTCGATACTGACATGACACTCGGCAGAGAAAGGTTAGACCGACATTGCGTAGCTCCCACGAACTGCTATAGCTCGACACTGACGTAGCGTCGAGTCAGAATAAAAATGGCATACTAATAACAGAGTGTAGGTACATACCGAGTTGCCAAGGTAATCCGTATGGCGTTTATTTGAGCTCTATATCACACAAAACAAGGAGATAGAATCAATGAGAATCCCTTTTCGACGACAGCGTTCGTCACCGCTGTCTCGGAAAACAAGGAGATCGAGATGACAAGGGGAAAATATTGACCTCTGAAATTTAGTTCAGGGATCAAACTACTCATCCGGTAAGGGTCCACAAGGGTCGCGCGGGCATATTCCATTCAGCAGGCCAGCCGGTCATGGACAGACGGTCTTGGCCAAGGACCGCCAGAGCAACGGTGCGCCGAGTCGATGTTGCTGCTAGGCCTACTATATTCTGCCGAGCTCGCTCGGTCGGCAGAATCGTGGCTGTTGTAGCTCTTCTCGTGTGTTTGTGGATCCTGCGTTCTTGATCGTCGTGGTCTGTTTTAAGTACTCCTTCCTTTTTTCTTGCTGGTTGAAGTCAGGACGCACGAGAAGAGCACGAAGAAAAATAAATGTCCGTTGGTGGCCGATACCAAGTAACTGAGCGACGCTGTCGGCCTTGTTGATTTGATCGTAAAAAGTGCGTAAGACAGCTTCGGAGCTGTCGTAGGATTCTGTCGTAACCTGCGCAAAGGTTACGACAATTTCGTTTCGAGAGCACGGGTTTTCTCTCAAATTTGTCGTACGCACTTTTTTCGTCGTGAATTCGCTTTGAGAATCCGGCCTCAGAGCTGGTTTTGTCAGTGCTGCCGTGGTTGCCGACTTGCCGTGGTCCCGTGGTGCAGCGTGCGTGCAGCCCTTGCACATCTCAAACGGCCACGTTGTCACAGGTCGTAAATCGTCGACGCGCCACCAAGTGGCAACGCTCGTAACCACAACATTCACGCCGTAGCCTTTCCCGACCGGCACAAGTGACGTCACGAATGCGCCCAATATCCCAAGACGCATCGCGCTCTCCGATGGCCGATTTTTGAGCGCGCGCCCAATCGGGCCCATCAGGGTGAAAAATATAGCCATCCGTTCAAAATACAAACGCGCGATTATGATTTATGAATATCATTGATCATATTGAACCTATTTCTGACCATAATAGGTGTATTTCAAGTTTCGCTTCAGTATCCCTTTAAAGGGGCGCTGCAATCATATTTAAGCGTCTACCCTTTTTGCGGTTTCCATGTCCCTTGGGGTTTGGGCAAGCCAGCGGGCACGGAGAGAGTAACTAAATATCAGTGCCTCATATTTTAACCGGACGACGTGGAAACCTCCTCCACCGACGAGGGCGACCCGTGGTACCGATAGCGTACAAAATGTGACGTCTTTGGTCCTGGGCTTGCTACTGGTCACAGCCGGTAAAAGCTTCTTTTTAGTCGAAATACAAAATATAAGTGGCACGAACCGTTTTCAGTTATTTATAAAAGTAGTTTTTATTCAGTGTTTTGACCAAAAAAGAAACGAACACAGTTCATAAAGTATGGAAACAAGAAATGACCCGTCGACATACCCGCCACCAAGCGGTGGAAAAGGCGGCGCATACTAGAAAGGAGTAGTGGGATCAGGCGCCAACACGGAAAGCTCCCGGATGTATGCGGCGGCGCTGCGGTCGCATGGTAAGGAGGATCCGACCGGCTTCGAGCGTTCCGAAGGCCTTCGGCGAGAAGCTTTGTCTTGCGGTTCGGCAGTTTCGCGGTATGGCAGCGCAAAGTAGCTCCCATTCTAAACTTATCTTTACCCCGTGTTTGCTGTCGTTTGTGGCCAATGAAGTGTCATGCCGAATTAGTATTTATTCGCGCAGCAAATGCAATGAGAGCCGCTCTGGCTGCCTGCTACATACAGCATATCGAGAACACGCTTTAATGGCGCCCTCTCGCGTCGTCGACAAGGAGTGCGGCAGCCGTGAGCGCTCAATGAGCTCACTACTCCTCCTTTAGTTCACGGCCACTCTCAAGCAACCAAGGACGTCATGAGGGAGGTTATTTTTTGCTTGTTTTTGTAACTTTAATTTGCCTATAACTTTTAAAATAAAGGGAATTGTGAGAAAAGAAAAGTTTCACTAAGTTACTACGTTCAGTGCGCTGAGGTTCGGTGCAAATTAAAAATTAGTAAAAAAAGTCATTGCAGGGCCCCTTTAAAGGGGGTAGCGTAACGAACGAAACCAGAGAAGCGGCACAGCATTGGAAGACGGCCGCGGGTGGCACTGGCGCTTGCAGCACCATCGTTCCGGCTATGGCTCCGGCTTGGCCGCTTGGTGAGCTTGGCCATGGCCAGCTCCGACCGATTCGCAGCTGTCGACTACACTGTCGTCTGCTAGTTTCACATTTTTTATTCACCTTCAAACACAAATCATGTCGCTGGAAGTTCACTGGAAACAAGTAATTGTTTTTGATGTATATATATTAGTTATGAAGAGTGTTAGGGTGCCTCTATCTGCCGGCCGATTGAGGCACCCAATGGAGCTGCGGATTGAAGCGCCACCTACATTGTCTTCCAAGGAGTGGCCGTTCCCGATGCATGGTGGAGGCTACGCAATAACCAGACTACCCCCTTTAAGCCACTGTAGTGGGGCGGAGGCACGAAGGGATGAAAAGAAACAAAGCAAAATGATGATGATGATGATTACATGCAGCTAAATGAGCTAAATGGAAAAAAAGGGCCAGCATAGCGTTACCTAGCGGTAGGACTCAGGAGTATTCAAGTAGCGCTGCCAAACCAAGCCAATCCATTTGCAGCCAATATAGAATTCAAAATGGCCGCTGCTCAGAGGTGTTTCCCGCTGCTCGCTAGTGATGATTTTGTCCGAATAATCAAACTTTCGGACTTCAAGCTGTCCGAAACATTGGTCGTGAATATGCACTATTTCTATGGGGTAAGTCACGGTTCCTCCTTTAGGTCCGAAATATCGAACAAGTCCGAATTATCGGAGTCCGAAAAAACGGTCGGCAACTGTATTTTATCAAATCAGAGCCACCCAGAAATGCATAGCTAACTGCTGAACACATTTGAGCATGTGCACCCTTTTTTTAGGTCTGAAGTCTTCTGCACCGTGTTATTGCATCAATACGAGAAAAAGTAAAATTTGAAAATTTTATGAGCCCTACCAACGAAGGGAATCTGGCATGCTCCAGCAAAAGGACTGCGGATAAATTTAAATCTTTCACCAGGAAACCGAAATTTGGAGGCCTTCTTGCAACAAGCTTCCGTCGAGTGGCGGGCCCTTAGCCGGAATCCAAACTTGTCGATTGGAGATCCATAGGCCTGTGCTTTACCTCAGAGCCACCTCAATGGGAGCCACCTCAGTGGCTCTGAGGCAAAGCACAGGTCAATGGAAAAGCACCTAAGTTAGGACGCACCCACGTTGGGACGCGCCAGTCATTCTGTACTAATCTCCAAAAATAGTTTGTACAAAAAGAGCTTTTTTCGTTCGTTTTTTATTCAAAAACATGCTTTCTAAAAGCTCACGGTGACCACAGCAAAGAAAAAAGATTGGGCCGACATCTTGGTACCTCGAGCCTGGGGGTTTCAGTACTCTGGGAACATTCAGTGACACTAGAAGTAGCCATATAAAGCAACTTTCATGTATTAACTCATCGCTAAAGGGTGGTGCTGTTATTGTATTTAGTTCGGTCTTGGTGGACCCCAGTGGTCCAGGTTTCAAGGGCGAGTTTCCCAATTGAGCGTATTAACAACGTTAATTTACCCGCTATGTGTGGCAGAAAAATCTATGCGTAAAAAGCGAAGTTACCACCACTAACTCCGCTAACTCTGACTACTCTAACCAACTCTAACTCAAACTAACTCTAACACTAACTCACCACAAACTCCACTAAACACTTGGTTTAGTGACAGTGGTTTAGCACCACGAGCGCTAAACCAAGAAATTTTCAGCAACAGCATTGAGGGACAGTTTGCGACACATCTTTTCAATTTTTCCCTCGAGACCACCGACGTTGGCGCTCAAGATTTGCCGCATTCAGCTCCCATCTTTAGCCCCCCTTTGGACGCTCACCGGAATAGCTCGACGAGCTGGAGGGCCCTGGGCAGGGGGCTGAGGGTGAGGTGGCCCACCCGGGAGTGCAGCTCCTGAGCCCGGGCGGCCCCAACGCTCAGATTGCCCTTCATGAGCTCCAGGGAGCGGTCCAGCAGGTTGCGTGCTGCGGGGTCCGACAAGGGCCCCGCCAGGGCCAGGGCCAGGCCGGACAGCTCCTGCTGGGCGCTCTGCCCCAGGGACCGATCCAGGAAGCGCGTCTGCCAGAGACGGGTACGTCAGAGTTGCCCGGCTAGAGGGACACGACCCACAAGGCAAGGCCTTTCCCCCCCAACGTCATTGCCAGCGGATTCACGCGGCGCCGTTCAGCTTGCGGCTTTTGTCAAGCTTCGGCGTGCTTTCCGCGGGTTAGGGATCCACCGACAACGTCGTGCAAATGCCTCGTCTTTTACGTGGTATTGGTTAGAGCCATCAAATGAGTTACACTACAGGTTCCAAACTGGGTTGCTAGGAACACGGAAGTTCTTCCATAGAGCCCCAGCAGGCTCCCAGAGTTCTCAAACTTCCTCAACCGTTCCTGCCTCCAAGCAAAGTGTTTTCCCAGAGTAGGCACTATGTCAGCACATACGAACCACTTGTCGATGCATAACCAGGAGCGAAACACTCTAGTACAAGCATTATTGTTTCCTGGCTTCTGAATAGTTCCCCCTTGCCTACCGCTCCTCCTCCCTTTTTTACCACAACCTGACAACCTGTTGTTCTGCCACAAAAGGCACAGGCTTTCCCCTATATAGGAGGCCATGACAGCATGACTTAAACCTATGCTTTGCGACGTCTACACGGTCATGATTTAGGGCAGATACCGCCATTCCCCGGTGAGCGTTTGCTGGTTCGTTGCAGTCATTTATTCAACCTCAAGGCTCCGTACGAGCATTACACGAGATATAAAAAACTGCAACACGTTGTTATGCCAAAAAAAAAAGGAAAAAGTTGGCACTAAAACCTTTTTATATGAAACACCAAACTACATGGCATGCAAGATAGACAAAGCTGGCATAATGTTTACACAAATATCTATAAATATTGGGTAGACCATTATTTTTTAAGAACTACTGCAAAATAATCAGTTCTAACAGCTAAAGTGGACTACAAAAATATGTTTTTTCGCTCCGACTAACTCATGATAGAAACGAACTTGACGTTCGGTGAACGTAGAACAGAACTCCATTTTAGTCTAGAAGCAATGGTTTGTGCAGAAACTGGGTTTGAGAGGCTACTCAATCCAAGAGGAAGAGAGAGAGAGGTTACCTGGTTCCCCATAGAGCTGAGGCTATCCTCCATGTCTTGGGTGGACTTCTGCACTGCCACCATTCCGCCGTGTGCCTGGTCATTGCCAAACAGGCCCAGGGCGAGAGCACCGCTGAAGGAGAAATTGCAGAGAGCTTGTCACATGCCGTTCTACCTCAATGAGTACTCAAATCCGACACCTGACACTCATGAAGCATTCACACGACAGATCTTTCTCTAAGGAAAAAACCAGATATGTCATAGTGCTTTCGGGAGGAAAAGTTATCAGAATACGGAGGCACCTCAGAAACTCAAAGCAACCCCTCACACGACAGAGTTGCAAATTTCACAGGCTCATCAACCAAAAGACAGAGAAAAAAAAAAAAAAGGTATTACACAGCTCAATACTGCCAACAATAATCCTTCAACAAAAGGGGCAAGTCCGGTTGCTCCGAAGGGACTGCAGATATTCTGCAGGCCGTTTACAGATTTTCCGCGACTACCCACGTGCTCGAGGGATTAGCGAGCATTTGTTACAGCGCACGTGACCTCGAAACTATATGTTTAATCCCCTACTCTAATCAAAATTCCATACTGTAAATATACCATGAACATCTGACATTTGGCACAGAAAAGGACCGACAGACTAAGCGTGCAACCTACGCTCCCAGGCGGCAGCCACACTCTGCCTCGCAAGTTGCGTGCAGCGCCATCAAGGGCGTTGGAACAACAGCCTAGCTCTAAGAAATTATTAGTGATGACACAAGCAAAATTGTGCCACAATATTATGAGAGGGTCTGCCTAAAATCAAGAATGTATTGAGCAAAAACAATCAAACTTTCACGATGCGACCAGAATTTTATTTTAAAAATATCAAGGCTCAGTGTTTGAAGGAACGTAGAAGTCCGTAAAAATGTGAAAGTTGTACGAATTGACATTAGAAAGAATATAGGATCATTTGACTGTGTAATAAATCCTTTCAAATAGAAACCTCGAAGCATGCAGTAGGCTCACAAGCAACTAAATGAGGGAAAGTTTACCAAAGCTTTACTTGGCTTAACTCTTAGTAGTCAACGGCAATCTGTCACCATTGAAAGTGAAGAAACTTGGACGAACTGTACGGCAAAATCCACGCTACTGCCTGCCAAAGAAGTATGAAAGTGACAGTGCCCGATAAAGAACTACATTCTTAACGACATTAGTGTGCCAAAGGCTGGACTGATATTTGAGCCATAAGACAGCTCAAATATCAAAGCAAAATGGCAATGAATTTATGAAAAAGTCTATTGCACTGACAACCAATGGCAATGCATTTGTACTACGAAACCATGCCTTCTTAATTTTGAAGTTCTCGTTCCCTTTCGCACTAGTCTTGCAACTAACGTGAATCATCCATTTGAATAAAATTTAGCACACATTTTCAGGCTACCGTAAGACGCCAAACGTGCGCCTGACACAAAAAGCACTCGCGCACTATTTTTTTAAACATCTAAACACGAGTAAGCACCCAGGTCATGATAAGCCCACCCCAGACTTCTACTGGCTAACCAAAGCACTTCCCCACATCAGCCACTTCTCCAAGCATGCCGGTGCAAAGCAATAAAGTAAGCTCCGCCGCCCCTGCCCCCCCCCCCTCCCTCCCAGTGTGGGATATCACCAGGATGACTTCGCGGGGATCGGACAAAAAAAAAGCTACAAACATCACCCCCCCTTCTTCCCCCGGCAAGGGAATCGCCAATTTTCCTCTGGTCGAGCCTTGTGGGAGTTACTTCAAAACCAAACCCACTGGGGGACAGGGTTGAGACTTTGGGCCGGAGCCACACGAGAGGGAGTCCCAATTTTCTCCTGCCCCACCTGTCTCCAGCTGTGCTAGTTACCGTAGTTTTACTTCATTTGATTTTCGCTAGATAATGTCCACCAATCTTCTAACCTCCTCCTTTATTCCATCCCCGCCAGCAAAACCCAGCGCCTCCGCCAAATCCGTTACCCCTTCAGGGAGGGCAGTCGAAGCCCTGTGCACTACAAGGTCAAATGTTCCATACACTTTCACTACGGCATATGGCACATAATGCGTCTACCTCTTGAGATTTATCCCTATACGTCTTTGTCCTTAAAGGGGCCCTCTGGAGCCTTCTGCGATCATCTGTTTATGTTGATATATTACGTAGTAGGTGCAAGTTAATATGTATACAAAGTTTTAGATTACAAAACAGTTTATTAAGCAGATGGCAGTAGAAATATATTGGGACTATTTTCTCTTAGAAGACAATCCCCCATTTCCTGCCCATCGCTAAAACTTGACCAATGGAAATGCTGCATCTCGCGGTGAATGCGAACGTTATTATTGCAACACTTTTTATGCTTGTGGTAAATTAGAGTTTGAAAAAAACGTAAACTTATTGTGGTGCGGGAAACATAGCCCGCAATCATCGCTCCAAAACAAGCGAACTATGTTTTCTCCCCGCAAGCTTGTTGCTAGGGGGTGATGCGTCGGCGCGTCAGCTCGTCTGCTTCCCGGGGCGTCTGCAGGCGTGCGTTTGCGGGACACATGTTCTTTCTTCCCGTGGATCCCGACTCCGAAGCCAGCTTTGCGATCGTTGCACGTCAACAAGTCAAACTTTTTTTTGTCACCTGTGGAATGCCACTGCATATTGCAGTAGCAGCGCGACGGTGCAGTGCGATGAACGACGACTGCCGAGCACAAAGTCCGGGCTCCTTGACGACGGTCCGCGCGTGTTCGAGAGATTCCTCCGCGGGTCGGCGGTCGGCCGCGTTGGTGACGCGCAGCGACGCCAGAATCCTTCGCTTGCTATTGGCTGACGCGTAAAGAGATGCCCCTCCCGTTTTCCGGGGTCATCTCAGAAAGGGGGGCGTGCCGGGGACTTTGATAGCAATTTTAATAGGGAAATATGCCACGCATGACCATAATTTTACGATTTTTAGGACCCTTGGGGCCCGTAGATTGAGTTACTGTCATAAATAGACCATCGCAGAACGCTCCGGAGGGCCCCTTTAACACTCCTGTTCTCGGCTCGAACAACAAAGAACTTTCCCGAGAGTTATCGAACACATTTTGTTTTCTTATGCCCGGTTTTTATGACCTGTATATTGTTAAAGATGATTTTTCTTGCATTCTTTCCTCTCACATTTTCCTTTCTGCCTCTTTCACGCCTTTTTTGACGGATCTAGTCTGCTCGGCCCCATCACTAGTGTGCATGTATTTCAATGTCAGATTTCGAGTATGGTTTGTCCATTCTGTGCTTAAACTTTTAATGTATAACTACCTCAATACTTTCTGTGCCCATTGGCTATCATCAATTTCAATTAACCTTTCTTCTTAAAATTTCAAATTACTAATTGCCTCTCTGCTCTCAGAGGATGACCAGCGCCCTGCACTCCCTCATTTAGTGTGTTCCCATGCGCTCTCAGTGCTAACCTGCCCATGCTCTTTTGTCGAATATCCAATCCTGACAGAACCTCTGATCTCCCGCACAGTGCTCCATTGCCAACAGACAGTACAGGCACCATTACTCCTTTCCATATACTTCTCACCACTTTGTATTCATTATAATTCCAGAGTGCCTAGAGTTTCACAATAGCTTAATTTATTTTTCCCTACCTAATTATATTTTCTTCCGTGTTTCTTTAGATATTACCTAATCTCATTGAGCCATACCTGCCAGATATTTGTACTCTTCTACATGGTCTATTTTAATGTCTCATATTTTCAGTGGTTCCCTCTTTTCATCGTGATGATGATGATGTAGTGACCAATGTTGCTCGACCGAATTTCGAAAAGGGCATACTGTGCATGTGCCCCCAAATGCTGCACCGACAGTGCATGCGCAAAGACGTCGGCCAGCTAACGTAGAGTGGAAACAGACGAGAGGCCCCACCAGCAGAGCAGTGCAAACAGCGCCAGCGTCCACTTGAGCGGGGTGAGTCGGCGCTTTTTCTTGAGACCAGAGTCGCAGCAGCGGCACAGGAAGAAGATGAGGAAAGCCAGCAGCGTCAGGATGAGCCAGAAACCCGGAACCGCTATCAAGATGCCCAGGCTCTGCGTGATGGCGGCAACAATGCATCAACTTCACATTTTGCGACCGAGTGCCACACACCAAAGAGCGTGTCGCACTACACGCCGTTAACCCCTTGGCTCCTAATCACGAGTGTGATTCACGTTGTGTTAGAGACCAGAAGCCTTGACAACGCGTCTGCCTTGTGTTTCGGTTTCAAAGCTTTTTTCATTCGCTCTCCGGCAGACGGCATCACTACCGCTACTGCTCTGCCCCCTTCAGGACATTTTGCTGTTTGTTTCGAAGTTTCCCCGAGAGGGAAAGGCGACATGTCCTCAACGCGGAGGCACGCTTTAGCTGATTAAGAAATATGGAAAAGTTTATCTGAAAGAGACAAGTGAACTATCCTTTCTGATCACGAGTTGTAACACCTGTCTGATGACTTTGAAACTATTTAAAACGAGCAATTTGCATGAAAATTAAAAAAAAGAAAATGCACTTGGCTTTTAGATGTGGTTTGCTGCTCTCCATCGTCTTGAATGTTTCTAACAATACCACTCAGTAACATATTTACTGAATGGACCCGCTAGACGGTCAGGAATTTTTAGCGAGAGCAACAGACATCTGGAGGCAGAGTGAATGTCAGCTTTAATTTTTGCACAAGTTGCCTATTTTAAAATAAAGTTGCATAGTATCTTTTACGAAAAGAAATTTGTCTGCAATGGGTAAAAAGGTATTAAAGAAGACCAAAGTCTCTCAGAGAGCATCAAAATAGTACTCGAGCTTCTGCTAAGATCGGGCATTTTTCGGCAAAAGGTTATGCGCCCACCACCTGCCCACCATAAAATTCCGAGATAGTCCACCTAACGTCAAGAGCAAATCGGCTGAAAATATGGATTGGGCTAATTTACGGTATACAATCGAGAAAAGTTTTAAAAAATTGCTTTTTTTAGGTGGTGTCCCTTCCAAGCTTGCTATGGTGGCAAGGGGCAAGAAAGCAAAGATGACTGTACTTCCCAGTGAGCAACGTCCGCTTACATCCCGCCATAGTGAACTAGCCGCATTTACGCCGAGGCCATCATTGATCCCAACACTATTATTACTAGCAGTGGGCTATCTTTCAGTGTTTAAAAAAATATAGCAAATCAAGCCAAAAATAGGGGTGGGCTATCTTTGGGGGGTGGGGGGTGGGGGGGGGGGGGGTATTTCTCAGAATTTTACAGTAACAACTAATTTGTTAAATCTTTTTCCGGAGGAAACACGCACAGTGGACATACCACTCCTCCATGCTCCCTCCAGCCAATGGGAGGCTAGCGAAATGACTCTTACATTGACGCAACCATGAAGCTAGAGTCCAAAGAGAAGTCATTTTTGAGCCGGAACGTGCGAGAAGATGAAATTGCTCCAAACTCTAAACGTATAATTCAACAAAAATATTGTTTCTTTTAGAAAAGCGAGTTTTGTGACACTGAGGCAGTTAAAAAAGCAATCTCCAGTCAAGAGCAGCCAGGGAAGCTAATAATGATATTAGTTTATTCCCATTACAGGTAGAGGTGGGGACCAAGAAAAAAGCAGCGCGAGACAGCTCGCAGAGCTCTCGGCCCCCATACATTCCACAGCGGAAAAATAGAAATGAATGTAGATCATGAATACTGTAGCAAAATGACTTAATTTTTGCGGGAAGCAAGTTTTTATGAACTTTGAGTCTCGGATTCGAAACGCCAAATGCGTTACAGCATTCTCCATCTGGCAGATGCCCTTTAAACAGTTTATGGAAAGGAGTAACAAACACAAGATGTGCCCACCATCATATAAAAAAAGGGCGAAGTTTATAACGAAATAATGCGCTATTGCCAAAGAAAAAAAAAATGCAATGTCCATTGCAAACCCCGAAGAATGCCGCAGAAACAGATCTTTGCGTACCCCAACTTTATCCGTACGACCGAGGAAAATTAAGCGTTTCTTAGAGGTAACTATGGGCAGTTTACGCCGAGTCTGAACAGGTCAATCTCACCTCGAGGTAGACATTGCTGCTGGGGTCGAAGGTCGAGTTGACGGGAGCAAAACCAATGTCGACGTGGGGCACGATGTGGAACCACTCGGCCACCACGGATACCTGGTAGCCCTCGTGCGTCATGGCTGCCGCCACCCTGGAGGGACCACCTGCGGGGGCCACCGTGCAATTGGCTTTCAGAAAGCTCCTATACTATTAACTCACAATCTGTTTAAAGGGTAACTCCGACCGAATACGAAACCAAAATAAATGAACAATATCACTTTAGTGGCACGAAATATGATCACAGCCGAAATATTACGTCAAAGCAAAGCCGCGTGCTCCACTAAAACCGATTTTAAAGATGCGACCAGCAACTCTTAAACGTGCGTCAAGCGGGATGGCTTTTAGTCGAGCAACACCGGGCGATGCTTACCACAGCATTCCCGTGACATCACGTCGCAGTGGTGCTGCAGTTGATTCTGCATGTTGCACCGCGTACCGGAGCACCACGGTGACAACAAGTTGCAGCCATACAGCTGATGATCAGTGTTGCCATCCCTTTCAAGAAGATAGTTTTGGTTTTGCCGTAGACACCCGAAATCATATTTTGAACCGTGATATTTATAAAACTAAAAACATTATACCTTGTAATTCAGGGACATTGACTGAGCTGAAAACGGTCGTAATCACAGATTCGAAAATATCGACCAGAGTTGCTTTTTGAAGGGCAACTCCGCTCAGTTTCTGGGATAATGAGCGATTTCACATTAAAAAGCACTAATAAAAGGCACTGTATCATTTGTAACGAAAAATGGGATATACAGTCAAATCTCGTAAATTAAAACTCGCTTAATTCAAACTTGCGGATAATTCAAACTAACATGCAGGTCCCTTCCTATGTGTCTTTATAAAAGGAAACTTCCGGTAATTCATACTTCTCTTTATTCAAGGAAATGTTCAGTCCACCTCAAGTATGAATTAACGAGATTCGACTGCATTTCGTTACATCTTACTTTAAACACGAGCAGGATTCAAAACCAAAACTTCGGCTTCGTTCGGCAACATTGGCCTTGGGCTGCCAAAAACATGGCTATCCCGTGGTACGAGACATCACGTGATTCTATACGCAACAACGAGCAGGATTGGGGCGGGCCAAAGAACCACCGTTGATGAAGGCGAGTTCCAGGTGCAAGTGTCGTCTGCACCGCACTCTTCACCACAGTTTCCTGCCTACGACATTTAACGAAGTCCGCACAACTGCGGCATCAGCCTGCGGACATAGGGTGAACAAAACTCCGAGAGACAATAATCACAAACAGTGAGACGACGACGGCGATTGTGACGCGGGAGGCGGCAGTAGTGGCAGGACGGCTTCCAAGAAGCGCGCTGCGCAGGCACGTTATGCCAACCACGTGAACACAGTTGAGCGCCGAGAGGAAACTTTGCTGACGTCACCCGTTACACTTGCCTGGACAAGTAAAAAAAAGAAGGGGCAATGGTGATGATGTTTCACTCAATGCTGGCTATGCCAACGCCATAGCCTTGATTGCGCAGTTGGTTGCTCCTCAATTTTCCCGCTAGAGTCAGCCAATTTCGGCAACTTGGCACGTTCCAAAAAGTTTGCTGGACTGTTTAAGAGACAATTAGACAGAACTATATCGTAACATCTGGCGTGGGGTCTTCCTAGGTGACACGGAAGAAGACTGCATTGCTTTTTTCAAAAAGCAAAAAAAAGAGCAAAGCTGCCCTTTAAGAACAGGGATCCTCGAGGAAAATATGACAGAACACCACGAAAACCGTTAGGCCGGGTCACACTTCTAAAAACTCATACAGAAGACAATCTGCACACAGATTCGAACGCGAGTCTCCGGAAGATTCGTGCTTCAAATGTCGCATGGCAGCGAGTTCAAGGAGAAAACTTGGCACGTGGCATCCAAACCACGGATGCTGCAGTGACCTGCGTTGGCAAACTCTTTTGTATGATATGAGCAGTGTGACCCCGGCCTGGATGAAAAAGGATGCGAAAAATTATTTACAACAAAAAAACAACAACCTTTATTTAGAGCTATATTTACAATGCGAAACAAATTCGTAGCTGGCGCCAGCGGGAGCCCGCACAAAAGTGGCAACTAGCAGTCACGTGACTGGCCACTAGTCACGTGGTGCTTGCGCTCTTTCAAAAGCTTCCTATCGGCTCTAAAAATTGCTTATAAATCTTCATAATTTTGTCGCACTTCTTTATTTAACAGAATATTTTGACATTTGAGAAACAACAAGTACAAGAAAATGGTCACTCCTGTTTTGACTCGTACAGTGACAAACAAAAGCTTTGATGTTCTGTTCAAAAAGGTGCGGTGTCACATGTTCTAGTTTTTAACATGTCGGTACCCCCAAACATAGTTATTATAATGTACGCTAGAGGTTCAAGTGGCGCTAGTGTGCTGACGCAAATTGAAGCAGACAGCAACCAGTCCAAAATCGACTTCCGGTAATGCATTTCTATGGGAAAGAGTGAGTGCATTTTCTCCCCACGCTCGATCATAAGAACAAATATCCCAAATAATTTCTACAACTTAGATAGCTTCAAACATTTCTCAGTCGGGCCGACGAAATAATTGGTCAGTTACGGTGTTTTTCTTTCAAATTCATCGCATTAAAACGGTGCTAAAACGGCTTTGTACGTGTATTTATGTGAACTGTCTGACACTGTTAGCATGAACACGACGTCGGCGCTTTTCAGTATGAGGGATACACGTACCAAGCGAACAAAGACATCTGGAAATTAAGGGAGACGGCAAGAACTACGCAGTAACACTGGATCAGTAACTACCCGTTTTATTCTTTCTGCTCTGTGCGAAGATGCTTGTTCTACGTTCAAAACATTGCCCGCAAGCTCGAAATCTTTGAGGACAAGTGACTGATAAAAGCTGCCCGGCATAGAAAATAATAAAAAGAGACACCTTTTATAGCCTACATACTTCATTCCTTACGTTTTGAATGTTTTTAACCGCTCGTAAGGATGCAAGACGGGTCATTTGCATATAGTGACAGGACTGGCATATTAGCAATATGTAAGCGTCACCGGAATGCTGGCGAGCCTTGAACACACTCTATATTCCTTTCGATTGTAATTTTGCTTTGAATCGTTGCTTGTTTTTACACACCTGCAGCGGAACACACGTTTAGAACTGAAATGTAGCGAAGTTAAACATTGTTCACTGAGGAAGAAAAATGTGCTAACTAAAGCAATTACACTTTTACAGTGCTAATCAAGGTACATAAACCCAGGGATCCTGGGTTCGAGCCCCACCCCTGCCCGTTTTGATCTGGATGAGCATCGTACCGGCGTGCGGTCGTGTATCACTACTGCGTGATGCACGTTAAAGACCCCGGGCTAGCGGCTGTACCGCACTGGCTAAATTTCTTATCTACAGCTGGGAGGCTCGTCGCCTCTGTGAGGCAAACCAAGTTCTAGGCTGTATAAATACACACACAACCCAATTTTTTTTCAAGGTACATACAATTCGGTACGACCCAAATAAGCAAAGTGTTCCGTGTTATTTTCCGGCGAAAAAAATGCATGCGTGTTTTCCCATAGGAATGCACAGGAGCACCGCAAAAGTAGACTGGTTGCTGTCTGCTTCAATTTGCGTCACGGAAGTCGCATAGACACTAGCGCCAGTTGAACCTCTAGCGTACATTATACTAACTCTATGGCCCCAAAGAGAAGGACGACTGTAGTCCTCGTGATTGTCGAGCTGCGCTGTTGCTTCATGCTGTACCACGCGTGCTTTCCCTACTAGTTGAAAAGCCACCACGTTTTCGCTGCCAATTCTAACTGGTTGATTGGCTGCACTTAGGCAGTAGACACTGAGAAAGTTCTAAAATAAATGAGGTTATTGCTGTATATATATTGTTGGATGTCAAATTCTCCATTTCCTTCAATACCCGTTTGAACTGTCTGCATAACGCTTGTATGTAAACAGTACGTAGTTGTAGTTCTTGAACTGACGAAAAAGACGCAAGTGACTGGCGGTCAATTTTAAGCTGCACTGTGGTGAGGTCCGATTAACTGAACGGTAAAAGGGACACTGACAGAGTATTTATGCTCGAAGGTTTTTATTTGTACATGACATTCGAGAGCGCGACTACCCAGAACACAATTTGCGGCTCGAAATTTGTTTTCTTTCCTCCAGAAAACCGCCGATGGAGAACTGGCCAGTTTGAGTTGTGCTCACTCTCTTCTCCATGGCCATTTTCTATGGTCTAGACACAACCACCAAAGATAACCGAAGTCGTGGGTCATTGAAGGCGCACACTCAATGCTGGAAATATGATACCCATTTTTTGTGACTGGTAAAAAGCTGCAGATACATCAATTGAAAAAAAAAAAAAAATGTTGCACAGCCACGTGACTTTTGGTAACTTTCTCCTCCGCTATATTTCTTCTCCCTCCCCAGTCCAAATTCAAATTTGGTTTAGAGCAGTTTTTTTTTTTTTTTTTTTTTTTTTTATTAAAAATATATATGACAGCAAAATATTGATTGGGTAGCATTCTGACACCATGATAGATCGCCTGGCAAACAATAAAAACATTTTTTGGGAGAGTGTCAGTGTCGCTTTAATCCAGTTCAGATTATAAACACATTAGATTGGATATCTAAGCTAATTGCTTCTCTGTCACAAGCAGATGAGATGCAACAAAAAACAATGCTTGTCTGCAATTGATTCATTCATTACCACAACTTACTAGCAGTTTCCCAAACAGCTGCATTATTTGTCGCAAAATTTACAATGAACAACTAAGAGTTATCCAGACTGTGCACCCTCATATGTACTCTACCCCGAAAAACTAAAGGGAATGGAAATGTCAGTGTTCAGGTAAAGCAAACTCTAGTATTTCTCAAAAGCATATTCAGCATATTCTCCAAAGCATATTGAGCTGTGTTTGAGACTCCTGTTCTTCCTCTCCTTCATTGTCCTCTTTCTCCGGTATAGTTCATCATGTTTAATCATCCCAGCTTGTTTGCACCCTACCATTCTTTTCATATTCTGATGGTGGTTTGTTAATAGTCAAATTGCTTAGTGCAGTTCCATAAGGGCAACACATTTAAATTAATATGCTTCACATTTGCAAAGAGCCAACGAGTGTTTAAAAATGCAGAGATTTCACTGACGAGACGACACCTCGCTTAAAAGGCTGCCAGCCAGAGTGCACTGCCTACATACTACAGATTTAGGAAAAGTATGGTTTAAGAGGGTTGTGAAGCCTATTTATTGTTATAATTTGGTGGAGTATGAGCAGTGTTGAGAAGTGGTTTAAGTACATTGTACTTGAAGTACTACTAGTTCAAGCAGATCTAGAAAACTTGTACTTTACTTGAAGTACATTCTCCGAGCACATTCCTCAAATTCGGTCTTATTAAATTTGTATCACCAAATGATGCTTTGTCCAATCTGAAGAAATACTGGGAGGGACATACTACTCTCATCAAAAATGCAAACAGAAGACGCGTCGCTCCATTCGTTCTGGGGGCGGCTTTCCTGTAGCATTTCAAACCCTTGCTACTTCTCGCCCGGTCAGCACAAGTGAAAAGGTTAAAAATGTGGGGAGAGGGCTATTAACCATAATGGGACCACAAAACTGTGATGCAGAAGAAGTAGGATATTTTTAAGTCAAAGAAAAAAATAACAGAGGATGATGTCTCAATATTTTGCAACATTATCCATGGTTTTCTTCTCCTTCAGCTTGATCAAAAGTTCCTTAATTTTTCCACACCACAGTTTCGGGTGTCACATTATGATTAATTATCACTAGCTCGCCTGCACACTAGCTTTTATTCATTAACCCCTTAAGTGCCTTGGACGAGCTGAGCTCGTCGGCCATTTTCGGACTAAAAATGCCATGGACGAGCTCAGTTCGTCTATTGGTTTTTTCGGTAGCCCTCAATTCCACGGACGAGCAAGGCTCATCCGTGTAGTTTTGCGGCACTGATCATGGATGGCAACACTCGTATTAGTTGGCAAACATTTTTTTCGCCTCCGCTGATTTTTTTATAATAAACTTTTCAAATTATATGTGGAATACTAGAGGAATAAAAATTCAAAATAAAAAAAACTGGCACTTTTAGGGTACTTTTGGGGGAAAAAAAATGTGGCACTTAAGGGGTTAAAAAGAGGACACTCCTGTAGAGGATTGCTTGCAGAAACCATGGGGCCGACGTCATGCACTCTTTTAGTGCATCTAATCCCCTTGGTTACAACAAGACAGCGCAAGCAGTCAAATTCAGAAGTCTGAAGGACTTCCGAATTTGGTGCCAGTTCTGAAAATAACTACTCTGGTCACTGGACTTTATCCAATATTTGGCGCCATTCCCGAAAATAAGTGATGCACTCCCAAATCCCGATTACCCCTGGGGCAACGCATACCAATTAAAAAATCACCGATAGGTGAACGAAAGATTCTGTCAAAAAGTACTTGTACTTTACTTTAGAAGTACATTCTATTTATAGTATACTTTACTTCAAGTACACTGCACCCAGGGCTGAGCAGAGATACTCCAAAAAGTATTCGGGAATACAAATACTGAGATACATGTATTTTAAGGCCCAAAATACAGACACTGAGATACATTTGTTTTTTATGAAATGGAATATTCGTAAGATAATTTGAAAAAACGGCAAAAAAGTATTCCGGAATACAGATACTTATAAAAATACATCAGTTCCTAAACGGTGCTATGTGGGGGGGGGTGTACTTTGTGGCGAATGCAAATGGTAATGTATGCTTGTGCTCCAAATGGTAATGTATGCTTGTGTTTTCCTTTTTGTGTCATTTTATGCACATCCCCTTGCTTCGAGCTCTTTATTTATCCCCGACAGGGTATTTATGCTCGCCAAGATTTTTATTTTCACATTACGTATGAGAGCCCAACTAACCAAAAAACCATTCGCGGCTCGAAATTTGTTTTCTTTCCCACTAAAAACAGCTGTTAGAGATCTGGCCGGTTTGAGTCGCGCTCACTCTCTTCTCCGTGGCCACGTGCCGTTGCTTATGGTTTAGACACAACCACCAAAGATAATCAAAGTCGTAGGTCATCAGACACACACACAATATTGAACATAGAAAAGAAATATGATACCCATTTTTTGTGGCTTCTAAAAAGCTGCAAATGCGTTGTTTGGGGGGAAAAAAGTATCAGGGCCATGTGACTTCTGCCAACTCTCTCCACCTCTATATTTCTTCTTCCTCCCCAGTCCAGTTCCCTTTTCGAGCAGCTGCTTTTTTTTTTCTTTTTTTTTTTTTTTACTTTATTCAAAATATATGTAACACTGTAACAAAATATTGCTTGGGCAGTCTTCTGACATCATAATAAATCGCCTGGCGAAAAATAAAAATAAATTTTGGGGGTGTCAGTGCTTCTTAATGATGCTAAAGAAACAAAAAAAAAACATGTCACTTTCGGTGAACCACAGTTACTGAACTGTAAAGAATGCGTGCCTTGCTTGCCAAAAGGCGTCTGCACAAGCCCTGTTTTGCCGTGAGGATGCATCTCAAACTGTCGTAGTATATGCTTTTGAGTCACCCATTGGGAAGATTGGACAACAAAGCCGTACCTTTTTTACACTCAACTACTTTAGAGCGTTTGCTCCGCTAAATTGGAAAGAGTGGAGGGCTTTGTGAGAGGAGCTTATTCTGTAATTCTTGCCAGTAACCTTCTTTACACCAGCATTTTTTAATATTGGTGACTGTGATGGATAATCTTACAGGGCAGGTTCATAATATAAATTCTGAAGCACTTTGCACCAAACACGTCTTTATCTTTTAAATTTATCATCAAAAACGGCACCAAATGTAACGAGATACCCAAGTCTGGCAAAGTATTGCATTGTGTATCGAGATACATTCTTCAAGTGTATAAGATACTATTGAAATATATTTGCATCACGATACTGCCCAGCCCCGATTGCACCCAGTGTACTTTCTACTTAACTTTAACTACGTACATCACCTCTAATTTACTTTGCACTTGAAGTACTTTTTAGATGCACTTTACCCAACAGAGAGTAAAAGTGTGTGCCTAAGAAATATTCAAGACTCGCTATATTATCAATGCAGCCTAACAAATGTGTTTACACTTGGCTGAAATTACACAGGTTGCCCTTGGACTGTTTTACGCATTTCATGAATTATTAGTTCATGAAAACAAAAGTAAAGGTCTCGAGGAGGCTTTTAAATTTCCTATTTGAAGTTCTGTACAACATCTTTGACTGAACACTCCCTTGACATTCGTGTCTATAAGTAAAACATTTTTATTTTGTTGTGGATGCTGAATATTTACCAGGACGACTGTACTCTGTTAGGACTCGGCAATGCAAAGAAGCAAAGCAAGCAATACCAGCCTGGAACAGAAATTTCACCGTTTGGAAGAGGATATTACTAGTTTCTATATTTAGCAGCACTTTATGGTTGCTAGGCAGCAGGCGGGCTTTGTTTAGATAAATGTGGCCCATTGTAGCCCTGTGCGCCTATCTGGGTCAACTTCACGCTTGGTTCCTCCTTCGGCGCCCCTAATCTCGATCCCCCTCCGAGCGATTTTTTGTTTGCAACCTTGGCAGCATCTTTATTTTGGAGGCCAAGTTGGCCAAGTCGGCAAAGTCTCGCGACGGCCCTCCCTCCTCCCGCCTCCGGGCGCAGTTACACGCGCACACAAAGAGTTGCTCGATCTGACGTTGATCCGATTATAAAGTAAAAGTTACGTAGCACGGCGGAAACGCCAAAGATACACGGGACACGCGGAGGAAACGTGTCCCCGAGCGCGGTACATCGCCGCGAAACTTCGCAAGCGCCAACCCACTGATCTCCACGAACGGGAATTTCAAGCGACTTCTTGACCAAACTCTTCCCGAGAAAGATGTAATAAATCAGAGGAAAAAAAATATATCGTACCAGCGCCCACGCACAACAAAGTGATTACATCCTCTTCCGTTTTAACGCCCGCGCGCGATGGCAGAAGAGGCGTACGGCGTCTTTCGGATGACTCGCTCTGGTTGCTTTCCGTCGTGCTCCGGCTGCCCGCAGCCCGCACACGCCCAAGAGTTTTAAAGCGGGAAGCTTGCCCTGGGCGCGGGACAACTGGAAGATTTCCCTGACGATCTTATCCTGCGAGTTTTGTTCCTTAATCTATTTAATTCTCGTTTAATGTTCTCACAACTCCAGCTGCGTTCGTCGCAGTACAACCGAAGGGGTCATCTTACAAGAAAAGAAAATAGTAAAACCAAGTCGATCATCTCCGGATTTGACCCAGAAACAATTCCGAGAGAACCCCAAAAATGCGTACCAAAAATACATAAAGGAGATGCCCGAGGGTCCGAAGGCGCGCGCTCAAAATCAGCCTGGCTGCAACCAGGCATCGAGGAAAGCCCCCCTAAAAAGAAATATATCTATAAAAGCAGCCGTCCGCGTAGCCCCTTCAACGGCGCTTCTGTATCGACCGGCAGCGTATCAGTGAGCTCTCCATTGGGGCCACTTTCGCGGCACACGAACGAAACACTCCGAAACGGCAGCATCCCAAGGCGCCCACAGGTTTCCTCCACACCGCTCTCGCGGTAGCGTCGCAATCCGGAGTTTGAACAAAGCACGCTCACGAGTGACGTTCAAAAAGGACCCAGAAAGGATAACAAACGAGGGAGGAACGGAAGCAAAAAAGAGAGTAGTATAAAAAAAAAAAGAAGACAGGGCGACGGGTGGGGGCAGCTCACCGGAGTTTTCGGGTCGATGAAAACAGCCCTCGGTGCCTCAGAGCATCGCCGTCGCTGGGTGATGCGCTCGCCGTGCAACGAGCAGGACGCGGCGGGCGACGGCAGGAAGCAGATTAAAGAGCCGATTAGTGGTTCCAGTGGCTCACATTCTCGGTCCGAGTTTGAGATAAGGGGCGCCGAAGGTCTAGGGCTTCCCTCGTCGCGACTCTTTCCTTCGGAGTTTCCGTGAGCGCCGCTGCCGCACGGATGAAACGCAAACACAAGGAAGGGGGAGGGCACCTCTTGTGGTGCCAAAGACTTCCACAAGAGGTCACCGCCCGCGGAGTCCCTACTGGGGACGAGATAAGCGACAACTTTCAATTGAATGAATTAATAATGGCTAGATGCATTGCGGCTGTTTTCCTTGGATCGGGCGGTGGCTGGCGCCCCCTAGCCACCGACGTTCCTTAGCTACCGTCTTGATGCAAATGGTTTTGGTGCTACTGAATTTTCTCATTGCACCAATGAAGTCACTTATCCTAGTTATCCAGCGCCTTTAGGCAAGCAAACATGCCGCAATTTAGTGTCGAAGAATCGGTGTGTACGAAGAGCGCACCTGGAGGAACCCTTGACAAGCAGAGCCGTAAATGTAGAGAGTTTGGCCATTCGTTGGGAAGTATAGGAGACAAATGAGGAGGCGCCATTGGCCGAAAGCGGGCTGGGCGTGTTCCAGGGCGTCTTCAGAAATTCGAATGTGACCAACCAGAAGCTGGAAATAATACCCTGGCGGTGGTCGTAAGAAACAAACCTGATAACTGCATTGGAGTAACTCTCAATGGCTGAAAATATGGTACACGTGATGTTTCAATCACGTTAATCCAAAATGATGGTGGAAGAGTGCGACTAGCGGAACGATCGACATGATTTTTACGCCAGGCGCCCAGGGCCGGGAATCCGCCGTCCGAACCTCCGTGCAAAACAGAGTTGCGCGGTGCATTCGTTTCTTACATCTTTCTGCATGATCATGATCAAAACAACACGTGCACCCTATTTTCAACCACAAAGAGTTACTACACTCTACTCTTACGTGTTTATTAAAACCATAAACGAACATAGACTTTTGATCAGAACTGTTTGCCGCTACCACCGCTAGGGGATTCTTTTCGGCTTCTGGTTGGTCAAGAGAGCATGCCAAGCCCCCCTTCCAACTTTGCCGCACGCCCTGACTCTGCCCGCGCCTCCCATTGACCAAACTCTCTCAATACACGGCTCTGTTGACAAGTTACTGTGTAGGATGCTTTTATATCCTTCTAGTTGGGATAATGCTGTAGTACTACACCTGTACCAACGTTACTTAAACACTCAGTTGGGAAACTCCCATAGAGACAGCTTTGAAAAAGTGGCCCCAATCTGTCTCCGCGAGCACCGAGCTAATGACGAACACAACGCCACCATATCTCCCGCAGCGGCCACTCGAGGAACTGCACGCTTTAAGAACAGATACAGCGGTAGAGGTAACAGGGGTGCCACCCCCGTCTCCCCGGCGGACGCGCCGCGTACAACTACCGAAGTTAAAATGCACCTAGGTCGGGACGCGCTACCTGAAAGGACCGCGGAGGCATGGTTGTATAAAAACAATATTAATTGTGCCACAAAACCCTGCAAACTAAAGATTTTAAAAACATAACGCGCCCCTCTTTTTGTACTAAACTTCAATAAATTTCATACAAAAAGAGTCTTTTCCGTTTGTTTTTACGCAAAAACAGGCTTTCAAAAAGCTCAAGGTGACCACAGTACAGACAAACGATAAAGAGTGGCGCTGTTGTCGCATTTAGCTCAGTCTCGGTGGACGCCAGCGGCCCAGGTTTCGACGGCGAGTTTCCCAACTGAGTGTTTTAGTAACGTTGACCTGTACACTAACGCTTCAAGCCCAACGTATCGCAGGGGCGGATTTGGAGGGAGTTTGCTGTGATATGACATTACGGCCGAAACGTTGCCCGGATTTATTTTGCTCACCCAATATTTGCTCTGTCACCAAAATCGCTTTTGGCTGGTGCATATCAAATTTTCATTAAATAAAATGGGACGTTTACAATTCTCTGTAATGCCGAAATAGAGCGCAGCTCTCAAGGAGGAGGGGAGGGTACGCAGAAGGAGGGTCACGTGTGACGTCACGAGGGTAAAAAATTCCTGCTATATTCGGCAGGAAATTTTTTTCATGTCACACGTGACGCCCCTCAGCCCGGGTTTCCCACTAAATTTAGTGGAAAAAATCCCGCCAAAATTTTGCCCTCGCGTCTCCAGGTCAACAAGCACCGTCTGCATCGCTCGGGAGATGGCGCAATAAATTGCCCCAAACATTTTTTTTTAACGAGTCAAGTTTAATTGTTTATATTTAACTTTACGCATGCACCACCTAGCCGCACCTCTATAGTAAATCCCAGCGCAATATCATGAGAAACCAATATTTGCCGACCGTCCAAAGTGGGATGGAAAAGTTAGTGGACACGTTCCAGACATGCCATTTAACGCCATATCATTGAACATTGTTTCATCAAAGCCGTTTCATCGAAAGCCGTTTCATCATAAGCCGTTTTATCGAACACCATTTCATTGAACGCCTTTTCAGCAAAGTAGTCTCATCGAAAACTGCCTAGAAATGTTATCTAGGAGGATGTCTCAACATCGGAAAACCTGCAGTGTTATAACAATCATAATTTATAAACTTTTTTTCTCAATGGAGGGGAACTAATAAAAAGACTTTATTATCTACGCTCATTCCATTTCTTTTTTTGTTAGTAGCAACTGACAACTTGTAGTGTTACATTTTATGCAGTCACAAGCCCAATCGAGCAATGTTCTATGATTCAGTAACCAAAATGTTTGTGAAAAGTGATCGGGATAGTTATTCTATATTTGGTTATTTAACAGCAGTGTGAAAACCCCAAAGCGAGAGTGAAACATCTAAAAAGCACTGCAACACTCCAAAACTCGGTGAAGCAAAAATTCAATGAACGGCGTTGAGCCGTTCTATGAAACGGCATTCAATGAAATGTCTGGTGCCACGCCGACGGCAGGCATTCGTAAGTATGTGGTGCAACCAGAAAGTTCTTCCGACTGATTTTTAGTGTAAAAAGAGAGGGTAGCACGATGATGTGCTGGCAGCAGTCGAAGGCAGGGACCTTGCCGCGTCATTATGCCAAAGGGCACCGTTCTGCGACCGTCTGGAGCTGCGCTACACGAGTTTTTGTGACCCCACGCAAGAGCACAATGGCGACTTGACCATAGACAGCAAACCAGAGCGAGAGTGAACATCAACAGACTTTTTTCAAAAGTCCATCAAGCAACATTGGTGGTCGCCATTTCTAGGGCACGAAGAGTGTAATTGAATCCGAGTACACTTGTCGAACGCTAACGCAGCTCTCTTTTTCGAGAAGATCTGAGCTTACGCTGAATGCTGATGCAACTCTCCTGTTCAATACAAGGTCAGGGTATGTGCCCAAACGGTGGTGAACTCGGATACTTGGCGCAGAAACTTCTAGAAGGCACACTTTTGTAAAGGGTCTGTCAGAAAACCAAAACCAGTAACCTTTGAAACGATTCAGCAAGCTAATGTCAAAAAGCAGTGGATTGAGCAAAGTGTTTCGAGCGGCACCTGTACGTCAAGAATACCATCATCACTGGAAGGCACGAGGGGTCAGAGAAGGTTGCCTCCCAGTCTTCCAGCAATGTTTTGCCATTTTTGAAGAACTAGTGCCACTCGAAACACTGTGCACAATTCACTGCTTTTTGACATAAACCTGTGTTTGTCCATCCCTTCTCGTTTTCTTCCTCAAGTTTTAATTATCCCTCTCAACCCGCTCGTTCTGTCCTTACTGCCGAACCATTTCTCCGTTTTAAATGTGCCGAGTATGACGCAGAATCAATGTTTGCTCTCACTCTGGTTTGTAGTCTATCGTGAAATCGCCACTGTGCTTATGCACGTAATCACAGAAAGAGGCGTGCGGTTTAGAGAAGCTCATTTTAGCAAGAGTCGTTTTACCGACCCCCCAGGTCATCGAATTGCCTCATAGAAAAGATCAGTTTAGAGAAAATGGTGATGAGCCAAGCTTCGATAAAACGAATCCGTCCTCTGAAACGTGTTTCGATGAAATGGCATCCGAACAACCGTAGTAAACTCGGTCACAGAAACTCGTGCAACGATGTCAATGTTGAAAGAATTCGCATATTCTATTTTTGACATTGTTTATCCTGTCACAAAGGACAGAAAACACATCTCCTTCCTTCAAAATCTTGAGGTTCCGCCACATAATCGCGAGGCAAAAATTATAATATTTCCCGACCTGCAGCCGCGAGCGGCGGCCACGAGAAACAAGCGGCGTGACGTCAATAGGGGACTTGTAAACAGATAGGATGTTGTGCGAATACCTGCTCCATAAAAGGCAATTTTTCTTTAAATCTTGTCGTTCCAACATAAATATAAATGCATCAAAAACCTGGTATCATTGACTAAACTTTTATTATACAGAGTTTTAATGGCGCCACCTATCCTAGGTCCACAAAACCGTCAGCTCTATCTGCTACCGCGAACAGCCGCCAGAAGCCGGAGGGGGACGGAGACAGAGCCGGACGGGGATGGCCAGACTCGGACGAGACTTTCCTCCTTTCGCCATGTTAATCCCGCTGTGCAAGCACGTGGTCACGTGGTCGCGAGCGGGCGAGTTGTCGCTGCTCACCGATGGCTCTAGTGAGAGTGCTTCACCGGAACCCCGCGCGTCTTCCTTTCACGTCATAGCGCACGTGACTCGGAAGATGGTGAAGGAGTTGAGAGGTGCCGAAAACCTCAATGTTTGTCAATTTTTAAAATAAAAACTAGGACATGCAGGCAAAAGCGGTTTTTTGTTCTTTACTTCAAAAGGGTTGAGACACCAACTCCCAAATTATTTAAGCAAAGTACTGAAATTGTTGCACAGCTCCTTTAAAGGTTCACAGGATGACGCCCTTTGGCATAACAAGACTCAAATGTTCCTGCTTTCGACTGCTGCAAGCGCATAACCGTGCTGCCCTCTCTTTTTACATTATAAAATTAATCTCCAAACTTTTTAATTGCACCTTGCAAGACACGAAGAAATGGCCGGTGACAAAATGGCTAGGTAGCACGGTCAATGCCAAAAGCTCGAGCTGGGAGATGCTCTTCCACACGCTCGAGAACAAAAAAGAAACCGCCCTAAGCAAAGTGCATTCCATAGGTTTCATGCACAGTTAGAATGCATGTGGGACAGATATAACTTTTTGATTAGCTTCGTTAGAAATACGAGTGGGTTTAGCATCAGGTTAGATCTAACATTCCAGATTGACGTGGACAGTGACAAGGGTGAGAAATAGACGACAGAACAAAAAAAGTGACTCAAACAAAAAAGTTATAACCAACCTTTCTCCTAAATATGGGCTTGTTCTATGGGTTTTGTACCTGCTGGTTGAACAGAGAGAAAAGATGGTTTCTTTGTATCCGCTCTGGGGCCAAAGATAATCCACAATGGGGACAAAAAAACATGTTTTGAAGGAACCCTATCTAGGAGGTCTCAGGGCCCAACAAGATGCTGCTGACACTTTCGAGTATGAATATACCGAAAAGGCATAGTTGAACGGATAAAAAAAGCTCGCTATTGTGTTGTTTTGTAGCCATTAAGAGCGCAGCTCCGGTCAAATTTCGATGTTGAGAAAACAATGCAGTTTTACGACGCATCACCTGAAAAGCTTACACATAAAATATTACGATACAATTCCGTCTAAAAGTTTATTAAATTGGCCAACGAACTCGGAGTGGCTCCACAGTCACCAAAATCCCCCCCAATCCAGTGGGCGACGTGCGGAGCAGCACGGTCAACATTGTAGCGTGGACACAGCCAATGCTACGCAAAACGTCAACTGAAAGAATTGTTTTGCTTGTTTCTTACTTTTCAAGGTGTGGAGCGTGAGGGCGAGAGAAAAGAGTGTGGGGCGGAGAGACCACATGCGACGTTGCCCCTGCATGACCGTGCCGGGTCAACGCCATCACGGTAAAGCATAATAAAAATTATGCCTTACCAACTCGCCCAATCTGCAGTTTTAACGGGTTTTATTTCTAACACATCAGGCCCTTTCAACCACCTTCCATCGACCCCAGGAAAGCTGGTCACTATTCCTTGGGGTTGAAGAAGAGGAAGTCCGACTAAATACAGATTATAGGTTGACAGTTCAGTGCTGTGCGATTTTTGAGACTGTGGACCTGTGCACTGGTTTGTAATTATTTGTACTTGCGACAGCGCTTCCTCGTCTCATGCACCTGGAACGTGCGAGCAGAGCCAAGGCACGGCAGAAGGCATAAAGTGCTGCTGGAGGCCGTTCTAAAGACACACCCCACCATTCTCACACCAGCAGTGACTATGCGGAGTGCAAGTTTGTCTGCTTCTTGCACAGGGGTTGCGATGACGTCAGAATGCTGAGCTCTTATTGGCTGATTGAAAAGCAAATAGTGGGTAGACCTCAAGGCATCTAGCATTGAGTTGTACCCACTATTCTTCCAATCAAAGCCAATCAGATCAAGCATTGAGTTGTACCCACTATTCTTCCAATCAAAGCCAATCAGAACTCGGCGTCATTCTGATGACACCTCGACCCCTGCGCAAGAAGCAGACGACTTGCTCTCCGCACAGCAGCTACAACTTATGGTTGAATCAAACAGTTTCTGAGCTGCTGGAGGAAGTACAGCCAGTTCAGGTGGAGAGTCGTGAACAAGCAGAAGGATTGAAAGCTCATCTTGACACCGAAATTGCAAAGGCCACCACTAAACTGAATCCAAGTTAACAGCCCATAGTGCGGTATGGTGGATTAACGGTAAAATTAGACTTCACTGCATCCTTGAAAACAAATTATTTTCAGCAAGCTCACGATTACCATTCCTTACAGATGTCTCCAGGTCAAGCAAACAGGAATCTAACTGGACACACAACGGGCAAATGCACAGTAAAAACCAGAGATAAAAAAGTTTGACAGACAGGCAAAGTTCTACGAAATTGTTCAATTTTACTATGCCTATTTCCACAGTACAGAAAATATAATGCTCTCCCCCCCCCCCTCAACCCCTTCCTACAGACCCATTGTGACCCAACAAAATGTTGACTGTGGCATAATGCAGAACGATCCCAATCCAACGTCTGACATTCACTTTGTTCATGCCCTAGAACGCAAACAAGTGCTATAGAAAAACAATTCTCTCCAGATGTCACATTATTGAGCCGAGTAACAGCACAAAGGAATGGCCTTCAGAAATGAAGACGTTCCCAATTTTCGTGCATCTGCACAAGAATTAAGAAATTAGAAGAAAATAGGAATTAGGAGCAAACAAACAGATTGGAAAGTCGATGAGTGCACTGATAGGCACAGTAGGATGGTCTCCAGTTGAATTGTACTAACTGCAATGCATTTAGTCACAACACATTGTTACTCATCTTGAACCAAAAACATTCCCTCGCTTCCTGGGGGGCTCCAGGCCAGAGAGAAACATGAGACACAATAAAACAAGACATATCAATGGCACACTTCTAACTAGTTAACAAAGGTTTCATTCGTAAAATCTGATGGCCCTATGCAATGTCACGCACGATCCTTCATTAACTGTGCAATATCATGCTAATGGCAACACTATGGCTGTCATAATGACCATCTGGTTCAACTTGCTTACACCACATAAAATGACTCGACACAGGAGTAAGCTTTCTGACAGTATGTGGAAAATAAACAAATTTGTAAGAAACATTTAAAACAAATGCCAGCAATTTGGGTTACACTTTACAACAAAAAGTTGTCGAAAGCCGGACAGAAGCAAAGGATGGCACTCTTCAAATCTCGCCTCCCCCACCCCCAAAAAGTTTGTAGAAATGCAAAAACACTAAACGACACTTTGTAAACTATTGTGACGGTGCCATGTTGGATGGTCGTGGATGCGACAACGAGGCGCCCCGCTACCTTGGAAATGGTGCACGATATGTTTCGATATGAAGATATGGATTCCTTCGTCTGGATGATTGCGATAGCGTGCATGAGGTATAAAGCACATTATTGGAGTATCCAAAGGACGAAAGTAGAAAACGGTCAATGACTTTCCTTCGCTGTTATTGCGGGTCGTCTGCCGGGGAGACGTAGTGACCTCCATTGAACGGCACGCAGCACAAAGTTAAAAGACTTACGGTTCCTTCACACCATCTGAACACTAAGGATAAATCGTGCCCTCTTAAGCAGAGAGGAGTATGTGCATAGAGCACCCATCTGTCCCAAAACATATCCGACAGATGACGTCTGCTGCAACTTCCCTCTTCTGATGGAAGAGGTCTAAATACCGGATGTGTCAAATCTGGATCTCGCATCTCCAAACAAGACGTAAGGCAGCGAATATGTAAGAATCAGTCGTTTAACCCTTTCCGTGCAGTTAAAAAGCATAGTTTGTCCGCACTCCATTCGGGTGTAGCGTATTAAGCAGGCTCGCATTTGTGGCGCTCACAAGCTCTCCAACAACTGCACCCACCTCTCATTTAAACTGCCACTCCGTCGAAAACTCGAAAAAATAAAGGCCCTAAGGAGCAGTCTGCCTTGGCAAGTCAAACATTGAGGCATAGCAATTAAGACGTCGTGCAAGTTAGGCTTAGTACCAGTTGAGGCTCCGTTACACTCCGACGTCGAGCGTAGCAAACGTGGCGTACTGCAACGCACACAGGTACAGATTGGTCGCAGATGTCGAGTTCCTGCTCGCCGGCCAATAAAAGGCACACGTCTTGCGCTACGCCGCGTTCGCTGCACTCAACGTCCCAGTATAACGGAGCCTTTAGACTTTAATCTAGCAAGCTATGCCTAAAATCTTCTACCACGACGCGTCATCAGAGAAACAAAAAGCACTCGTAAAACAGAAATCTCTCAACACTTCGAGCAAGCTCGGACTAGTTCAAAAGAGGCTGCATAGGATGCGGTGCCTTCTCACCTTCTTCTCTTCTGCGAAAGTTGGGTACTACCGTACTCCATCTCACCATAACTTTGCAAACAGTGAAGGCTACAGTTTCCGCGAGCCCATCGTTGTGTCGGAAGGAGACGCATGATAATGCTCTACATCTCGTAGGTTGCACGCGGTGCCGTCGAAGCCACAGGCGGATGGAGGAAAGTTGCTGTTGCGCAACTTTTGAGGGACGGGCTAAACTCCGAGGGGGGGACAAGAGCAATGTCTGGGACACGTAAAATGGGGTCCGAGTAAGAGGGGAGTTTCTCCTTCCCCACCTCTCCAACTGCTTCGGCGACGCTCTCGCCCCTTTACGTTTGATAAGAGCTGTCATGTGCTTCGCTCGTGTCGTTTCCATTGGCTCGAGGGGGCTGTAGCGTCCGCTCTTTGCCAAGTTACGGCGAAACAATGTTTACGAGGCGCGCTTGATTTGTACACGCTTGCGACACCAGTGCAGTCACAGTGTATTCCATTCCTCGTTGCACAACCAAACCCCGCGCAAAATGTCGGCGGCCGTTCCCAGGCCTCTGGAAGGTTCATGCCTGGGTTCTAGCTCCGACTGCCGGGTGGCATAGCCGGGGAGTGTGTTTGGAAATGCAAACACCCTCCGCAATTGTTTTCACTATTTCTCCTTTCTTGCGCACCCTATCGAAACATGGAAGTAGATAACTACTTGTTTCGGCAAGAGCCCCAGCTCGTACAGCATAAAGCTATGTTAAAAGGAAGGCCAACTCAGTTTACAGCCTTTATCGTTCACAATGTCTCTCCTTCTCTCGTGCCTCCTTCCAGACAACTTTTCTCCTTCGAGAGAGGTATTCGTTGCAAGACCCGAGCAACGCTATTTTCCAGAGTAGAAAACGGTGTCTATTCTCTGGATGCCATTGTCTACGTTTTCCACACGTCACAAAAGAGTTTCCCCAACCCGTTGAGACCCTCCCATAAAATCACCCCATTCTCCCGTTCCTCTGGTGCGACACTACTCCTTTAACAATGTGGCTCACCTAAATTTGAGCCAGCACTTTTTTAAATGTCACTCCTCATGAAGAATGGAAAATAGCGTAACTATAACTTCTGTAATCTGAAGCATAAGTGATGTAATAGAGCGTCTTTATAACAGTCAAATGTACGACCTTGTGTATGCTTGAATTTTCTTTCGATGTCCTCCCCTGGTTTCTTTTTCCCTCCAACCCTATCAAAGAAGTAAAACTCCGTCCGATAAGGTCGTGTTTGCAGTCGCGTTGCAACAGGCACACTCTTGCAGCAGAGGCTGAAGAGGTCACGCTAAGGGGGCAGACCGGCACTTGACAAGCAGCCAAGTACAACATTTTTTCACTCAAAAAAAGACATTTTGTTTATGGAACCAATCAATGTACAGCAAACTGTGGTTCTAGGAACGCAGGCTTAGCTCGGGGTGCCCTCGTGAAATCTTTTAGCCCCCAGATTACCTTCACCGTTCCCGTCTCAACAAGTAAGCGTTTTTCCGGCATAATTTTAGCAGGCTTGGACCACCCATTCATGCATAATTGCCGAGGCATCAGCTGTTCACGAGCACAGAAAGTAAATGAATGAATAAACAACTACGAACCAAGTGCTCCTTAAAGGGGCGGTGTAACGATATTCAATTGGAATGTTCTTCACACAAGCTTACCGGCACTAGTGGGACTCGAGGATACTCGCACGCAATGCCACTGGCCAAGAACTCCTTTGTCATGGTGTAATTTCAAGGACAAAAAACAGTGTTTTCATTCAATCTCCCCTTTGCGAAACTTGATGACGTAGCTGGGCAGTCACAGTATCTCCCAAGGACGGTACTTGAATGCGGCTCATAGATTGAACCTGAGCATTGCGTTAGCACTCGATTTGGACTCTTCATAATCGATAGCCCGACGAGCATTCGGATAGGGGCCCGTGCCATTGCCTCTATCCAGTAGCTGCAATAACGACAATAGCCAAACCATAAAAACGTCTGGAACTCAGCGTATGTCCTGTGCTTTGCCAACCCCAGCGCATGTCTATGATCAACATTGGAGGCATATAATCGGATCCAGATCATGTGGCTGCTTGTTCTGGCTGCAAGTTGAGGGGGTGAACGCTGCTCTTTTTCCTTTAATTTTTTCTGCAACTTCGATTGCGTGTGGTTAAAAACTAAAGGGTGCTTCACAGGTCATAACGTCAGGGATCCGTTCTATGCGGTATTTGTGCAAAGTGAAAAAATCATTGCATTGTCCCCTTACAGGGGCAATGCAACGATGATGTGGGAACACTGGTCTTGGAGCTTTTTTCTTATTTTATGATCAAATCACTGCACAAGCCTGTTCAGCTTTTTGTGCTGATTTCAAATATCTGGTCACTTTCTCAGTCTGTAGAATTGTCCTCAAGATAATTAAAACTCGCCCGCCTTTGTTTGGAGGAACAGGAAAAAAACTGCTCAACAAAACATTATCTTTAACGCATGGTTAGATACTACGAAGTGTACAAAATACAATGTTAGAAGTAATTTGAAGATTAACCAATTAGTAGTGATTTTACCGCACATTGAAGTTCAGTGCTCAATGTGTGGCTAACAACTAATAAAATAAAAGGTCAATTAAAAATTTCCTAGACCTATATTAAAATATCTGCTCTCAACACTGTATGGATAAACACATTTAGCTACATGTTTCAGAAAAAAGTCATATTTCTATGTGCTCTAGATGCTAAGATATCCTTCCTGCAAATTTTTGAATGAGTTCAAAAATTGTGTTTTGTAAAAACGGTGTTTTAGAGTTAACTTCAACGCACATTCAACCTGCAGAAACATTATAAATTGATTTATAATATTCATTCACAAAATTAGAAACCTGGTAGATTCGAACAACAGTTGTAGAGGTCAACATTGCCATTTTCAAAAGAATGAAGTTTTAAGATAGTTTTTGGCTTCAAAGACCCATGTCCCCCTTCAAAGGGGTACGAAAACAAAAATTTAAATATTCAAATTTCGTTCGGAAATGAGTCAAGCATGACAGATAATAACCGCAAATGATAATCGCACGTTCGTATTTTGAACTGGCTATATTTTTCGTTTCAAACGGTGCACTCGAGCAAGCGCTCGAAGAGAAGCGAACGGAGAGTGCGATGCGTCATGGGATATCTGGTGCAAACGAAAACAGAAAAGAAAAAAGATTCCCCGCATTCATGACGTAGCAAGGGTGGCGTAATTATGAGCTGTGCCGTTGGTGGCGTTTCAGCATTGTGGGGGTGTCAAGAGCATCAACGTGTAACAGCCGAATTGTTCGAAGTACCTGTGGGGCGACGTGGGCTGGCCCAAGGAGCACGTAGCTTCCACAGCACTGTCAACTTAGGGCTGAATGGGGTGGGAAAAGCAACTTTTGTCCAAATTTTGAGCGACGGGCTAATCTTCTAGAGGGAGAATGGCTGTGTCCGGGTACACAAACGAGGGTCCGAGAAAGAGGGGAGCCCCTCCTTTCCGTCCTCTTGGACTGTTTGGTACAATGTGCGATTTGTGAGTTGAGAAGGAAAGCTAAGGAAAATGTTGAAATTCCAAAGAGCGGCGCTGCTCCGATGGAACCTGCTACGTCTTGACTACGTAGCAAGTTCCCCAATGTTGCTAGATTACCTCCCAAATAGGCTCCACATGCATCCACCAGGTGCACATTGAAAGATGATTTAATTAGCTTTAAAATTAGTTTTCTTGTGAATTTCAACAAAAGACTGGTACTTTTGAGGTTAAAATGCAACATGTAACAGATTAAAGCTAAACAATGAGCACTGGAATTTTGTTTCCGTACTCCTTTAACATGTCCATTGTCGTTTACAAGGTCTTTAGGTTCTGCACCACCTTAATGGATCAATGGCAAGTACAGGACAGTTCCTCGGTTGCCGTTCAACGCAGCGAGCCAGGATTCAAATTTTTTAGAACTCCCAATGTACAGTATTGCGTCTCAATGCCCTCCCAACATCATATGAGAGTCTTGCTGTGTTTGACCTAGGTCACAACGGTCTTTCTTAGGCCGACTCGTTCCAAAGTTCCGGCGTTCTTTTCTAAAAAAAATCTGGACGGCATTCTTCTAAGGCTTTTGTTCCCGTCTGTGCCACAAAATTGGCGATTCTTGTCCTTGTACCTATTTTACTGTCCGAATTTATAGATTCGCTTCAGTGTTGTTTGGCTTTCCTCCCCTGTACATTTTTGAGCCCACAGATGATGTTCTTATCATCCGCGTTTTCACAGATAGGCTTGTACCTTCTGCACAACTGGAAACTTTAGTGCACTCCCACACTTCACGCATGCTTGAAGTCTTCCTAGAATTGACTCACTTAGGGGGTTTTCGATGACGCTCAACAAGTTTCTCATTATACTTCGTTATACTTGGCGAACTGTGAAGGCTAAAGACCCCATGGCCCAATAAGAGCGCTGGAGCGAGGCACGTGACAACACGTCACCCGGAGAAAGCGGCTGTCGTCTGCTTGCCAAGAGTCGTCTGCTGCGAAACCAACCAACCTCGGATAAACTTCCACTGCGGCAACATTAACGTCCGCTAGAGTAGCAAGCTCGTCGGGAAGAGTTCACAAGGCAACCATTTCGTCTTTCTTCTGTGTTGTGCAGCGTAGTGCAGTGTAGATGGAGATGGCATAGCGCGAATTCGATGGCCAGTAAAAGAAAAGAAGTCTCACTACTTTTTGTCGTGGACGGCGCTGTTGCTGTGGCGATACTATGGTATGTTTAATGTTTAAGTGCCGAGCGTGTTGGTACATACTTGTAAATATATCAGCTTGAACTTTAGAAAAATACTTAAACAGGAAGAAAGAAACGACATAAGAGGGCAAACAGCTGACTGCCAACGATGTTTTAGTGTAAACTTCTTCCTTGCGAGTTCGCTTGTTCATTCAGAGCACGATAAAATTATTACAAAAATAAACCTATTGCACTTGTAAAGATTACTACTGATAATTACACTTATACAAAATTATACAGAAACCTTTACACAGAAATACCTCAAAGTTATTGTCTTTTCAACTAACCCGCTACAAGCTCGTGTTGTCGTAGTTTGGGACGCGACATTTGCCTCAAGCATCTTGCGTGCATAAGGACTGTTGTTACTGGCAAGGAAGGTGGTGGCGTTAAAAGCTGCACTACACTGGCATGTCCTGCAATGAGCTGCCAGATGTCCTGCCGCTGTTCCCTGATGCCCGTGTCCCACTAGAGCGACAGGCAGAAACAAACGACGGCGGCAAACCTCAAACCAGAGCCTTTCGCGATTTGAGAGGCTTTGTAGGACAAAGGAGGCTACGCTCAAACACGAGCATCACGCACGCGAGGGTGTCTTTGGCAGGCTTGCAATCGCTCGTGGTTTCTTCACGAGCACCGAACGACTATACGCCTGCCAAAGGTACCATCGCGAGCATGCTGCATGGGTTTGAGGCTTGTCACTGTCTTTTGCTCCTGTCTGTCGCTCTAGTGGGACACGGGCATGAAGAGACGTTGCATGTTCGCGTGCTCTGCCATTCATATATTGTGTTTAAGTATTTTTCTTCTTGTTGAAGTATTTTTTCTAAAGTTGAAGCCGATATATTTACAATTACACGTCCCTTGCTCCGTTGCCCTTATTGAATTGCGGGGCCGCAGCCCCCGTAGTTCGCCAAGTTAATGTGAAACCGAGAATGGAACCATACATTTATTCTCAGTAATTAAAAAGTTAATTAGTCAATTTTAGCTAATTATCTTACTAATTAGTATGTCTTATGAAAATCCTGACATCTACCACGACTGGCAGTTTGTTTCCGAAAAGTTTCTTTTCTTCTCAACCACCCTAGTGGTAGGAATGCTTCCCTGAAACACCCAGTTCACAGAAGCCCAGACACGCCTCCGCTTAGCACGTCAACTGGTGACTCAACTGCCTTACTATTTCACAGTGGCTTCCGTGCAACAAAAAGTGTTGCCAAGCTTACTTTTTTGGCAGAGGTTCTCATGGTTTCGTGGGGCTCTTTCCCTTATCCCAGTCTCCCACAGGCTCGTCGTGGAAACACCGAACACCGCCAAGTCAGCCGCCGACCAGCGTGTTTTTTTCGCTTTCTATTACGACGCACAACAGATGCGCCGTTAAGATCGGAAAGAAACTGAGACAGTTTGGACAGAGCGCTTGAAAAAGCAAAATAGCTGCTTTTTTCCAGCCGAAATTCCGAACGCGGAAGTTAATACCCATGCGCAGCATTTTCAATGTCAGTAATTACATCTTCTTGCTCTGTCAGGTGGTGCTGTAGCGAGGCGCCATAGAGTTTGGAACAGAAAATTGAACTGCAATCCAAAACGAGAAATAAATTATTGGCGACAGCTCGCAAAGTTTTTACGCCCAATTGCCACGCAATATTTCGGGCAAATCCACTTCTAATAAGCTACCGGGACAAATCGAGATGTACAGGTTTGTTCCAGAAGACCACCCTCCCTTCCGAGACAATGGGACCGTTTCTGGGACATTCTAGGACGCCACAACCCGACAAACACAACGATGAGCGTCGTTCTCAGTTTCGAACGGGCAACACTGGTGACACACTGGCATCTTGCTCTCGGACAAATCAAGCGTGCTTCGGATCCTCGGTCACGACGCTTGGCGCGTGCCTCCTATCGGCGCGTTTGCTGTGGTCCCTCCGTTTTACCCCCATGACGTCGCAAAAGCTTCGGCAGCCGGGTGTTGGGATGCCGCAAGGACAGTAACGCTCGCGGTCTCTCGCGCCTTTTCCCAGAACTTCTACGCCCAATTGCAGGGTCATACACGAGGGTTGCTGTTGTATCCTCGGGTATGACAGCAATCCCCACAGTTGGAATTGCGTTGGGTGTCACAATCCCAACCGCCGAGGTTGCGACACCCGACGGGACGACACTGAAGCTTTTATGGCGTCGTTTGTTGCCACTTCAAAACCGCTTTCGACGCACGGGCGGAATGGGACGTCAACCGCACCGGCCGGAGACACGTTTCAGGCACCGTACCTCGGGCCCATCTTGCAGACGAACCGGCAAACCGCGGCGCCACCTAGGTCGGCGCTCGCCCGACCCGAACCGTCGCGTCGTACGAGAACGAGCTCCACTCCGTCTTCCCGCACGCCGGCAACCCGACGCCGCAGCGGTCGCCCTCGGCCGCATCTCTGCTGCGGATGGAGCAGGCGCCCTGGAAGGTCCAAAACTCGGCAATCAGGGCGTCGACCCACCGCTCCAGCTCCCGGCCCGTGCGCCTCCCGTCGGCGTCTGCCTGCGCCTTCAGGGCGGCCCGCGTCTCTCTCGAGTAGCCAAGATGCTCCTCGACGCGCGACAGGTCGTGATCGATGTACGGTCCGCGCGGGCCGCCGTTCACCTCCGCCGCGGCCTCGGCGCCTCCCGCCGCCGGAACGACCGGCAGCACCAGGAACCGCGTCTGCCCGACCAGGCGCCACTCGTAGAACACAAGCAACGTCCAAGCGCCGGGACGGAGCGGCTTGCGGAACTCCGGCCGGTGGAACAGCGTTTGCGGGCCAGACTCGACGCGGACCTCGTACGAGCCGGCGACGACCTTGGCCGGGTCCACCCAGACGAAGGTCACGGCGAGGGCCCGGCCGGCACCCCAGGAGTGGAGGGCCCCCGGCTCCGAGCGCGGTCCGAGGAGGCGGGGGAAGTCCCGGAGCATCTGCTCCTTGGGGTCGTACTGCGAGCCCACCTGGAGCAGGCGGAGCCGGACGGACGCCGGGAGGTCCGCGTCGCCATTTCGCCGGTGGTTGCGAGGCGAGAGGAAGGCTTCCGTCGTGGCGGAGGGACTTCCCCACGACACGAGCAGGCCCTAGAGTATGCAAGGAAAAGTGGCGATGCAAGTTTTGCTCCGAAAAATGACGAGCCAACACACAAACAAACATCACTGAACTAGTAACCAAAATGTTAGATTAAAAAAAGTTTTGTTCTTTGCAAAGGTATTTAATTAACAAATCAGGCCTTAACCTTTTCTTTTTTTTAAACTGACTGTTATTATTGGCAGCAATGATAAAATGATGGCAGGGTTTCACTCTTCGGGCAGTGGAATCTGTTCCCAACTGGTTACAAGACGTCTGAAGGTGTCAAACGAATGCTTTGGAAGCTTGCTCCGGCACCTGTGAAGCAGCACAAGACAAAAGTGCAGCAGTGACGTCACGGCACTGAAAATCACGGGTGTATTTGAACGTTGCTTTTGGCATCACCTTCGCTTGCCAATTTCAAAGTAAATATTCCGAATTTCGCGGTGCTAATTAGCAGACCGGAAACAGTTAAAGGCTTGTGACTCAATAAATATAGTTTGTTGGGGTAGCTCTATAAAATGAAGAAGGAGGAGGGGGGGGTATGGAGGAAAGACTATGCCCCTTCTCCTCCTCTAACGAAGAGAACATAGCAGTGTTCATTGCATGTATGTTTTTACTAAGGAAGAGAACATACCGTAGGCTCGCGATAATTCAAACTCGGATATTTCATACTTCCGTCTAATTCAAACAGATCTGAAAATTTTGGTTGTCCCGCTATGTTTTTAATGTATTTATAAGCCCCTTAATTCGAACGGCGTTTTCGCTTAATTCATACTTTTTTGTTCTCGCGGCCCCATTGAGTGCGCTTCTTTCCGAGCACCGGTGCACCGCAGAGAAGCAATACCCGCAAAGCTTGTTTTCGCGAGAGTTGCTTCTCCGCAGTGCACCGTTGCTCGGAAAGAAGCGCACTCAACGGGGCTCAAGCAGGGACACATTAGCAGAAAACGGCATTCACATTATGTGCTTCAAGACTAACAATGATGACCAAGACGACATCGAGGATGAGGAACAGCTCACTGGCATCATGCTTTCTGGCCTTGAAGCACATAATGTAAACGCCGAGCTGGCAGAATATGCTAGTCTTGGCGACGATGTGTGTGTTTGTCGTGATGACTCATTAGAGGACATAAGGAAGTAATGCCAGCACAGTGCAGCAGTGAGAGTGAAGATGATGATGAAGAAAGGGATGACCCACTACCAACTATCACAGCCGCAGAGGCCTTTGAGCACATCGCTCAGCTCCGGAATTTTCTGTCTGCAAAGGAAGAGTCCCGTAAAGAGCTACTTGCGTTGGCTGATATTGATATTTTTGTTTTGAGATCTAATGTACTGACTAAACAGTCCACAATCGACAATGTTTTGCCGGATGAATAAACTTAACGTCACACTTCTTTCACCAATGTGTTATGCCTGTACTTGCTTATAATTAGCCCTATGTAGAGGAAACTGGCAAAAATCTGCTTTGTATGTGTAGCTATCTATGTAACAAATCATAATACAGTCCAACCTCGGTATTACAAACACTGATATACCGAATTATCGGATATAGCGAAGTAAATATAAATTTTGGTTGGTTATGCTTTATTTCAATGGAAGTTCGACCTTTAAAACGAAACCGAAACCACGGAATCCTACGCGGTATCGGTTATAGCGAAATTATTTTTGGCCGCGCACGGCTCGAAATATGTGCAATACCAAAACAAAAAGAAATAAAATCTATAAATTACCATGTAAAAAGGCAATGTACCTAAATTCAGTGCCGATTTTCAAGATACCGAACGTTGCAAACGCTCGAACGAGCACTTTGGGAGGTGACTGGCGCCATCTATGAAGCGGGTGCATAAACCCTAAAAGATGGCGCACCAGCGGCGCCACCTATAAGCGTCATCAAACACTAAAATTTAGAGTGTCAAAGCGACAGCGACGGCAGTCAGTCAATCTGGGAGCAGAAAATGGCGACGTTGAAGCGCAAAGCTCTGTCTCTCGAGACGAAAGTTAAAATTTTAAGAGCAGTAGACAGCGGCCGCAAGAAGAAAGATGTTGCGGAGGACTTCAAGATCCCACCCAGCACATTGTCTACTCTCTTAAGTTCGAGGAAGAAGATTGAAGAGACCTACGCCAACAGCACTCTGAAAGGCGACAGAAGCGTGACAGGCCTTCTCATTACCCCGATGTGGAAGAGGCTTTGTTCTTCTGCTTCAAGGACGTGAGAGCGCGAAACCTGCCGGTGTCTGGTGCTCTTCTGCAAACGAAAGCCGTCAGTTTAGCGTGCCTCTTGGGGCATCATGACTTCAGGGCAAGTAGCGGTTGGCTTCAGCGCTTTAAGAACCGGCACGAGATCGTCTGCCACACCCTGTGGCAGACGATTTTTCTGAGTACTTTTATAACGAATATTGGATATAACGAACGAATTTGCGTGCCCGATGCTACTTCGTTATAACGAGGTTGGACTGTATTGTCGAGTATCATATTTAGATGAATTTCTGATAATTCAAACTAAAATCTGTGACTTCCTGGAGTTTGAATGAGAGTCTACTGTAGCAGTGTAAGATACATGCTTTCACGAAAGTTTGTGCTGTATGCCGATCAGCGGTGTTCATCACACGTATGCAAGCAACGGACTTAGCCATAGTAAAACATTCTTTCCTCAGCATTTCTCGCATAAAACAATGAAACTAATTTGAGTTTAATGTATCTCTTGCACAGCCACGCTGGATACGTACAGAAAAATTGGCGTTTTTATTTTTGAAACTTTTTGCGCTAACCTATTAAGCCATGGCCCACTCTACTTTTTTATGAATTTCAGGTGGCAGGGGGATGCAATAAGTCAAGATATTACGGTGTTTTCTTTGTTCTTTTTCGCCTGGTAGATGATGATTTGTCATGAACAAACAAGCAGTCGCAGAGATAGCACTCCGGATTGTGAACATGGCATCTACACGGGACAAGCACAGCACGATCGCCCCTAACCCAAACCATTCAAAGAAAGCACAACCACACAATCAGAGGCTGTTTAAGTGGCTGTTCCAGCATAGCTCTTACAATAACTGTCACTCCCCCCTCCCTCTCTCCCCCTCCCTCTCTCCCCCCCCCCCCCCCCCCTCCTCCTCCTTCTCCCCCCAACCTTGAGATTCAGCACAGTGCTGCACGGCACGCAGCCACTAGTTTTGCGCGCCGATTGCCGCAGTGTATTTTGCGCGTTCTGTGCGATATGCGAGTTCCGATACGCGCTAGCACAAATAAAAAAAAGTCATTGTAAAAAGAGCGCACAGAATGGCGCAATGCTACAACAGCCAGCTGAAACGGTAGCTGTTCCGGCTCTGCAGGCGACGGAATGCTCCGATTGTAAGTCGATCCACCAACTCAAATTTTCAAGAATTGAGAAATGGGTCGATCCACAATCGCGTAAATATCGTAGCAGGGGCCGCCGCCGCACAGAATGATTCCTCGGGGGCTCGGAGACCTCACCTGAAACTGGTCCCCGTAGAAATAGAGGCTGACCCCCCGGACGTGAAGCCCGCCTTCCGGGGGTTGAGAGCATGTGAACTCTGCCCGCGAGAGCGCCAGCCGCGTCAGGCTCTGGTACGCAGTCAGCTGGTAATCCTCCACCGTGGCGTCGTCGTCGAGCGGCTCGTACTGGCTCTGCCAGTAGCCCGTGTCGGCCACTACCGGAGCCGCCGTCGAAGCCTCGGAGGCCGGGTCCGAGATCCAGCGCTCCAGCTGGTCCACTATCCGCCGGCTTACCACCGGCTCGAACTTGCGGGCGAAGAAGACCGGCCGGTCTCTCGTGGCCTGCACGGGAGGCCGTGAAACGCTTAATGGGCAACCCTGGTGCATTTTCTGGATCTTAGGGTTACGACTTTTTATAGCGAAATAAGTGTCCCCAAATTATGAAGTGTAGTTTTTTTATGCTTTGTGTAGTTTTGTAGATATCTTATCTCAAAGTTCTGTTTCGGAGATATATGAAAAAACCGAAACTACCGGCTCAAGCATAATGGCAACCCTCGTGATCAGCTGCGCAGCCATCGTGTGACGCGAAGTTCGTACTGTGGAACCGCAAAACGTACGGCTGGACTAGTCGCAAGAACAGTTCCGATCAGTCAAGTAAAAAAAAGATGCTAGGGCTGTTTTAGTGCTTTTCTTGGTTGATGTCAAACATCTGTAGCAAATATTAATACACATTCATAAAGCCGCCGACAGAAAAGCCCAGTTGCCACAACGAACGCAGGCTCAGAGCAGTCTCAGATCGAGCCTCCGCTAAGCTTCTGAAAAGAACTACGATCTTGGTGGTGTGCAATTCACGTTGCAGAGGCATTGTGGAAGCTAATCTTAAGCTCGCGTTAGGCAGGAACAGACTAAACCATGGCCGCAAGTGAATGCCACCTTCGACACCGCGACGCGTTTGAGCGAGGAGGGAGTCAATAGCCTTCGTGCGCCCTCGTTGAGAAGCACTTACAAACCATGGCTGCTAAAATGCAAGATAACCAGCAGAAATTGTCTCCGAGACGGCCGAAAACGCAGCAGACAGAAAAACACGGCGAAAGAAGTGGCAGTACGAACGAGTAACCTCCTCAAGTACGAACGTGACGTTGGGGCACAAGGTTGCTCGACAAACTGCCCGCCCGGTGAATGCCTGCGGAGGAGCCTGTAGTAGCGTTTTTGACGTCAGTTTTAGAGTGGATCACAGTTTGCCATTAATGTAATATTTTGGCAGTTCGACTTTTGACTGGTTTATGTACTTGTACTCAATTGCAACCAAGCGCGTCGCGCAGCCATATGAAGCCTTGTAGTCGCTTAAAACATGAGAAACCACACACCCCATCTATGAGGTAGCCTCGGAACTGTATTTAACTAGAATAAAGATATTGGCAGTATTTGTGAGATCAAATATATGTGCTTGTCTATGAGAAGTGGTCGTCTACAACGTTGTCAAAAGCGTTTTCAAGACCATGATGAAAGAATGATGCACAAAAAAACAAAGAATACACGAAAATCCCCTCGTCGTAAGAGATTGTGAGAGGTTTCGAGGTGCTCGGTCGTGCGCAGTTGCAAGTGGGTGAACGAACTTTAACCCCTTTCACAGTAGTCTTTTCTTAAATAAATGCAACCCAATGGTCTCTTGTTTATTTTTACGCGGAAAGGACAGCAATACGGGTAATACAGTAAAACTTGGTTAATTCAACCCCCGCTAATTCGGAAATTCGGATAATTTGAACTGCCGATCTGGTCCCGTCAAACGTACGTATTAGTCAATGGCAGCAAACGCTTATTAATTCGGAAGTAACGGGGCGAGTACGGTTAATTCGGACAAATTCGGCAGGTGGCACTAGCTGCCGTCTGTTCCAAAGGGTATGACCACTATCCATCCAAGGTGATCGCGTGGTTTTTCCGGTTTTCCCATGGCTCTTCGCTCTTCTGGTTCTCCGTGTTTTGCACCAGTTTTGCTCTGTATTGCTGTGCTTGAGCGCGTTACTTTCCTGGCATGGAAGCGGCAGAAGCATAGCTGCGACGGAAAGAGGGTAGCACAAGTGACCGACGACCAGAATGGCAAAATCTCGACACGCGGGGCTATTGCTCCCGAGCGTGCCGATAGCGAGAGTGACAGTCACGTTTTATGCCTCAACGCGGGGATCCTAAACCCCCCCTATTTAAACAGCTATCTTATCCCTCAATTTTTCGCCAGCCACCCCCGCGGTGAAAAATGGAACGTGACACGCACTCTCGCTATCGGCGCGCTCGGGAAAAATAGCGCCGGGTGTCGCGATTTCGCCGCTCCGATTATTGGTAAGTTGTGGCACTCGTTTTCCGTTGCCGCTGTACTACGCTAAGAATTTAGCGACGAAAGTGGAAACACTGAGGGTCTTGAAGGACGGCGTCTCTCGACAAGTGACGGAAAGTTACTACGTCAAGAGAAGCAGTTTGGCCACGTACGTGAAAATTGAGGCTGATATCGAGAGCGAGAAGTTCAACGCGAAAAGAAAGCGGCCTTGGAAGGTGGTGCACCCGAAACTAGAAGAGGCCTTGCTGTGCTATATTGTCCGCGCACGGGATGCGTAGCTTTGACAGTGCGAGTGCGGTGGAGCACTCGACCGCGCTAAGGAAAGTTGCCGTCTCCGCCCAAGTATCGTCCAGAAAACAGGCGGTAATAACAGATTTCTTCTCAAAATAAAGGTATGTCACAGGGAAACGTTTTCACGCTGTTTTCTTTGTCCTTTCGATATTTCGACTTTCGGATAATTCGGACATTTTTGCCGGACTCATGAGATCCGAATTAAGGAGGTTTTACTGTACCCCAGTCAAACGGGCACCTAAAAGGACCTTTAAGCCAAAGGACCTTTAGTGTAAATGTCATTTAGACAGTGCCACGCGGCAACTCAAATGGCATTTAGCGTAAAGATCCTTTTCGTGAACTTGAGTTCCGGCAACTCCTTTACGGCTGCTAAAGGCCTACTCTTGTCAGTAGCGGTCCACACTAGAGAAGCGAATTGAGATAAACGATTGTACCGCAATCTAAAATCAATGTGTTTGCATTTTTATTATTGAAAAAGAGTGTGTTTCACCTATATTCTTGTACAGACCTCGCTCTACTAATAATTTTTTGTACTCACGACCCCAGCTATCTATAGGCCTCGTCGTCGCTTGCTTGTGTCGTCCGCTTGGGCAATTCGGTTTTCCTCCTCTCAGTTTTCCTTACAACTATACTTATCTAGCTTTCATTTCTCTACTTATATTTTATCATCCTTTAATAGTGTATTATTTGTATTACATCCATACTGTATATATTTAATGTTTTTTTGTACATAAATATTTCTGTATTTCACTCTCGCGTCGTGCGATACGTCGAACGACAAAGGAGCGTCCGCGAGTAGGAAGGGGTTGCCACGCTTCTATTGGAGCGCTGAGGCGGCCTAGGCACTGATACAACTTTGGAAGGATCGTCTGGAGGACCTCCAATGCGTGCGATGAACCTCAAGCGCGAGCACGACGCCGAACCGAACAGGGCAAAAGCGTAGCAGAAGCACAGTAAGGAGCGGGAGCACTGAGCAACTTCAGGACTGCAGTGGCTACTGTACAGTGGCTTAAGGGGGAACACTGGTCTTGGAGCTTATTTTCTTATTTTATGACCAAACTCAATGAAACTGCACAAGCTTGTTCAGCTTTTTGGGCTGATTTCATATATCTAGTAATTTCTTCATTCAGTAGAATTGTCCTGAAGATAATTAAAACTTGCCTGCCTTTGTTTGGAGGAATGATAGGGAAAAAACTGCTCAACAAAATATCCTTCTTAACACATGGCCAGATACTACGAAGTGCAAAGAATACAATGTTGGAAGTACTTTTAAGATAAACCCGTTATTAGTGATTTTACAACATATTGAAGTTCAGAGCTCAATACATGGCTAACAAGTAATAAAACAAAAGATCAAATGAAAAATTTTCTAGACTTTTATTAAAAAATCTGCTCTCAACATTGTATGCTTCACAGATTTAGCAACACATTTCAAGAAAGGTTATATTTCTGACTGCTGTAGATGCTGAGATATCCCTCCTGCAAATTTTCAATGAGTCCAAAAATTGTGTTATCTGAAAACAATGTTTTAGAGTCAACTTTAATGCACATTCAGCCCGCATAGACATTATAAATTGATTTATAGCTCGAATATTCATCCACGAAATTAGAAGCTTGGTAGATTCAGAAGAACAACAGCCATCGCCGTTTTCAAAAGAATGCAGTTTTAGGAAGTTTTTGGCTCCAAAGACCCATGTCCCCCCTTAAAGGGGGTAGTGTAACAAACGAAACCGGACAAGCGGCACAGCGTTGGAAAACGGCCGCGGGTGGCGCTGGCGCTTGCAGCACCGTCGTTCCGGCTATGGCTCCGGCTTGACCGCTTGGCCAGCTTGGCTCCGACCAGCTGCGGCCGATTCGCAGCTGTCGACTACACTGTCGTCTGCTAGTTTCAAATTTTTACTCACCTACGAACATAAACCATGTCCTTGGAAGTTCACTGGAAACAAATAATTGTTTTAGAGGTATTTAAAATAGTTATGAAGCGTGTTAGGGTGCCTCTATCTGCCGGCCGATGGAGGCACGCTGACGGAGCTGCGGATCGAAGTGCCACCTACACCGTCTTCCAAGGAGCGGCCGTCCCCGATGCATGGTGGAGGCTATGCGGTAACTACACTACCCCCTATAAGCCACTGTAGCTACTGTATTAGGAGTGAAGCGGGAGACGCCCAGGGCTGCTGCTAATCGCCAAACACCACTTTGCTTGGCCTTGAAGTGGACTTTGTTGTAATCACTTGACTGAACTCGTCATTTTGTCTTTGTTAATATGCCGTTTGCTTAAGAAAAACTTTAAAAAATTATTTATACCGCCAAAATAAATTTTTTCTGGAGTGAACATGATTTATGCGTTTGAATCGAGCTACGAGACTTCAATCGCTGTAAACATCGTCCAAATGACATTTACTTGCACTGTCTGACACAACAAAACATAAAAGTAATTTGAAAATCCTAAAGGCCTTTGGCGTAAAGGTCCTTTTAGGTGCTCGTTTCACAGAGGTATACATCAATGAAGAGTGCTTGAAAGCTCTCCAGATTGTGGAAGCATCAAAGTCAAACATTAAAAGCAAAAAGCTGTCAGCTTCCTCCCATTTGGTTTCATATTCGTATGTCTGCTTCCAAGGAGCGTTCGGGCAGTTTCAGGCTCTGAACCGGAGGAAAGCGAGAGCAAACGACGCGCAAGTCGGCCTCCTCCTGCGTCTTGCTAGAGCAGAGCATCAGATTTCGAAACCATGAATAGCCCCGACAAATGGAAACATGGTGAGCATAAAACTAACACAGTTTTCCGGAGAAGTGACAAACGGGAACAACTCCCACGGCAAGCGCGGTCTCGTGTTTGGACGGGCACTTTTGAGGACACGATCACCACCGTGCACGCGCGGCGACGACCATTGAAGGATTGAGGAGCAAGGAATCGATGCCAGCAGGCGCCTTGTGCGCGGGGCGGGGCAGAGGTGGGGCGTACCCTTATGCGGTGCCAGTCGTCCGGGCGGAAGACGTTGGGCGAGCAGCCGCACCAGTCCACGACGTGGCGGTGCTGGCACTGGCAGCCCTGCCTGCGCTTCCAGTTCACCAGGCGCAGGTTGTTGTCCACCACCGAGGAGCAGAAGGCACTGTTCTGCAGGGCCGTGTGGAAGAACGACTGCAACGACGCGGCAACCCTCAGCAAACCTTGTTCGAAGGCACGTTCCAGGCACCGCCCCCACCCACCTCCGCGGGCAGCAGCGTGTGCCCGAAGAGGCTCCTGAGCCCCGCGAGGAGCGCGTCCTGGCGTTCGGGGAGCGCCACGTAGCTGCAGAAGTCCCGGTGCAGGGCCACCCAGTCGCTGCCCCCGTCCAGTCTCAGGCCCCAGGGCAGCTGCCGGGGCCCCAGGCGCCACATGCGGCCCCCGCACTCGTGGAATGTGCGCTCCAGGGCCTGCTTGCTGATGAACCTGAGGGAAGGCTCTGGCTCCTTCATTCACTCAAACACACACACAGACTTACAGACATACACATACAGTAAACTTTCATTAGTTCGACCTCGGTTAATTCAACTTTTTGTTTAATTCGATCGTGTTTGAAGTCCCAGCGAGCGCCCATAAATTTCTATGGGAGGTAAAGTTCAACAGTTCGAACTCGGGAAGACTTTGCATTGGATAATTCGTCCCAAGCGAATGCGCGCGGGCTCACATTGCACGGCACCACGGTGGAAAAACCACCAAGGTATGGCGAAACACGGGCCCTTTGCTGCAAAGTCGAACGTGCGCAAATATTCACCAGCTCCGCTACGCCGTTGAGATGGACCGTAGCGAATGACACGAGCCAGCGCAACCAATCTGGCGTGAAGTAGCGCGAAGAACACAGCACGTGGTCGGGCGCGGAGACAGCACGCGCTCTCAAAGAGCTTTTCTGTAGCATCGTATGCGGTCCATCTTGCGCCTCGAAAAGCGCAAGTTCTCTTTTCCTTTTTTTTTTTTTTTTTTTTTTTTTTTTTTTTTTTTTTTTTTTTTGTTATTTTTCTTTGTTGTTGCAGTCTGGCAGCCCGGCGCCAAAGCCGGCTCGTAAAACTTACTTTGTGTTTTTTTTTTTTTTTTTCTTTTTGCAGTGCATGATTTTTTGGGGATGTGACGTTCAATTACGCTGCTCTCCGGAGCATGCTTTTGAACATGCGTATTAAGCGCAGACGGCAGCAGACCATCTGTGAGTACTTTGGACGATAAAAGAAAGCTTAATTGTAACTGTTTTTCCGCACTGATGCACAAGCACACAGTCAACCCACTCACACCCATAAACACACATACTCACACTCTTACACAGTCACTCACTCACACACTCACGTGCTCATAGTCCCTGACACTCACTCACACATTCAAATACATGTAGTCACTAACTCATGCCCATAAACACACATACACTGATACACACACAGTCACTCACTTGCACCCTTAAGCACACATACTTATGCTCATACAGTCACTCACTCACACACTCCCATACATAGTCAGTCACCCATGCACATAGTCACTCACATTAAAATACATGCAGTCACTTGCTCATGCCCATTAAGACACACAACAATCACTCACACCCGTAAAAACAAACTTACGCTCTCTGGGGATTTGGACATGTAAATACAGTTGAACCTCGATGTAACGAAGTCGGTAAAATTTGCAATTTACTTCGTTACATTGAAATTTCGCTAAATCGAAATTTGGCTTTAGCATGCGAAAAAAAATTCCGAAACATTTTACGGGTATGAAAACTCACCGAAAATGACATTTATTTAGGGGCAAAGTAGTCCGCGAGTTTTGCTTGCGCCTTGTCCGACAGCAGCAGCGGCGTCATACGGCGTTCGAGCGCCCAGAGCGCTTGCACGGCATCCTGCTGCCCATGCGACGCCGTGTACCTCCTCAGTACGTCCGTTGCGTCGAGCACTTCCCGAGTGCTCGTGATCTCGGCAGTTTCTTCAGGATGGCGTCCAAAACGTTTGCTTTCTCATCCAAAGAAAGAACTTTACGTTTCCTTATGGCAGCAAGCACGTAAGTGAACCGCCCGGTTAAAAAATAAAGCTGTTTAGTTTAGGCAGTTTAGGCGGTGCCAATGTTTCCAACCTACACAGCACTCTTGACCGCACAGTTTACTTGCCCCCTTGCGCCCACAGTGTGCTTGCGCCTTTGCTTTACATCACGCTCGCAAGACGATAATCGGTCTTTTCGGTCTTCTCCTAGATGGCACTGCCCGTGCGGTCGCGCGGTCGCGCCATCACGTCGCTCCCCCGCTGAAGTTGGCTCCCGCGCTACCCGCGGTACAGTGGAGTGGACTATAATGATCAGTGAATGTCAGTGGTGATGCTGTTATGCCATGTTAACTTTATGCTCAGCATTTTCTGGCCAGCCTCGCGGAATCCGCTTTGCCGCATGCCTCGCCGGCGCCACTGGCGCCGCATCCTCGGGCAGCCTAGGAACGTTGGAAGGCCTGTCCCCGTGAAGTAACCTATCAAGCGCTCGCGTTTGCGCATAATTTTTTTTTTTTTAACCACAATGTTTTTGCGAAGTTGTTTTTTAGAGTTGATTTATTTATTTCCTTCTATGCCAATGGCACTTCGTTATATTGAAATAGCAGCAAAATAGACTCCGTTATATAGGGACTAAAAATACATGGGGTCTATGGGCAAGAAATTATGAAAAATAAAATACTTCGTTAAATCGAGGATTTCGTTACATTGAAGTTCGTTATATCGAGGTTCGACTGTAACTTGGTCACGCAAGGTGCGATTGTGGTGCAAGGCACGGGACATGAAGCGCATGGAAAAGAGCAGGACAGTTCAGCCATGGCGGCGTAAGCGGCTGAACATCTGGCTCATGCTCATCCACCACGGACATGCACATACAGGTAGGTAGTACCACCAAGCAGATGTTTGTTTTTATTTTTTATGGCATGAATGTTTGCATTCTTACCAAACATAAATGATAGATGTTTTTTTAACAACGTGTGCAGTGTCTTTTGGGAGCAACCACCTCAATTCAAAAGGGTTTCGGTGAGACAAAACACCAACACCGAAGCAAGCATGACCGGGCGGCAAATGCTTGGACATCTGTTTCAACGGCAGATCGGTGCTTCGACGGTTACCGCGAATCGCACACGCAGAAATAGTTAGCGCCGACTTGTTTGTGGGTGAGCGATAAAAAAAATAGTAAATAATGTTGCACCGCAAACTACGAACTGGTCCAGTTTTAGATTTATAGGGCAACATTAGGGCGTCTCCTGCGGAGATGGTTGGCTTCACCACACGGCAGGCTTTCTGAATGCCTAGCTGGCTCTGAATGCCTAGCTAGACATTCAGTCTTTTGGCTCAGCTAGGATGAATGCCTAGCTGAACCAAAAGTGCCATGCATCAGTCAAACAACCAACGGTAAAGCCTAATTCTGACACTTCTTTGACAATTTAGGGCCGAAATACCCAGGCAGATGCCAAAGAATATCAAGTTTGGTTATACCTTGGCTTTTTTTGGGATTTCAGGGCCATAAATTGCCAGACCAAACCCAACTGTGGCCCAAACAACTGCGCTACTGAGTCAAGCTCACCTCTGGGTGTCCTGGCCGTGGGACTTGACGAAGTTAGACCCCATGTTCGCCGCCAGGAACTCTTCCAGGCGCTCCCTCGGCCTGCCAAAAAGCCACAGTGGGAATCGGCAAACGTTCACAGAGGACCCGAGAGAAACTGTGGACAGCACACTTTGAAACGGGCGGTAGCCGACATCACTTGGCCAGTAACTTCCCCTCTATTTCTGCCCCAACTGCTGGCTATGTGAGCCCACGTCTGTGCCTGGTCATGTTTGAGGGCCCATCATACATTGGTTGAATTAAAAACACAATGCAGAGAGACCCAAACTTATAGAATGAGAAGACAGGGCAAGGTGTGGCACTTATTTCAATATCAGTTAACAACTAGCCCACCAGTTCACTTTGATTCCCACATCAGGATAATGATTCAGGATGACCAAAATGGCACCGCACTGCTATTTGCTTATTTGGTTGCACAGACCAGTTAGTTGACTGAGCGCATATATTTTTTAAGGTTTAGCGTGTGCAATCACCTTGAAGCAAGAGGTAAAGATAAAATTCATTCGTTTTCTATAAATATTGTAAAACCCTTCGTTTTTGCGGCCCTGATTTTTCGCGAACTGGGCAGCGGGATCACATTCGTGATTATTAAATTTCGCTAATTTTAAAGACTGGAATTAGCCTCTACTTTTTTAGAGCGCAGCCCTCAGGCGCCCGTGGGGTGACCTTGGCGTAACCAAGGTCACCCCAAGGTCACGTGACCCCTCCCAAGGTCACCTCAAGGTCACATGACGCCCCAAGGTGACCCCCACGTGACCCCCCCCCCGAAGTCACTTGACAACCCCCAGAGGTCAGGTGACCCCCCCGGAGCATATTAAAGAATGAGGGGAGGAGGAGGAGGAGGAGGGGTCTACCCTTCCCTCAGTACCCTTCCCTCCTCCTGCTCAAGAGCTGCGCTCCAATTCGGCGTTACAGGGAGTTATAAACGGCTTTCACTTTTTTTAAATTAAATTTTAAAAGTCACAAAATTCGGAAAAAAGGGGCTCGCTAACATTAAGGGTTTTACAACAAGTCTCACTTTTGTCTGAAAAAAAAATATGGCTTGGGGGTGTTGCTTTTTTCAAAGTCTTACTTAGCTTATGTCAAAATAAGGAAAACATTGGCAGAAAACATTGTTTTTTAACAGAAATACATGAAGCCAGCCGTTCCAATTAAACAAAAACTGTTGGAAGCAAGGCCATTGGAATTTCACGGATTACATGCCTGCGATTGCTTACAACTGAGTGAGTTAAAACCCCTCGCTATCTCTTATAATGACAAAAGACACTTGTGCCATCTATCGAGCAACTGTGGAACACTTGGTATTTTCGTATATTTCCTTTTTTTTTTTTGTTTGAAAAACTTTTGACAGTGTTATAAACTACCTCATAGATAGCACGTAGATCTGATCCCGTAATTACTGCAAAACCTTGGCTCTAGTGAAATGCGGTTCCAGGGCCACCTCATATAGATGGCGCCAGCATGTTCTCTCGTCGTAAGGGATCACAAGAACTCGGTCGTAAGCAAACGCAAAGCGCACAAACGTGCCTTAAAGGCCGACGAACAGCCAGAAAGAAGGAAACTCTCCCTCAATTCCCCCTTTTCCATCCCAGAAAGAAGAAGACACTCCACCTTTCTGCGGTGAGTAGCTCAGAGTTCGCTCCTGCGTGTAAAGGTTTTTCGCCTGGCAGAATATGATTCTGTAGGTCGGCCTTTAAGACGCGTTCCAAAGTAGAACATTCAGTCTTGCCTAAAGGAGAGAGGGGGGACCTACTTGAGGGGGAAGTCTGTCTCGCTGAGGTTGACCAGGTAGTCCCAGTGCGGGTGGTCCCTGAGCAGGCGCTCCATGGCCCCGAGGAGCATCTCGAGCAGGCTGGAGCCGCCCCAGATGGTGGCCAGCCGCTCCCGAGCCAGCACCACGTTGCCCAGCCGGCTCTCCAGCTCCAACAGTGCCCGGTGCATGTGGCCCTGGCGCTGCGCAAGGACGGGCCCCTTACGCCGCATGCTCCGGACAAACTGCGGCCCCCTTCGGTTGGGGCTGCTTCCCAAACTCGCATTTGGTTGCAACCAAGACGGTAAAGATGGGAGCAGAACGCGGCAAATCGTAAGCGCTGACGTCGGTACTCCCAAGAAAAAGAATGAAAAAGAGAGCGACAAAAAGAGCGGAGGAAAAAATTTGACAGTACGCTAGGAGTGCTCGTTTTGAAGCGATAAGCTGGACTTCTTCGATTGCCCATCAACTTAATTTATTTTTAGATAATGCCCAATACCAGTCATCATACTAAGGCAAGGCACTGCCTAGAGAGGTCTGCTTTTTAAGCTCTTCACCCGCTGCAAGCAAACTCGCAAAGCATGTTAATCCAGGATGTCTAGCAAATTATTATTTTGAAATTCCCCGAGTTTTCCAGGTTTTCCCTGACAATTTCAGGTAAAATTCCCTGACCACTGTAAGGCGGTATAAGACCAATAGAACACAAGGCATTGAGCATTGAGCACTGTGAGGATCAATTTGCACGGGCCTTAATTCAACTCGCATATTCCAAAATACTCGGGTTTGCCCAGTCCGGATTAAACGAGCACTTTCTTACCGCCAATATCGTCAGCAAAGAGGCCACTTCTGCAAACACGATAAAACCACGACGCTCAACGATACACGTCAATGACTAAATGGCAGCGTGGCCACCAGATGCACACTTTAGGCTTAAAGCTTGGATTAAACTACGGTCTGCGACTTTCCCATTTCTTACTAAATCTAGTAGCTCGAACTGAATCTAGCCTAGTGTTGCGCCCTCAATCCAATTCAAGGCTTGGATTGGATTTGTCGGCTCTTCCCTTTGCGTCAGGTAGCAAACTCTACATCAGGTGAGCAGAGCCCGCGCTCCGCTCTAAGCAGAATTTATTGCCTCGTTTTCTGCCCCCAAGTCGTCGTGCTTTTGCTCAGGGAACTCGATGGCGTTTCCGGCTCAATTTCCCTGACAGGGCTCACTTTTTGACAATATCCCTGACAATTCCGTGATTTTTCCCGGTATTTAAAATTTTCCTGAACAATTCCCAATTTTCCCGGTCGCTAGACACCCTGGTTAATCGCACAAACTTGGGGGTGTTGGCCAAATTTCAGCTCAAAATGATGTATTTCTGCAAAACTTTTTTGACCCAATTCATCGTAAATGAAAGACAAAGAGTAGCACTGTTCAAAAAAACCTATCATTTTGAAATAAAAAGAAGGGTGTATTTTTCTTGCACAAATGCATTGTTGACTAAGTAGAACAAAGTAAGGTCTGTAGCAATATTTTTTCACCTAAACTTCAGCATAAAAATGAACATTTAAAATTTACTTCATGCCTCTCTCACAAAAGTTAGCCTTATAGTGAACAAATAAATTAATATTGTTGAAAACCAAGTACGTTACTGAATGTTTCAGTGAATTTCACCTCAGAAAACACTCCTTCATGTCTGTGGGCAAATAAACTGAGAAATTATAGGTTTGAAGAACAAGAATATGCTTAATATGCAAAAGCGAGGAAAACATATTCGAAAGTCTAAAAAGTGTTCCGCTCAAAATGGTGCGTGCCCTATCCCCTAAAACACTCCAGGAGTGTTTAGTCCTTCCTGTTAGCGGCCCAGCATATTGCAGGCACAGTAGAGCTCCCACTAAAGCTTTGACGCACAAAACATTGAGCAAGCATGCGGTTTAGAGAAGCTTGTTTTAGCGAATGCCGTTTTACCAAACCCAGTTTATCGAATCGCCTCATAGAGAAGCTCAGTTTAGAGAAAATGGCAATGAGCCTCTTTTTAGCGAATTGGGCCGCTGCAAATTAAGCCGCCGCGAATTTGGCCCGTGCAAAGCAGTGTACGGGTGGGCAAGGTGAGTTAACAATTTTGTTCCTTCTGACAAAAGCACCTTAAGACAACAACATATATTGAGAGACACAGCACGATGCTAGCCCACTATTTGGTCATTCAATGTCAGCATAAGGAGACTTAAAAGCTTCTATATGCTACGCATTTGAAGGTGTTGTGTAAATGCTTGAAAAGCTTGCTGCTCGCACGTGCCAGACAACTCGTAACAACAAAATAGTAACGAAATTTCGGATAAAAATGCTCCGTCAGCGTTCCTTTTAGACTCGAGTCTAATAAATCAGTTGACACACACTCAGCCCACAAGCCCCTTGTTACGGTGAATCTGATCGAGAGTTTCGCTCAGGTAAGCGCCTCATACTGGGAAATATTTCTCGCTACTGTTGAAACTGAAACCAATAGACAAAGAACTGTACGGCCAAGAACACCATGACCTTTGTACATCAGCTGTTGACCGGGGGATTGGTGGCCGAGTGGTCTAGTGCAAACCAGCTCGGAGCACGTGGAGCAAAAGCTCACGACGCAGAATCCAGGATCCTGGGTTCGATCCCCACCCCTGCCCCTTTCGACCTGGATGAGCATCATATCAGCGTGCAGTCGTGTACCACTACTGCGTGGCACACGTTAAAGACCCCAGGCTAGCGGTTGTACTGCACTGGCTAAATTTATCATCTACAGCTGGGAGACAAGTCGTCCGTTGAGACACTAAGTTCTACACTGTATAAACATACACACAACTCGATTTGTTTTCAGACGTTGACCCACAAACCGCCATTAACGTATGAAAAGTTAGCCCGACATTTCATCTCCAACCCCCGGAAGAACGGAGAGCCGGCCCGACATATCATCCCCAACCTTCGGAAAAACGGAGGTCCGGCCCAACATTTCATCTCCAACCCACAAAAGAACGGAGGGCTGACTCACGGCATCCACGTGGATGTAGAAGACGTGCCGCTCGTGGTACAGGGCCTTGAGCAGACGCAGCACCTGACGCACCGCCCGGCCATTCACCGAGAGCAGGAAGGCGATCCGTGCCGGAGGAGGGACCGCGCCCACGACGGGCCACACCGACTCCTTCTTGGTCGGGACGCCTGGGTGCATGGGAACCGAGCTTGGGACCACGCGGGAAAACAGAAATTCTTGTTCGCTCGATCGGCTCAATAAAGACCGGAGAACACGGAATGAGCCCCGCACAAACTACACCTTGTGGGTGGTTTGTGTCAGATTTTTTGTCGCATACCACAGATGCTAGCTAGGGCGAGATCGTGCAAACGAGTGTGACGTCAATGAGGGGAAACGTCACACGGGAGGAAGTCGCAACACTCTCGCAGCAATGTTTTACCGGGAGCACGATGCTTCCAGACCAGTTGTGCAACTCGGCTCGGTGGCTATAGCATCTGGCTGCCACCGCACAAACCCAGCTACTAGACCCCGTTGGGGCTTGAACTTTCTATGTAACCATGAGCGTCGTGTAATGCTTTCAGCGAAGTCACTCAATCAGACGTTTGTTCAAGACAATATTTTTATAGGAAATGACTCATAAAACATATTCTGCATCGAAAGGAGCTTCGTGCCAAAATCACGGTGCTTGGAACATATCTCCAGCCAGCGTGTTAACCGAGTCTTCAAAAGTGGTCCCTCCATTTCTGCGCAATAATGTTGCATAGTCAAACCAGATTTTATTGAACCCTGTTAATTCAAACTATCCCTTGTATTGAACTATTTCTGAACAGACTAGTAGCTGCAATGAAAAGGCATAGCGAAAAATGTGGTTACATCAAACGAAAATTGCAGCATCTCCCGATTGATCGAACTGCCAAGAGCACAGTTTTGTTCTGCAAGCAGGCTTTCCCCCAACGCGGCCGCGCGTTGTGGGCTGGCTTATTTTCTTTTGAGCGGCCGCGTCGACCACCCGGAAGAAACAAAAAATGTTTCTTTTTTGCGGTGGGAGCGGGGAGAGGGCAAGCCGGTAGACCTTGAAAAACTATGAAGCGGCCACTGGATAGCCGCGTGGCGCGTCCCTCATGACGTACAGACGCTCCTTTGAGAGTAAACAGCTTTTCTGAGTGTGGCGTGCTTGTTTGTTGTCAAATTCATTAAAACATTTATATTAAATTACCCGCTATATCGAACTGGTAGACAGTTTTTTGCGAGTTTGATATAAACGGGGTTGACTTAGAAGTGTCACACCGTTGCCGGTTGCGATCCTGGCAGTGTAGCAGCAGCGGCAGTGGATGTGGCAGAGGACGTCCGTATCGCTGCGGGTCGTTCTCACGCTTGACAGTCCACGAAAAAAACTGCGGCCGGAAGTCCGGACTTCACGACAACGGTGACAGTTGCGCTCGCTTGTACCTTCTGACGGAACTTCTGGCATCGAACGCCAGGGGCACGACGTCCGACAACGCGATGCGCCGGCTTCTGCGACGTCGTCTGCCGCCACTTCGGGAGATTTTTCGACGCACGGGCGGGATGGGGCGGTAAACGCTCCGGTGAAAGACGCGTACCTGGAACCGTACCGGAGTATTTAGAGACGCCGAGGACGCTCCCACGATTTTTCTCCAAAAGTTGTTGCTTGTCTTCTACGCTGCATCCGACCCTAAGCCCCTCGGGTTTCGATGCGTTCCAGTTAACCAGCTACACAGATAATCAATGTATGTTTCAGTCTACGCAGTCGTGCGAGCAAGTATTCCAGCTATGGTTACTGAGCAATGGGGTGTCTCTCTCAAACGCTCAGCCTAAAACACACGCATGTTGCCTTTCTTCGCGCTTTGGCTGAGCGTGCATGCTCGAAGCTCGCGAGATGCCCAAGGCAGCAATTTTGTGCCCGAGGCGGGACAACTGAAACTCCTCCTCCTCGTCCTCATCGAATCGGTCACTTTAGGCAAAACCGTGCTTGTTTCCAGTTGTAGCACGAATGCCAAGGAAGCTTGAGAAAAGTTGTCGAGTGGGGCCGGCACAAGAGAAGGCGGCTTTCGACAGCCAATTTTTACGCTCGTATTTTGATTTATCACTCGCTACCTGACATCAAACACATTTCAGAGAACCACAGGCCACCAAGGAGTACCGCTACGAGCAGCCTTGGCAGCTAGAAGTGATTGCAACTATCATCACCGGCAAGGTGAGAATGGCAGGAGGGAAGCTTCAGCTGTCCCGTTTTCAGCACGAGCGTCCTACCTTTGACGATGCTCCGGCGTATTGTCCACCTCGAGCGCACGGTCAAAGCACGGCAAAAGGCGTGGAGCACATGCCGGAGGCCGGCCGTTCAGAAGACGAGCCCGGTCATTCTCATTCTATCAGCGACCATTGCAGAGGTAGAACTGGCAGCTGTCGCAACATTAGTAGCGACACAAACAGCCTTTGCTGGGAGCGCTAACTGTTACAAGCAGCGCCGATTCCAAAAAATTGTTAAGCAAGTATCTACGAGCAATGAACATACTAATGGTAGTAAAGGTTAATGAGAGTTGTCAGCATGGTGGTGTGTGGCAGTCAACAAGGCAAAAGCAGAGAAGGCAAGAAGTCATAGTTCAGGCAACTGCAGTAGAGGGAACAAAGCTCACAGATGACACGGAGCAGAGAGTAGTAGCGTACCAATGGTAGACGGAAGATGCAAAAATAGAAGCAGAGTCACAGCTATGCAGTGTCCAGCGAGAGCCAACAGTGGCAATAGATCAGTGCTGGGCAGTCGAAGTGATGGCAGAAACTCGTCGCAAGGTGGAAGAGGTTACGCAGAAACCGTGGCAGGAGCCGGCGACAAGCGACACTCGGTGTTAGCCACAGAACACGGGTTGCAGACGACAGTCGCCGGGTCAGGAGCCAGAGAAGACGGGAAGGACCGCAGAGCGAAGACTGCAGAGCAACGAGTGGGAGAGAGTGCCTTCGCGACTGCCTCACTGCTGATTCCTGTTGCGAAGACGTGGACGGCGAGGTAGCCGCCACAGGAGACTGTCGCATTCGAGGGACAGGCCATGGTGCATCGATCGTCCGGCAACCTGCGCTCCCGCGGCGGCGGGGCGCCCTTGCCGCAGAAGCACTCGAGGCCATACTCGAGACCGGCCCAGGGGTAGCCCAGGCGCAGGCAGAGCCCGACGCAGTGCGACGGGCCGTTGGACCGCGAGCGCGAAGCCAGCCGCTCCAGCAGCCGTTGCTGCCGGTCGTCCTGGTAGCAGCCCAGCGAACGTCCCGGCGCTGCCTCTCGCCCTGGCAATTGTGTTTCACGTTCCCGGGGGGGGGAAGCAAAAAAGGGGAAACAAAGGTGGAACCGAAAAACGAAAACCAAAAATGCAAAAGAAAAAGACTCGCCTTCACGGCAGACGTGCAACGCGATTCGACGTAGGTTTCTTTTTGTTTCCCTGTCTTGCATTTCTATTTTGGTAGAGCAAACACTGCGGGGAATCCAATAGGAAGGCTTGCATTTAAAGGGGCACTTGTCTGGAGTTTGAGATCATTTTTTTATGGTGCAAACTCGATCGACATGCCCTAAGCATCCCAGTAAACCCCAAACTACCAATGACACACGCCCTTTTCATTGATTAAAATGCGATCACACATTGAGATGCGCCCTTTTTATGAGATATCTCAGGAAAAGAGTGTGTTGCGAAGTTTGGTTGCATTTTTAACAAAAGAAACCATAAACGAGCGCAGTTTTGAGTTTCTAGAAGGCTTAGGATGTGTAGATTGAGCTTGTGCCATAAAAAGGACATCACAAACTGCACTTCCTTTAAGAGGAATTTGACTCGGTTTCGTAAGGGTGCAACGTTATCGACATGCTGCGGGCATTTTGGATAACTAAAAAATTTTAATTTACACACTCGGCTCCAATATAAAAAATGTGATCAAAGGTTGTATACGCTTTCTCTTCACTTCAAAGTAAAAGTGCACACGTGCAGTTCCCAAGGCGTGCAAATCAAGTCAGACCCACGAAAACCTTATAGCGGAAAGTCTCAATAAACAAACAAGTGAAACTACTAACAAATCATGCAAAAGTAAAATGATAACAAAAACTTGCCCCTTTATGGCACTACTCTGCCAAATGCAATGGAGACACACAACATATTTGGTGTCGCCTACCAGCAATGTCCCACAGGACAACTTTGCTACTCAGCCCGCATTTTGTGTCTCGATCGCACGAACACCGCCGTACGTTCCAGCGGAAGTGGAATGCAAAGTTCGAAACACTGGCGGTTCCACACACCACCTATGACCCTGCCGCATTTGCCTCTCCCCGTCTCCCGCGAAGTGTGAGCTTCTTCTCTTCACCCTCCTCCACGCTGTCCAACCTAGTCTTACAATACATGGGAGTGCATTGACTAAACGCCTACTTGGAAACAAGGCCGCAGCAATGAATTTTGCACGTCACCCACTGGAAACCAAAGCGGAGCACAGAGTAAACTCGAGCGTCGCGTCGGCGTTCGGCCGGGATGCCATTAAATCCGCGAGGACGCGGGCCCCGGCCGAACGTTGACGCGGCACTCGCACGACACTCTCCCGCAACGGCTGCGTAACGCATCCTGCGTTAAAAGGATCGCAATGGCCGCCCAAAGACGGCACCACCACGGGGTTGCCCGCAAACATTGTTAGCGACGCTTTCCGCTTTAAACCGCGCATTAAGAGATTGTGGCAACGAGGCGAAGTACCGCCGCAGGACACTTTGACTAGGGCGAAAGGGGATGCACCCCTGCCGGACAACACTGACCCCGGGCAAAACGGTGGGCCCGGGAAGGTGTCCCTTTGAGGTCAACGTGCGGGCTAGACCCGCTGTTCTCGAGTCCAAGAGCGGCGACAAAGAAACACTCTCTGCTCAGAGGGAAGGACACCCGACTCTTGGGTGGGAGGAGAAGGAACAAGAGGGAGTGCCAGCCTTAGAGCGCAACTCTAAGGCTGGCATGCTGCGTGGCGAGCTGCTTGGCGAGGTGAGATCAGATGTGGACTAAAATTGTGATTGCCTGCTAGTTCCCACTGAAAGCTTTGCTTTTTCCTTACTATTTTACATAGTAAGAAAAAGCACATCAAAGGCTGTAAAACCTTTCTCACTATTTGTATGTTGGTGAAGCATTCTTACTAAGGTAGTGCCTGAATGCGAACTCGCGAATGGGTCAAAACTGTCTCATTGGTTGATTACGCGGAAGCTGGGGCGACACGTCTAGGCTGCAGCCGAAAATGCTCTCACTCCCGCCTCAACCAAATTCAAACCCCCGAGGCAGCCACGGCCAGACCCAGGGCGGGAGGCGTACCGGAGGCACTCTCGCAGGAACGGGGCAGTCGGGCGGGGTACAGCGTCCCGGCCTGCGCCAAGCAGGTCACGTTGGCTAGCTCCCGCCTGCAGTGCAGCGAGGTCGCCCGACGGATGGCAGACAAGGCATCCTTCTCCGTGATCTCGCACGCCGGCTCGAACCCCAGCTGGGACCAGTCGATGGCCTCCGAAGCGTTGGCCCCGGCCGCAGTGGCGCCCTTGCGTGCCACGGGTCGCTGGCGGGCCGGACTCTCGTCCTCGTCGTACTCGTCATCCGACTGGGCACTCTGCTGCCGCCCGTGGCTCCCCTGCAATAGGCAGAACTCTGTCACAACAGACCTTTCACACCTAAAGACGACGCCAAGCAGCGCGTACACGCAGGTGAGGGATTGGATGGAAAAATGTGAACAACTGAATTCTTTGATCGGGTAGAAATTTGTGCACCGAACAGCTCCATGGGACAAACCCGAACTCCGTGCCAATCTCGTTCAAGTCTCTTCGATGGCAGAATTAACATTCTCCTCACAGTTTAAACGTGAAGTGGCTGGAAATTCTACTCAAATAAGTCGTGCCTGCGTATTATAGGAGCGGCATAAAATGCTAGTGCAAGACGAGCGGAAAGCTTCTTCAACCTTTGAATCCTGGGTAGGATTCAGGAAGCCACTCACTGCCCTCCCCCAAGCAAGCCGGACCTGCTTGGCTTCTAGCCAGTGCGTGTCGTGTCGTGCCGAAGAAAGGTCGCCATCTTGCTGGCCTCTTCTGGCCCTCCTCCACTCGTGTTTTTAAGTTTTGGGGGTACCTGCGGAAGATTGCAACAACGGTTGAGCCTTCCATGGATCAAGGGAGGAACCCTCCAATGTGAGAAGCCCTCAGTAGGATCAGGCGAGGATGGATAGCAGCACGATTCTCTCAATTCTAAGGTTGGCGGGCACTGCAGCCTAAATGCGCTTGCAGCTAGCTCGACCGTAGCCCTTTTGGAGTCGCTTTCCCAATCAACGCTGTTGGATAACAAGATTGTATCTAGTACAGAGTTTCTGAACCCAGCATGGTGACTACTCCATTGCCGGTAGCCATTGGCCGCTCAGTAGGACGGAGGACAGGTTTCCCTGGACACTGGGTTCCCTTTGAGCACCGGCCATGCGTGCAAAATTACGTAAACCCACTACCCCTTTTGTAATAATTCCCCCCAGTGCATAACTGCATGTTTATAATAAGAGCAGTGGCGCAAATTTCCGGCAAGCAGACGATGCACGTGCTTCCCCCGTCCGACGTTGCTTTGTCTGCTGCAAGAATGATAGTTAAGACACCTGGACACCAAGGACCTGGACAAACCAGTGCGGCACTCTCCTCCGTACAACAAATTATGTTCGAGGCTGTGGACTCGTGCTTGTAGCTTTCAGAACACCGCCAACGAAGCCCACCCAACTAGAAAAGCGAGAGTCGTCCTTGACAGCAGAAAGGTCAGCTCCGATTCGAAACGTGAACCGACACCATTTGATTTTCTGCATTAAGTACCGTGTGTAATCCTTTGTCCATGAAGAAGCGATGCCCTCAGTTGGGTTGCAAGTCTTGTGTCTGTCGTCTAGATTCAACATCATTTTTTATTGTTTCTCCAGCTGGGAGGAAAAACAATCGTCCTGCCTGTTCTTGGTGCACCAGTCTGCCGTCCCTTCTGGTTCAAACGCATTTGATAGCAGAAGGGACTCGGTGCACCCAGAAGCAGCAACGACTTTTTCTATTTTCTCCCTTTGCCCTGTCGAATGTTCCTCAAATAACCCCCAATTATTGAGATGTAAGTGCTGAGACGGGTAGGCATAATGAACCCAGAGATTGTGGGTGAAAGCAGGACAACAAAAACGCACACGGATGTTGAGACCTGGATGGCTAGGTTGGACATTTACATGTATGTCATAGAAGTGACGTAATGGTGTCTGATGGATGCAGCCAATTGCCTCCACCAATCAGGACAAACGCATGTTGAGACCTGGGGGGTTATGTTCGACAATTGTTTTGTTTCCCCTAAAAAGAAACGGAAGTGACGATATCGTGTCTGATTGGTTAGAGGCTCCAATGACAAAAGTTCCCTCTTTCGTCATTTGGGCCTCTAGACAATCAGACGCGATATTGTCACTTCCGTTTCTTTTTATGAGAAACAAAACATTTGTCGAACATAGCCCCCCTGTTTTCAATCTAGTCACTGGGCTCTTTTTATTACACCGCTAATGTCCGTAATTAGGGTATCTGTCATTTATCCAAATGTGACCTTTGGTAAATCTGTCAAGATACTCTATTTCACTTGCTTTCTTACTAGGTAAAAAAATCTTCGTTTGCTTCCTCAAGCCCGCCTACTCCTTTGGAGAGCGACACTGAATTACCCGATTCTGCCAAGGTTAGTCAGTCAGCGCCGCACAAGAACTGCAGTTGCAGAGACTTTAACGGTGTTAACTCAGCCTGAACTGGGCTATCGCTATGACCTCTTCAGAGAGGCCTGCCCATTCCCACGCATCCCCGACGCGTGATTTCACTCCTTCGCCTCGCAGGAACCGCAAACACGGTGCCGACCTGAGATTCGGACGAGGATTTGCCAGCTTCGTGGCGCGTCCTGGCGATCGCGTACTCGTCGGCGCCGTCATCGGACGACGGTACGGTGTAGAAGCAGTAGCCGAGGAAGACTTGGACGACGAGGATGGCCACACCGACCGCGAAGAACGGAAAGTGTCGACGGCACCAGCGGTTTCTGTTCACCACTCGCGACGCTGCCATGGACGACACTTCACATCACAGATCGTCACCTCCACACGCACGGTCATGCCCTTCGCACCCCGACAGCGCCGTTTTTCGAGTTCTCCGTACGGCCATACTAAGTCCTTCAACGTACCCCGGCGTCGCTCAAGCGGTGCGGGTTAATGAGGACGAACTTGTCAAGTCGGGGCACTTGGAGCACTTGGAGTACGACAGCTGCATCGCATCACAGCGGTAGCAAAGCGAAGACGGCGAAGAATGACAACAAAACACAAAAGGAAAAAGAAGCATGCCCAACGTTGGCGTGGCCTACTCAGCCTACTCGGTTTTAATAATTTTTCAATTAGGGTCCTACAATAATAAATATTATAAAATCAATAAAATTGCTACCTTTTTTAACTTAATCTATAATCTTTTTAAAGTTCACCAACGTTGTTAACGTTACTGAATCTCATAGAGTAGAGATGCACCTTGGCGCCCTGGGGGATAAGCAATCCATTAGGAGCATCTGTAGTGCCACCTGGAACGCTTTTTTTTTCTCCATCGATGCTAACGAGTGTAGAGTTCTTTTTCCGGTTGCCATCGTCCGAAGCGGTACGTGAATCAATAATTTCGACTTGTAATCTACTCAATCCTTACTAATTTATTGGGCCCATTTATATTTCGACTTTAGGTATACCACATTTAAGCATCCTAACCATGTTCCGTAAGCGTATTTGTGTCCCAAATTGGCCGGATCAGCCGTAATCTCTTGCGGGATGTCGGAGACCGCCTTTCGCGAGCACGGTGTTCCGTGTCTCAACATGCCGGGCTTTTGTGTTGATCACGCGGCGTGTGACAGATTCCGACGGGTATGCCTCGCTTTTTGACCCGCAGGCAAGATGGTGCGAATGAACGTGTTGGCAGACGCGCTCAAGTCGATCAACAACGCCGAGAAGCGGGGCAAGCGGCAGGTGCTGCTGCGACCCTGCTCGAAAGTCATCATTAAATTCCTCACCGTCATGATGAAGCACGGTAAGTGGCTCTGCACTTTGGACTCGGATCTAACCTAAAGTACATTTTGTGTTGCTCGTATGCACCGCTGTCTGTGTTGCCGAGAGAAGTGGTGTTGCGCTTGTTCGCGTGCCATAGTATGCAAAACAAGTCAGCAGCACGCTATCTGCCTAATAGTGTTTACAAGACTGTTTAACCCCTGGCCTCACTGGGGCAACAAAAACCGTGTTCTTACACATTTGAAATACACCCTGTCGGCGTTCTTTTGCACATCATTACCTGCTGGCCACAGAGGACTACTACTGGCAGCAATATCTCGGGATGTTTGAACGGCAGTTTGAATCGAATAACTGCTCCATTTGATGAACATGAAGGGAAAGCAGTGACACGCCGGTTAAAAGGTTTACCCATCCCTGCACGTTTCCACCGTCGCTTGAGGGCACTCTCGTACACCGCACAAGCTGCATAGTCCGCATGAATGTCACATTAAAGGAACACTGACATCCGCCAAAATTTGCTTTATTTTTTGCCAAGCAATTCATTATGGTGTCGGAAGACTACCCAGTCAGCATTTTGCTAGTTCATCACATATTTTTAATTAAGTCAAAACATGCAATTGCTCGAAACCGAAACCGGACTGGGGAGGAAGAAGAAATTTTGAGAGAGTTGGCAGAATTCATGTGGCTGCGCAGCTTTTTAGAAGCCACAAAAAATGGGTATCATATTTCTTTTCTCTTCTTAATATTTTGTGTGACCAACCACTTCGCTACATTTGGTGGTTGTGTTCTAAACCATACAAAACAGCTCGTGACCATGGAGAAGAGAGTGAGTGTGACTCGAACCGGCCAGTTTTCGATCGGCGGTTTTCGGGCAGAAAGAAAATGAATTTCGAGTCGCGAAATGTTTTCTGGGTAATGGGCTCTTGTATGTCAGGTACAAATAAAAATCTTGGCGAGCATAAATACCCTGTCAGTGCCTTTTTAATGCTACGCTCGTCCGCATTTGGCTGGGGGGGGTTTGATAGCCATTCAAAACTTCTGGTAGGTTGGGTGGCAGCCTTTCTACTGTGGAAACGCTTGTGTTTGGTTGCAACCGAGTGTGTTGTACAGCCTCGTGCTCGACGTGAGCTTTATAATCTTTTGACGCTGTTATAAACAACCATTTCTCATAGATGGCATGTACACTTGATCTTGCAAATAGGGAAAAACCTTCAATGTAGTTAAATGCAGTTTAAAGGGACAATCAAGGCAATTTCAGACATCTTTTTGGCAATTGAACTGGGTTCCAGGCACATCTCAGGCCACGTTGCCCAAATTTCAGCCGAAACCGGCGCTTGTGTGCCGCGCAAATCAATTAAACAGTAGTGATAATAATCATACCGGGATCGACTTGGGCGACGCCCCAAGAGTTGCGGGAGAAGCCAGGAGAAGCGGAGCTTATGTGACCGATGCGGGGCCAAGAAGCGCGGTGTCACAAGAGATGCGTCAGCGGTTGGTCGAAACGAGACGTGCCCTCAGTCACGTTTTGGTTCGCGATTTTTAGAAATACTGTTCTAATTTCCGCTTGAATAACCATGAAAAGTATAAATCGGATTGAAAATGATTACTAAACCGTAAATAAAGCAACATAATTGTTTGTTTTTTGTTTTTTTTGCTACGCTGGACGCGAAACGGCCAACGAGCAACTATGGGCACTTTGGCATGCGGGCCGCTCGTTGCCGGCTGGCGGTCTCCGTCGGGTGACGGCAGAGGCCGCCACACACATACTCCCGTTCCGTTGGTGTTCGGTCACCGAACGGAAGCTCGAACTTGCTCGCGAGAGCGGCATTGCCGTCTTGTTGACAGATTCGATGAAACGACCGCGCCAGCGCGCTGCTACAACCCACCGCGGTAACCAGAGTCTCGATCTCCTAAATACTACCGATACCGTCTATTCACACTCTACGTCACTCCCTACGTCACCTCCGTTTTCGGAGGCCCAGAAACGAGAATGGAGATTGTTCAGTTTCGGTTTCTTTCGTAGGCACAGAAATACACGTCACAAATGTCTATGAAAAATTGGGCAGTATGCTATGTTCCCAAGAAGCATTAAAACGGCATTTAAAAAAATTAAATTGTCTTCATTGCCCCTTTAAAAAGACACTGACCCCCCCCCCCCCCCCCCCTCTTTTTTTTTCTCCATTTCTTGCGAGGCGATTGATTACGTACGGTATCGGAATACTACCAAATTAATATTTTGATAGACATATTTTTTTAATAAAGCCATAAAATGAAATGGCTCGAAACCGAAACCCCCGCCCGCGATCGGCTCCAAAAAGAGTACTCTCGAGATGCTGCGTGAAGAGCTGCCTCACATGTTCTGCATCTGAAAGTGGCATTGTGCAGCAGAGTGCCCAAGTTTCCAAAAGATGAACGGGTCGGGATCAATGACTGGGTGCAATTCGTGCAGTACAGTTAGGGGAACCTCGGAACACGGACGCTGCCCGATTTATACGCTCCTTGCATTTTGTGGAAAGTGACTACATTGAGTTTGCAGGTGTCAAAAATGGAATCCCTTACCATATAGTTCAGCGACTTATTGTTCACAACCATTGTTCTTTTTCAGTGATAATTGTAAACATTGGAAAATGTAACAAAAAACGTGGTACGCCCACACTAGGGATTGAACCCGTGCCCACTGCGTGTGAAGCGGACATATTTCCACTGAGCTACTGGGGGAACTCTTCCTTGTAATGCAGCCGGTCAACTGTATGTCGGAAAGTTTGCTGCCGGTCTCCCTCCAGTGCATGCACCCCCGGCTTGAAGTTGGTCAGCACCACGCATCGACCACATTCGCACCTAGTAAAGAAACTATGCGTGCGTATTCCACTCAAGTACGCACTTCGTGCTTGACGTTTGAGCGAGCGATGTCTTCAGCCACGAGAATGGACGACGGCTTGGCCATGTCTTCGTGCAATCGGCTTGCTGGTCGGGCGTGTCGTACGGGAGGAATATCAATTCTTTCGATCGGTCCAAAATTTCTCTTTCGAAAAAAGACTGAATTCTCCGGTACTGCGAACAACAGTTCTGAAGTAGAGGTCCCACGCCCGTCGTCCGCTGCCATTTGCTAGTCCCCACGTTATGCGAAACGACGCCATGTTGAGAATCATGCAGTGAACGCACAGAATGCTTCCGGTTGTCTGTGTAACCATTTTTTCCCAATCGACGTATTTGCAGCTTGGAAGCCACAAAAGATTGGTTTCATTTTTTTTCCATTTTTAATATTGACTGTGTGGCTTTAATGACCCATGACCCACGACTTTGATTAAATTTGGTAGTCGTATCGAAACCTTAGAAAACTGCCCGTGACCACGGAAAAGTGAGTGAGCGCTACTCAAACCGGCCAGTTCTTGATCGGCGTTTTTTGGGCGGAAAGAAACCGAATTTCGAGCCGCAGATTCTGTTTTGGGTAATTGGGTTCTCATATGTCACGTCAACTAAAAACCTCGGCGACCATAAAAACCCTGTCACTGCCCCTTTAAGGGCTGCCTCGTAAATTGTGCCAGTATGTCTTCTTGTGAGGTTGCACAATGCCCTTGGATGCTACCAAGTGCTTGTTTGTGAACCAGCGTTAAGGAATGACCTAATCAAACTGTGAGGAAGTGCATGTTCCATTATGTTGAGTGAGCTGCATTATCTATACTTTGCTCACCCGCAAGCTAAGACTGCTGCGGAAGTTACGTGCTTGTTGGACCGGTCACGCGCCTATCTTTTACTATGGGATCGCCCACATGCAGAGAGCAGGGTCAGGTGACGAAAGGGAGCGGCGGATTGGTCCAGCGCTTGGGGGTGAACGGGGCGTATAGGGTGGGTGGTGACCCAGTTGTCCGGCCTGCAGGCTACATCGGAGAGTTCGAGATCGTGGACGACCACCGGTCGGGCAAGATCGTGGTGTTCCTCAACGGGCGGTTGAACAAGTGCGGCGTCATCAGCCCCCGCTTCGACGTGCAGCTCAAGGACACGGAGACGTGGATGCGCAACCTGCTGCCCTCCCGACAGTTCGGGTACGTCTGATCTCTCTCGGAGACTCCTCGTGTCGTTCTTGGCGGTGTTGAGGATGCACGGTCGTTGCTCCTCCGAGGGCAGTTGCGTCGCAACTTCCAGTTTGTCAGGCAGTGATGACTACCAGAAAATCCCTTGAGGGCGCCCTGCCCAGAGAAATTGCCCATTGCATTTTTTTTTGGCTACGTATCTGTAACAAAGAAATTTCGAAACTATCGCCTATCCTTCAGATTTTCAATTCAGATGTTGCGCGATCTGCGGTACCGGCGTGTGTGACAAGCGAGTTTGCAGCAGGTTCCCACGTTTTTGTCTGCAACGTGCGTGCGCAATGTCAGTCCCCGTGACATGCAAGTTCCCGTCCTTTTTCTTTTCTTTTTTTGCAATCTGCACGCATTTCTGGGTTTCCGTGGCATACAAGTTGCCAGTTTCTGCGTGTTTATAGCACCATGAAATACGAATCTGCTGCATTCACCGTCTGCGGTATCCTTTTCCGTGACCTAGGAGTTCATAGCAAACTCTTGCATGTTTGCGACCTGCGGTATCAGTTCCTGCGTCAATAATTTGCAGCGGGTGCCCTCAGGTTGGCCATTCATTATTGATCAAGTTTTTGCTGTTTCATCCCCAAAGAAGCCCACCAGAGGAGATTCATTATAACCATTTACATACTTGTTTAAAAATACTTAAGGTTGCAAACAGCTTTCCGCTTGACGAAAGCTTGGGCAAAATTCTTTTACCGGGGGTTTGTGGTTGTATTGGCACGCCGTTAGAGCCATCTATCTTTAAAAAAAAAAAATTTGTGTTTTCCGCGCATATTTTATGCTCAAGGCATGCATCCCTAATTTTAATTTCCAATTTGCGAATGAAAATTCAAGTTTCAGCCTTGCTGAGCAAATTAAAAGGTGAACAGAGAGCTGTAGGGTTCTGGAATTTCTCTACAATGAGAAATGATGCTAAATTCAGTACAGACATCAGCATCTTTTACGAGGAATGCACATTGTACTGACCATACACCTTTCCAGGTGTAGTGTCGAGCAAGGCGTTCTAGAGTGTGCATCCCCGTTTGCGAGTGTGTGTCAGTGTTGCCTGGCTGCTCTGGGCTGTGGGTTTTCTAGTCAGTGGGCTCTGGCAGCCCGCGTAGGCACAATTCCGGACTTTGGTGGCTACTAAATTGCTGCATTTTGTTAGAATTCTGAGTTTTATGGCAAGTAGAATGTCTCGGGACCTTCGACAAAATGTCGAAGGTCCTGAGACACATTTATGAGACCTTTTATGAAAACAAAACACAAAACAAATGAAGGCTACTTTTGGTGAGACTGTGCATGACAGAACAAATGCAACTGGAACATTTGTTTCATTTTGAGTGGATTTCTTACGCCGCCAGAGACTACGCCTATGTCAATCTACAAAGTTGTAACTGTCAAAAATAAAATCTCACAAAATAGCCGAAAAGCACGTATGTCTGCCCTCACGATATAAAATTCGATGAATCTTATCAATTCATAAACTATATTATATGTAGCTTACGATGCTGCATTATTCGAACGTGGTTTATTTGAAGATCTCAAATAACGCGGCATATCCAATCTACATGAACAACAGACACTTCACTGGCCGAGGGAGGCCATATAAAGGCGGCAGCCCAGGGCTCTGTTTAGAACGGTTGACGGTAGCTAGTGTCACCACAATGACGATAATTTTGTTTGTAGAGGCATCATCCTCCATCTTTGAGGGGATAAATGTTCTTTTAACAACATAATGCCACGAGCAAAGGGTAGGAAGACGGGGATCTTTTATGCAGGATGCTGCATTATTTACAAACCTCAAAAATACGAGAGCCTGGGATTGACCCTACAAATACGCCGAATGTTGTAAACAAAAAAAAAAAAAAATTGATTGACATTTAAAACACCCTGTAATGCCGAATTGGAGTGCAGCAGTTGAGGAGGAGGAGGGACACCCCACCTCCTTATCCTCCCTGCTACTACTCCTCCCCTTCTTCCTCGTCCTTCACCTCTCCTCATCCCTGAAGCTGCTCCCCCCCCCCCGCCGTTGCATCATGGGAGATGTCCCATAATGTACCGCGCGGTTATGGCAGCTGCGACGCCGCTCACGCCAGAAACGGGCGCCTAAGAGCTCTAGATTGACCCGGAGAATGTCTACGCAGAGGCAAGATAGCTTTTGAACCAGTTACGCAAGTCTTTACGAATGTCTCGTGACCATAATTGCCGTAAGAGCAACAGTCTGTCGACTTTGCCAAACGATTGGATAGATCATAGTATGGGTGTTGACATTCTTTGTCACTTATTTTCGTGGTCTATTACATGTAAAAAATGTTTTAGTTTTTCTGATGAGAAAGAGGGCGATATAACGAGCGGCTTACTTCAACTCTCGCGGAGCTATTGCACATTGCATAGTATTTCCGTTACGATTATAAGCGTCCACGCTCGGGGTGGCATAGTTTAGGTGCGCCTCATTTTCCTTCCTGTCGCGCCTCGGCTTTAAAAGTTGCCGGGCACGCAGAGTGTGGACATCACCCTTGAGGGGCACTCGTTCAAAATGTTGTCTCTCCCGCCGTGGCTGGGACGGAGCTAGTGAAAAGCTACGCTCACAGTTTCGCCGCCTTTTTCCTCCCATTGCGGTAATTTGTCTTTTTGCTTCACGCGACATTCGTTTACCTGGCAGTTGCTCTCGGGTGCCGCCATTCCGGTGCACCCTCGGTATGGTCTCGCTCCGCTGCGAGCGGTGTGGCGAGCGGAACGACAGAATACTTTTCGCGCCTTCCATCAGGCACGTCCGAAAAAGCTGGCAAATAATTTTGGTTCTATGCACCAAAGTGGCCGAGGTGTGTAACGGTTACGATGACTGGAGTGCGTCCCCCACTGGCGCGTTTACTGCGTCCGAAAAAGCGGTCCCTCGATTTCCACCCGGTGGCGTCACCGGTCGCAATGCCGGCAGCGTCCCTGCTGCGGTGGTGGACGTGGCAGCAGGCACTGCTACGTCCGTCGCCGCGGCAATGGTTGACGTCCACCACCGCGACATCACCACTTCAGCATCACGTTCGATGTACGAGCAGGACGGGATGCCAAACACACCAGTAGAAGACTAGTTCTAGGCACTGCACCGACGTAGCTCCGGCGTCGTTCCTCCGAAGCGTGGCCACGATCCCTCAATCTTTTCCTCATGCTATGTGGAAAAATTCCTCTAGGGACAAATCGAAGCACCGGGGGCTCGCTGTCATAAGAAAACCTATCGAATCGCTCACAGAACCTAATGGATGGACGTGGAGGGTTGGCAGAAGTTACAACGGAGAAAGTCGCCAGATGCGGCTACTCTTTTGCGGAACCTAGGGGTCGTGTTATGTCGAAATAATTTATATGTGACGCGAATGTTGTTGCATCTGCTTTAAGAAACGACCGCAGTTGAACCGTTGATTTTTACTCCTACTTGCATCGTTGTGACGATAAAATTTCCTAGGGCGGAAATTGCCGAAGTTTCTGGATCGTTAAGTAGTTTGTGTCCGGGCATTCGGTGGCTCCCGGTCGGTACCTCTGATTGGGGAGTTCGCCTGGTGCCATGCTGACGCCCCCTGCCTTTGTCTCTCCTACAGCTACATCGTGCTCACAACGTCTGGGGGCATCATGGACCACGAGGAGGCGAGGAGGAAACACCTGGGAGGCAAAATACTGGGCTACTTCTTCTGAGATAAATAAAACAACGCTCTGCTGCCAGGCTTGTCTCGTTTCGGCCTTCCTGTCTCTTGGGTCTGTGCAGCACCGTCGACAGTGTGGCACGTGTTCGACCACCCTCTAGGGGGGACGGCCGGGTTTGGCGGGGGACTCCCGCTGTACGAGCGTTTATGAAGCCGAGACAACTGCCAAGAAAAGTTGGAGGGACAATGCACTCCCAGAGAAAACTTCATTTAATGCCTAACTAAAACCGGAGCTATAAAAAACAGTTTCACGAGTTGAAATGTACCTAGTTGGGTTACAGTTACATGCTTGCGATGGCAACTTGTCACAGTCAGTAAAAGTTGTGACAAAAGTCCATTGATCACAGCTTGTAACATATTGCATGAAGAATGGCTACAGGCGCTGGAATAAAGGAATACTCGTGCGGGCGATGCTTTCAGGGAGGGATGTGCGCGACTTCGGTGATTGGCGGGACCGCAGGGCTCCCTCCCCAACTCCAGCATTTGCACGAATGGCTGGGAGCCAAGAGGGATGCCAGTGTTATCAGACTCGTTTAGCGGTCGCACTCATCAACATGGCTCGGTGCGCGCCGACTGGTAGAAAAGTGGAGGCGTCCATGAAACGGCGATAGCGATTATGGCAGCAACGCCGTTAAATGCTGAAAATGGCAAAGAGCTTCCAGCTAAAGAAAAGGAGATGCTGCTTGAATGGGTGGATGCAATACAAAGAACGTGGAATCCCAAACCAGTATTATGAAGATGCCATTGATGAATACCGAAGACTCCTTCAGGTGCTTTGAACGACATGTGCAACAGCGGAAGCCACAAGTTAGGTGATGCCACTGCCAGTATCCCAGACTGATGGATGTGTGGGCCATATATAGAGAGTTTGGTCAATGGGAGGAGTGGGCAGAGCCAGGGCGTGCAGCAGACTCTGATAGAGGGCTGGACATGCGCTCTTGGCCAACCAGAAGCCAGAAATGGTCCCTTAGCTGTGGTAGCGAGAAACACTTTTAATAAATGCATACAAGTTCAATGTAGTAACTCTTCATGGCTGAAAACATGGTGCACGTGATCTTCCAATTATCATGCAAAAAGTTGAAAGAAACGAACATGACTCCCAAACTCTTGCTTGGACGCAGTTTGACCACTTGGACGGCAGATGCTCGGCGCCTGGCGTAGATTACTATGTGCCGTGATCCAAGCCGCGGGCACAACATTTGCAGTCACCGAGAGTTACTCCGACGCACTTATTCGTTTCTCGCGACCACCACCAGGGCTTCTGGTTGGTCACATACGACTTCGTGGACACGTCCTGTAACACGCCCAGCCCGCTTTCGGCCGACGGCGTTTCCTCATTTGTCTCCTATATTTCCCAATGAATGGTCAAACTCTTTCTCTATATATGGCTCTGATGGATGTTGATGGCTGTACCCTTTGTGACGGACAGTAGAGTGCACCGCCTAGCTTAAGTCTAAAGAGACAAACATGATTCCTACTGCCCTTCTAAGCCAATTTTCTACCCCTATCTCCAGGCAACGTCGGATATTGCCAAGATGACCTCTGGGAGATCGGGCAAAAGAAACTAAAAACATCACCCCCTGCCTCCCCCCTTGGCGAAAGAGTCGCCGATTTTCCTGTGGTCAAACGTAGTTGGCGTTGCCCCAACATAGGGCCGACTGGGGGACGGCAATGAAACTTGTGGCCGGAGCAACATGGGAGGGAGTCCCGATTTTTCCCTGTCCCGCCTATCCCCAGCTGTGCTAGTTAGTTGTACATCATTCAATTTTCCCTAGTTTGTGACTAATCCTTTTCTCTTCCGTCCTTCCATCCTCGCCAGCAAAACCCAGGGCACCAGCCAAATTTGTTACCCCCTCGGAAAAAGCATGGCAAAGTCCCGTGCACCTCAAAACCAAGTGCTCTAGTGTCTCGCCCTCACTATGGCAGGTGGCACACAATGTGTCTGTCTCCTGGTATTTAGCCCTATACATCCTTATCCTCAAAACTCGCGTTCTCGCCTCGAACAGTAAGGAACTTGCCAGTGAATTGTCAAACACATTCTCCTTTCTTGCGTCTTTTTTGTCACCTGCACATTAGCGAGTTTTAGTAGACCGTGTTCCTCCCTCCGCTACCCGGAACTCTACAGCCAAGGCCATCGGCACGCAGGTGCAGTGGCGGTTTCTTCGTAGCGGAGGGGGAAACACGGTCTACTAAAACTCCCTATTGTTAGAGCTGATTTTTCAGCATTCTTCCCTCCCACATTTTCCTTTCTGCCTCTCGCTCCCTTTCCCACTGAAGTAGTCTACTTAGCCCCCATCACTAGTGTGTAGGGCAAGATATGTAAAGTTGCCAGACACGCAAGCAGAATGCCACCAATTGCGAAAAGATCCATTGCCAAGGTGTTTGCACAGCCCAAGCAAAAGCACCCTCATCCCCCTGGGATGTCTACGTCAGTGCGGCTCCATGCAAAGGCATGTTGTTCCATGTGATGCGTGTCCCAAGGAGCAAAGGGTGGGACCCAAAAAATATCTGTTTAGAAGCATGCTATTCAGTTTCACAACAGGTTTCGAGGCAGTGGCGGGGACTTAGTAACAAGCCTTCCATGGACAACAGCATCTCCACGTAATGAGAGCGAGAATTTCGGAAAATAACTGAGAATCAAGGTACAAATCATTAAAATATGTGACTCGATTAGTTTGCTATAAAATCTTGAATTTTATCTTGAAAAGTATTTAGTTACAGAACATGTAAATACAGAAACTTAAATACTTGTAATTAGTTGCTTTGCAGCTCTGGATGGAATCGACGTATAATAATGCGTATTTCCCACTTAAAAAAAAAAAAATCGTAACATGTTTTACATTACGACAAGCAACTTTAAAGGGATACTTCAACGAATTTTGAAATATTCCCGTCGTGTTCAAAAATAGCTTGAATATGATCCACAATATCCGTAAATGACAATCGCACGTTTGTATTTTGAGCCTGGTGGCTGTATTTTTCGTTATAAACGGCCCACTCTGCCAAGCGCTCGGAGAAGGCCCAGCGGAAACCACGTGACATCCAACGCAATCGTGACGTAAGTCGTCTCAAGACAAGCAAAGCTACGGCAAGGCTGACGTCGAGAGGATGGCCTAGTCGTTCCAGCCACCGAAGCGGCTGCTTTTGTACAAATTTTGAGCGACGGGTTAATCTTCTATAATCTTGTAGGGGGACAATAGCGACTTCCGTGACACACAAAAGGCATTCTCGGGAAGAGGGGAGTTCCTCCTGCCCCTCTTCTCTCGTCGTGGCCGGAGGCGAGACAACCTCCGTCACTAGCTGCCAAGGTTGCTAGACGGGCATTACAAGCGAGGCATTAGCGACATCCACCAGGTGCTCTTTGCTAATCGTTTAATTCGTTTTAAAATTCCTTTTCGTGACTTTTTTAACAAGATATTGGTATGTTCGATTTGATGGTGCATTTTTGAACACATATAGACCAAAAAATAAGCACCGAAATTTCGTTGTAGTATCCCCTTAAAGGGGTGCTCCGCCGATTTCTTCATGGTCCCCGATTTGCTTAAATTTTGCTAAACTCGCCAAACAACATCCCAAAATAGTATCCCAAATATTAGGTCAAAATAACTGTTTGTCACGAAGTTATTGAATTTACAATTTTGGTCCTCACCGTGTTTTTCAAAATGAAGGTCTCTACTGGCAACAATGAAAAAGTGACGTCAGTGGAAGTGCAGGGGTTCACTCTTTGGACTGTAGAATTTGTTCCCAACTGATTCGAAGCAGTTTCATGGTGTCAAATGAATGCTTTGGAAGCTCGCTCCAGGACCCGCGCTCCAGCACGGAACAAATGATTGGCATATTTTATTTTTTAGACTGCTCGCCCGACTGGCAAGCTTACCTTCCACTGACGTCACGGCCCTGAAAAGGGCAGGAATATTTGAATGTTTGTTTTTGCATCATTTTCATTTGCTGATTTCGCAAGAACTATTATGAATTTCACGATACTAAATAGCATACCAGAAAGGGTAAAGGCCGAGGAGTCAGAAAATATAGTTAGTTGAGGTAGCTCAAAAATCGGCGGAGCACATGAGCGGACGCACCTTCCTGCCTTCCGGCCAAAGGAGGCCTTGCAAAGTGGCTCCTATTCTGATGTCGCTGCGACGTTGACCCGGAAATAAGAGCCACTGGGCCGTGTTGGCTCCTACTTTAATATCGCTCCCCGCTGTTATTGTGTCTGGCAAAATAAATATTGCGTTACTTATCTTTTTCTTATCTTTTAAAAGAGATGCATCTTGAATGGGTGGATGCAACACACAGAACGTGGAATCCAAAAACAGATTTTTTTGTAACATGTGGCCTATTCAGGCAGTTCTTAAAGTATATATTCTTGGGAGTTCAGTGTTCCTCTTAGGTGAAACAGACTATAACCCGAAAGAAACCTTGTACGTCTTGAAGGTTAACAAAGTCTATGCGCCAAGAAACTGAGGGAGAGGGAGACAAGAGCGTGTGATGATGTCAGAAACAGAACGCCGGGCTCTGGTTAAAATAATTAGTTGCACTCACCAAATGCGTTTGAACGCGAGAGCCAGATTCCGGCGTTCCGCATTCTAATACATTCGACAAGCGCAGTGGAACCAACAAAATGGCGCCGCCCAGAGGGCCCTTAGTAGAGTTATGGTGCCCAGAACGCGTCTAGGAACCGACACGTTTACCGTGTCCTAGAAAGTAGACCTTGGATTACGCTCAACGACGTTATCGAAATGTCATGCTGTTGCCGACCGTAATCCCGGCGGCACCACAGCAGCGGCATTGGATGTGGCGGACGCTCGTTCTGCTGCAGGTTGTTCTCCAGTTTGACAGTCCGCAGAAACTTCTTCAGTTTGGATTTGGGACACTGCAACGACAGTGACCCAGTCGCTCTTTGTCCGGGACTTTTAGCGCCAATTACAAGGGTCACGACATCCGACAGCGGGACACTCCGGCTTGCCACCTCGGGACCACTTATGATGTATAGGGTGTCCCAAATCACCAGGCTCGATCTAAAATGAACCGTAAAAATCGTCACCTGCACGTAGCGATCTAAACTTTTCGTCAAAGGTGTATTTCACAGGTTGTTTTTTTCTTGTGAAATTACAAAGCATAGCTCCCTTTCTGTAAAAAAACTAGAGCCAAGAAACTTGTTAGGATCAACGGCGGATGGCGACGCAGATGACCAAGTCCAGTAGCGGGGCAGGTTTGGCGTTCATATTGATAGATGGCGCTACCTCCTTAACGAAACTGCTTGCAACCATCATGGTTTATTAAAATGAACATAACACTTTTGTAATGTACCCTTGGTTCAAAAATAAATGCGACAATAAAAGCAATAGTTAAAAAATGTGTTTGCATAACGACGGCGCTTTAGCTGCCAATGAATTTTGTGTGCGTGTCGTCTGCTTTCTTTCGCTGGTCGGCTACAGCTTCGGACGCAGCTCTCCGACGCCATCTATCAATAAGCGCGAAACGTGCCCCTCAACACGACTTGGTCGTCTGTGTCGCCGCCCGCCGTTGACCCTGGCAAGTTTTGTGGCCCTATTTTTTACAGAAAGGGAGCTACACTTTGTAATTTTACAATAGCAAAATAACGTGTGAAAAGTTTAGATTGCTACGTGCCGGCGTCAATTTTTACGGTTCATTTCAGACCGAGCCTGGTGATTTCAGACACCCTATATTAGCGTGATAAGACACTAAACACACTAGTCAAAGACGTTTTCAGGCACCATAGTGGAATGGTTTATAGGGTCTCAAAAACGCGGCCCGTGAACACCGCACGGTTGCGAGCCCCCATTCTTATATCGAGCGCTACAAGCGCCATAAATAAGTTTCATGTCGTCAATTCATTTCCGCTCGAAAAGGAACTCTGCTCATATAACGTGCTCACGTATCGTACAATTTTTCGGTTTCTTTTGGACCTAGTATTGCTTCCCTTAAATATTTGCTTCTCGTCACTTTCTTATGTAAATCAACCATAACGGCAATACCACTAAACCAGGCTACAAGCGCGAGTTTGGCACAAAGAGGCACTTTAACTGCATGAACTCTTGCTTAGCCAAGAGCAACTGCCGAAGATAAAACTATGTGCTCGGTCTTCTGACTGTCAAAAAATACCTATAAAATATGAGTGTTTTCTTATAATGCTGCTATAAAAATTGTCGGGAAAGTAAAAACTGCCGTATGAGAATATTTGTTTCCACGACTGGTGAATCTAGGGAATTGTGCGACAAGGAAAAGGCAGCGTGAATGCTCCCGTTTTATTCATAGCTGCCAGCACGTTGGCGTTTTACATCTTACCACATTAGTGGTGGGCCAAACATAGACGTATATGCAAATCAGAGGAAAAGGTGTCACTGGCAAAACGGCAAGCTTAGAAAAGGCAGAGAGCACAGTGTCCCTTCTCTAGAAAATGCTTGAGGTGTCGCTGGGAGAAAGTACTGCTTTCCAACCTAAAACAGCATCGCCGTTTCTTTTTGTCCCAAATTACCAAAATATTTCACCCCCCCTTCCCCCTCCCTCTGGTTGGCCCTTGACCTTTTTGGAGGTGGGTTTGTGACCCTTGGTCTATATGTCTAAATATTTTGGAGGACATGCTGTTGAAGTAGCACTCTTCCCTAAGCTTCGGCATCCTGAATTCAGCAACCCCACACCTTGGAATATAAGTAATTAATTTTGTTGGCTGCGGTAAGCATCACTAGCATCACATTTAAGCGGAATGTCGGCTTTCTGCGATGCAGAGCTTAATTATGCGTGCCGAAAAGCAGGGCTGCACTGCCTTTTTCTTCTGGACCCCGCATATACTTTGTGCACATAAAATGTAATATCGTTTTTGTATATCAATAGTTTCTTTACTGTCCGACTATACTCTTCTTTTTCTCCCCCCGTGTATAATGCCTTCGGGCACTTCGAGGTAAGGAAACTAAATTCAAATCTGTTTACGGACACATCAATTACACCTCGTTAGCAGCACCACCAACTAGCAAGAGGAGCAAACAAGTCGTACTGTAAAACGTCGGACGGCCTTTGCAAGCACCACATAGTTCACCGTTGGGATCAAACGTATGCCACTCAGCGTTGCCGCTAATCAAAACCTTTCACGGTCATTGGTCGAGTTCAAGATTTTCCCTGGAGGCACCTCAATGCTGGTTCAAACACTAGCGTTAGATGTCAACGGAGCGCATCATGCAGTCTTGTGCTCCCTTGTGATGGTAGATGGATGGATGGATACAGCTGAACTTTCCCAATTGGGTGGCCGCTTGGGCCACCTAGTCAAAGCCATATAAAAGAACACACTGGCACCATCTATGAGATAGCCCTAGAACTGCATTTAACTAGACATCGCCTCCGAGACTCTTAGTGCACAACACTCTCCTCTGGTCATTACATTTGCAAGGAAACTGCCATAAAGAGAAGAATTACTCACGGCCGTTTGTGCTGCACAACGAAGCTAGGTACAGGGCCACAAATTGTCATTGTTGGGCTTGCTCGGTTAGCTGCTCGTGTAGTAAAAATGCGCTCGTTTGCCTTAATTACGCTCGCTGCTTCTCACCACAACAAACATTTAGTTTTCGAGGAAGCTTTCTTAAGGTTGAAGTCCCAGTGTTGCTCCATTAAAATGGAGAAAGATGTAAAATAAATGCACCCCAGATTGTTTTCAGATAAAATGTGTGTCCAATCTTGTTGGTAAATAAGTAGTGGCGAGTCAATTAATAAGGCATAATGAAAGTTTCGGACCCCAAAATATAATTTTCTTTGCAAGACTAGGCAGGCAAAACATCATGCTCATTGTTTCCTCACAGATCACCCTTACTTTATGTTGTTTCTTTCATGATATCTTAGTTTCATTTGACCCATCGTTTCCGTTTGGTCTTCCACATCTCTCAAGTGTACCTCGGATGTATTCTTGCCACGTCTTTGCTGTCGGCAAGGCTTTGACAGCTACCGCCCTTTCGCCACAGTGGCAGTTTGTGCAACCTCTCCCACTGTTTACTAATGATCAGGGCCAGCTAGCTAGAAGCTACCTCTTAGCAAAGGATGGATAAAGAGGCACAGCCAGAGCCAGTGCACCAGCCGAGCAGCATTTGGCAGAAGGTAATGAGAGGCAAGTCTATAAGAGCCAAATCCGGGACATACCGTTGTTTTGACAGAGACAACGCGGGACTCGGGATACTTCGCGAAAAGTCGGGGCAGTCCCACAAAATTCGGGACGATTGGTGACCTACTTGCAGAGCTCTAGAGAAGCTGGACTATAAGCTCCAGCTGGGTAAACAAGTATTTAGAAGGGCCAGAGGAGAGTTTTGTGTGCCAAGAATCTCCGAGGTCAAACTAAGGAAAGTCTTGCAGTATATGCATCGTATAAGAAATAGTTGTTTGTAACATTGTCAAAGGTTTTGCAAACCCATGGTGGAAGATGGATGCATACTCTTGTCCTAAGCGATCACACGGCTGCACAACGTATTCGGCGGCGACCAAAGCGCAAGCGCGTGATCCAGCCTTCATAATCGACCTTAACCTACTCGCCTGCGGCAGCCAATGACCGTTCGAACTCGCGCACGAGCTCCTCGTGCTTGAAGGATAGAGGCTCGCGATTGAAGTTCCACAGCAGCAGCTTCTTTTTGAGCTCGCTCCCACCGTAGTACAACTGGAGTTGATTGACCAGGCACTGCGCCTGCGCCGGCCCCAACAGCCCGGGGTCGTACTCCCCACTCATGAGTGTGACCCCGCGTTCCGGACTGAGTTCGGTGCGAAACGTGAGCGACAAGCACGGCGGCGCTTCGCTGGCGTATCGCTGGTAGGCAGCCAGCGGCGTCATGTGGCACTGGTCGCCGAGAAACTGGGACAACACGAACTCGTAGCCGTTCTCACGTGGTAGGGGAAACAGGAACACGGGGAACTCGAGGGCGCGCTCGTGGATCCTCTCGTAAACTGCGCTCGGCAGCACGGCACACACGGCATCCCTGTCCGAGTGCAGCTTTCTCCACGCTTCGGTCAACTCCGAGCTGGACTTGCCCCGCAGCTCGAGCAGGGTGTCGGGGTCTAGCGGCTTGGGCTTGGTGTAACTGGGCTGTTTCGACCGCGGTTCGGGACGAGGTTCGGAGGCCGAAGATGACGAGACGTCGGCCGAAGCAGGCGGGGATGGAGTCGGCGGTCCCGCGCTGCTGGCTGTGAGGCGGCGTTTGATTTCTTCCGGATCGCGCTGCTCGAGCTCCTTGATTTTGTGAGCGTACTTGGAGTAGTACGGGTTTCTGCTGACGTCGGTGTTGTCGCTGAGGGGTCGGAAAAAGAACTGACGTTTCGGATGTCGTCGCAGAAGGTTTGAAAGTCGGCACGTTTTAGTGAGAAAGGACATTTTTGAAAGACGCACAAGGGGAAACGCCATGCGCGGCAGCAGACTTGGCTTGGCCGGTTGGCGATATGAGAGATAAAACTAAAATCAGAAGAAACTAGTTCGGGAACAAGTGTACGAATGTGACTCAATGCTCTGACTCTTATGTAGAACGTTGATGTTGATAAATACATGCTTTTTATGTAAATATCGCCTTTGGGTTACCTGTAGTCTCAGAGTTTTCAAAGTTCCCCAAGGTCTGGGTCTGGGTCGCGGGAAGTGCGAAACGACGGCTAATAAACTGCTGCTTTTACTGGCCGGATCAAATTTTGGAGTAGAGACAAGCCTATCCAATTTGAGCACTGAGTTTGGCTTTGCCGTCGCCGGCTACTTTGCCCGGTGTTTTTCGACCGCGAAGTGCGCGAAACGCTAATTTTGCTGCGGTGTCGGCGGTGTTGTTCCGTGTTGCTGACTTCGCTCAATGCGAAGATGTCGTTCACGTGCGAAAACACGCGCGTGATGCGGGCCATCCGCGAGTTCTCCGATATGTTCGCTGTCGAGCGATCGTCGGACGCCAGCACCGAGGACGGAACGGCGGTTCGCCACCTTGACTTCAGCCCAAACATCAACGGGAGACGAAGTGACAGCCTCGCCGACATTAAGCCCGCGTCAGGTAAGGGTCTCGCTGGGTCGACGCGGGGCCAGTTCTTTCCGCAAACATCGCGAAAACGTCGGCTTGGTGGTATCTTGTGTCTTTACGTCGATGCCGTTCCTGTGCACTTCCGTCAACGAGCGCTACCTGCAGTCTTGGTTAGTAATGCATTACAAGAAACACGTTTTACAACTTCGTTACTTTAAGAGAGAAGTCTTCTGGCACGCTTCCAATCACGTTGACGCGCACTCCTCTAAAAGCTGTGGTGGTGTGCATCCGAAACCGCCGACGCCCTGGAGAACAAACCGACTCTCTGAAGACAACTAACCCTTGTGCTAAATGCTAACGGATTTCGTCAGGAATCAGCATAGCAACAGCAGCGATTTCAGCATCATTTTTTTTGTTAATTTTTATCTCAATTCATTACTTTTTGAAAATGTAGCTGTAACTGGAGAGCACGCAACCTCCTTTCCAGCGTTCGCTCTGCTAAAGTGGAAAGAGGTGAGAGTATCTTCTCCCGACCGTTTAACCTCTCATCAATAGTACGTGGCTTGCGTTGACGTCTCATCAGCAGCCATTGCTCCGGACCATGCTCCGGTGCCCGTACCTTCTGCGGCATACATTTGGCAAGCCTTGCCAAGAAGAACTAATTGACCTTTTTCAGAGTTTTGCCATGATCGTGGCGCGCCCTCGCGGGAATCCCTCGAAACACTTTTGGTGGCTCCGGGACCGTCTCTCCGTCGTCCGTGCCAGGCGTGGCTTGTCTCCCGGTCTATGTGTTTGCGTGTGTTCTCTGGGGGCGTTGTTCCGTCCTTCACCAACCTGAACGTGTCTTTCTGTCGTCGCTTCGCGTGCACATTTTCTTCGAAATGGCTGAGAACGACCTGGAGGATTAACAAAAGTCAACGTCTAGGATACAGAGGACCTTGTTCGTTTTTATACCTTCAGGGATGGATAGACCGCCGACGCCGCATCGGTTCTTACCATCGACTCGGAGCCACTTCATCGTCACTTCGGTGTCGCGTCTTGCAAGCAACTAAAAAAGGGGTCTGCTTTCAAAGCAGAGTCGCACAGTGTTATGTAAGGAAAGTAATGGTGACCAGCCTGGATACCGACCCAACCATCCACCTTGTGCGGAGCTTATGAGCACCGTTTATGAGGCCCGGCCACTACAAACAGCTGATTTTACTCTCCTTGATCGCTTAATTTATTCAAGCTTATCGCGTCCGTCACTTCGCCGTCCGGCATACCGCGCAAGGGCACGGGACAATGCCGTATTCGGGAATGTGTAAACAAACTCGGACGGTGCGAAATCTGGGCCGTCTTGATATAGCCAAAGATGGCCTGCACCGTCAAAAAGTAAGGAATGGTGTGTTAGAAACAATCCATCTTTGAATTCGGCATGTTTACGAATTTTCGACAAAGTGGGCCCAGCAAACAGGGCAAACAGCAAACAGCATCAAGTTCACGGTTGGTTGCCAAGAAATTTCATCAAGGTTCTGTCTCCGTAAGGCTTAAATTCGTTTCGCTCGCTTTAAATGTTTTGTCTTTTCTTTTTTGGTGTGGCAAGACGCGAATGTGTATAGCGCACGGAAGAGTCAAGCATAACCAACACTGTCTGAGCGACCGAGCGGGCGAGAGAGCCACCAAAAATGGAGCCTTTCCCTTTCTTCTCTCTCAGAGTCGGCGCATGCGCCCAGCGATCTCTGAAAAAGGTCCATTCGACGGTGCCAAATGTACGCTGCAGTAGATACGGGCACAGGAATGGTACGGAGCAATGGCGGCTGGTATGGTGCCATGTGACGTCTCGTGCAGGGCATGTGTAGGGTGTTTTCACATGACGTCAATCCACCATTTTGTTAGTCTTTTTTTTTTTAAGCATATTCATTGATTTGACGGATTATACGACCTCTTAAGAAGATGTCGTTGTGATGAAACTCGTAAGCACTACGCATTTGAGGGGTCATGCGAGTCCTTGGAATGCTCGCCATCTGCACATGCCAGACTGCTCGTAACAACAAAAGTTTGGACGAAATTACGTCAGCGTAAACATCCTGTAGTCATCCCTCGGCTTTTACCAAATTAGGTGTTTCGACATTTCGAGTGCCATGATAACTTTGCGCCAACTTGTGAATACATAGTTTCTTACAAGTCGTGCTAGTTATTGTTACACACACACTTGTTCTTTGTGACCGAACACTTACATGGTGATAATGATGACCAACTTGTTAAGGGACACTGACAGGGTGCTTATGCATGCCAATGTTTTTGAGAGCCCAACTACCCAGAACACAATTTGTGGCTCGAAATTTATATTCTTTCCGCCCAACCGCTGGTCGAGAATTGACCGGTTTCAGGTGCACTCACTCTCTTTTCCATGGTCACGCGCCATGGGAACTGATGCTCTGATTTGGTGTGCATCAAATCGATGCATACCAAATATATTCATTGTCGTTGGTCATCTAAGGCACACATTCAGTACTAAAAATAGAAAAGAATGTGAACCCAATTTTTTCGGGGCTAAAGCACGCATTCAATATAAAAATCAGAAAAGAATGTGAACCCCATTTTTTGGGGCGTCCAAAAAACTGCAAATGCATTGATCGAAAAAAATCGTTGCACAGATCACAGTAGATGTACACGTCAATCTCAATGTGGCGATGTACCGCGGGCTGGACGATGCGATGGTGGCGCATGACGGACCAACGTTGTGACGGACGTGGGCCCGCTACTTCGGAACCGTGGTTCGTGGTACCGGCCAACCGATCTTCAAACACAGAACAGCAAGGGGAAGGGATAGGGTCCCTATCGTTTCATGGAATTACGTTTCGTGGACTACTTTTCATGAACATGGATTTCGTCAACACTAAGGTTTCATTACACTCGTTACATGAATAGCACACTGTAAGGACATTTCATTGCGCGGGTAACACTGAGGTGCATGTTAAAACATCCGCACCACCCTTTATGCTGCTTTGCAACGACAGTCTGCGGCGGCTCGTTGCAAAAATGTAAATCCACCAGACCAACCCGTAGACGCCGCTTCGCGGCGGCAGTTTCATGCAGCTTATTACAGCCTTTAGACCTTTGGTCCATTCTGTTCACAAGCAATTTTTTTTTTCTTTGTAGACAGGATTGGTCAAGTATTGGGGGTGTGTTTGTTGCCTGTTAGAGACACTGCTGCATCATAGTCTAACCAAAACTTTTTGTCGTGTCTGCCGTTAAAGACAGACGACCAGTTCGCGCCTTGCACTTTTCCCCCGCTTCCTCCTTTCCCCCTTCTACCCTGTCCACTGTTGCCTGTTTCCTTCTCCACCATGGTGAAAAGGATCTATCTGCCTTGAAGAATCTCTGGTATGGATGTCGCCCTTTAAGTTGGATGAATGTTTGGCTAGTTCAGTCAGGTTAAAACTTTCTTTGGTTGCTACCCAAGCAAGTTTGATATGAGAGGCTGGAATTAGAGCAACCTGGGTGATTTGCTACTCGGAGGTGTCATCAAATCAACGAGTCTCAACGTCCAGCTAAAGAGGTGTCCAGCTTCGGAAGTTTGTCGTGTCATTCAACTGGATGTTAAAAGGTGACCGAAATTTTTAATGACTGGCCATGCTGTAGAGTCCTCTCGTAATGTGGATGGCAGCCTGATGACATAATTGTCAGCGTGTTAATGCACAGGGAAGGCTAGGAAACTCTTCAACAGTGGAATCTAATTTGGGGCGAGAACTTCAATGAACGGAAGGGCTGCACTTAATTTATTAGGAACCGACAGACAAACATGGCACCGAATTCCACAGAACAGTGCATTGCTGAAGCCTGCTTGTCACAATGGTTTTTCTGCGGAAGGGGCAATGTCCTCTTTAGGTGTTGAGATCTTAAGAGTTAAGGTGTCCTTTTTGAGTGTCGACATCTGGGCCCATCGATAGTTTAGCCCCATGTTGACGTAAAAAAAAAACTCTGTCCGAATTCTGAGCTCAAAACATGCTTTTTGTCTAAGGCTCATAAAAATATTAGGTGGTGGAAACAATTTGGTGTCTGCATTAAAGGGATGCTGAACCGAAATCTGGATTCCACAAAGCACAGCGGCAAAAGCCTGCAACGGGATGCCACAAACATCAAAACCTCACTTGTACGACGACATATAGAACGGATGACCATATTTTTAAAAAAAAGGAGGCGCATTTGACAGATATGTTCTCACGTCTTGTTTTTCCAAGAAGCAAAGGGAACGGCCTCACGTCTTCTCCGCCTCGCCGCCTTGAGATAGCGAAACGAAGAGAGGAGGAAACGAGATATCTTGGACGTTATGCGCCTCGTCGGCCTCGTTCGATCTCGACCTTTTTTTTTTTTAAATATGGCAGTCGATGTGAGATATCGCCTTACAAATAGTGTTGTAAAGATTGTAGCGTCCCGCCTACAGCTCCTGCATTGTTTTCTGAAATCCAATTTTCGGTTTACCATCCCTTTAAGCCCTTTGCCGTGTTCTACGATTTACTCAATCTCACTTGTAGGTAAAGGTTTCGTACCTTGGCATCCGAAAACCTACGTTGCTCTATTTGTCTTGTCATGTGACGTGATCCGCCGGAGCAACTCGAATACATTCGAGTAAAATCTGGAACACAGCCCTAATTTCACTCTTTTTTTTTCACATTCCACACATTGAAAGGCACAGCAAAAGGGCTGAAGTACGCACGTGACCGCACGACACCACCGTCTCCTTCTGCTATGCTTACTGTCACCATCTGCTATGCTTACTGTCACCGTGGCAACAAGACATCTCCCAAATAGACGGACATGCAAATGCAGAAAGTCATTGCAGCGACGCTAGCCGAAGCTGGTCGCACCGGCACGGGGACGGCCCTAAAAGTGGCAAATGGTTACCTCATGAACCCTCAGTGGATCCGACAAGGCTTAAGGAAAGCTCGGGTCAGAGATTATGATCAATATTCCCGTGGTCTGCTTGGAAGACTAGCTTGTAGCACCCAGAAGAGGCTCCATCGAGCCGTTACTTCGTCGTCAGTTAGCAGAAGCTATTCGGGAGATGGCGTTAGCCGTTGCTGGCTTTAGACGCTGCGTTCTTGGGTGCATCTATCTAGGAGACGCTTTGTTGCCATGGTGGCGGTGACTATAGCAGACAGACTTTATTGTACAGCAGGAGACGGCAGTGTGGCGAGATCAGGCGTGTGCTTCGGATCTTTTGCCGTGCTTTTCGATGAGTAGAATAAGAACGAAAAGATTTTTAAATAAGGACTTGACACAGTTAGCCGAGTTTTCCCTGCACCTAACATTTTCCTAAGTGTTTCGCAAGAAACTCGTTTCTTTGGCCACCCGACGGCCATTTTGTTTCTTCTGCATCGGGAATCTGCGGTATCAAAGTGGCCGACATCTTGATGGTTAAAATGGTTCCTTGGGCTTTGTGGGGTGCAGTGATTAACGCAGCAGAGGTGGACTCGCTGAAGGCGGAACTCCTGGCCTCCAAGGCAGAGATCAGCCGCCTGACACTGGAGCTGTCGCAGAGCGAGCCCGCACGCAAGGTGCTGCTCGTCTGCCAGGCGAGGGAGGTGGATGAGCTCAAGGAAAGCCTCCAGGTAGGACTCCCCTTCCTAGAGGGTCCCTGGAAACATACTTTAACGAGGCACTTGTGCGTGCCTACAGGCTGTTTGCAAATGCTATTTAGTCATAAAAAAAAAAAAAAAAAATTTGCCCGGGCAATGGATGTGCTATAACACTTGATGTGGTTTTCAACGAGCAGCACTTCTATCTGAATTCAGCGGAGACGTTTCCTCGCTAAAATTAGCGAGGAAATTATGATGTCATGTTATGTGACCCTGTGGGATGTAAGATCATGATGTAACATGACACCGTGATGTCACATGATATTGCAACATCGTGCGGCGAGTTCAACACGAGCAAGAAGAGTTTGTGGGAATTCTCGGATAATGCTATCGCCTCAAAAAGCCTCTTACGCGCAAAAAAAAAAAATTGTTTTCATGCTAGGCGTTAATATGCTGTATCAGGACATCACCAAAACATTTTTTCACTATAAATTTGCGTAGCTTTTTATAAAAAATAGAAATACGAAGTCCAATTCAAAGTGCCCGCCAGTGCCCTGTGACGTAACTATGTACTGCAAGATGTCGGAGCAGTCAGAAGGGAGGCATCGCCAAAAGTCACGGGAGTTGTACCACTTCTTGTGCTTACTGCGACCGCGTGTAATATTTTTTCATATTTTTGTTATTCTCTGCACCTCCACAATCAATCCAAGCAGACAAGGTTTCTTTTATTTGCTTTTCATCGCCTAATGTTGCTGTAAAGGTAGAAAAGGGGTCAGTGAATTGACTTGTACTTGGTACACTCACCAGTTCGTATTCTCTAGACGGCAGACATCTTCATCTTGAAGAGTATCCAATGATTCAAGGACCTCGGTGTCTGAACCTTCAGCAATGTGATTGGGCGTGTTGTATGCTAGCAATTCTAATTTCTGCGAGTGTTCTAAAATTCTTTTTTCAAAACTATAGATTGCTTTGTGCCCAGTATGGCTCATCATTGTCGCACTGATGGCATGCACTAATACACTGGCTTGTACTCGCAACGCTTTCATCTTTGACCTCCATCACGTCGATTCACTGACTCTTCGTCCCCAACTTTTACAGCACGCAAACTAACCAATGGTGCAGCGTTAAAAGGCTAGTGGAACTGAAACTTCGTTTTCTATGATCGCTCATGGAGAAAACCACAATAATGAAACAAAAAAAGTCTTAGGCACGGTTGTGGAGGGCACGAGGAATGAAACTCGCGTGACTTCCGGCGAACCCACTTTTAGTGACGTAGGTCAATGCCTCTCTTCTGACCGCCCCGACACCTTATGGCACATAGTTACGTCACAGGGCACTGGCAGGCACTTTGAATTGGGCTTTGTATTTCTATTTTTGTGTAAAAAAACTATGCAACTCTCAAGTGAAACAATTTTTCGATGATGTCCTGATAAACCATTTTAACGCCTAACATGAACAAAAAAAAAATTTTTTTTTTGGTGTGTCAGAGGTTTTTTAAGATATAAATACGCCAACAAACAGATTGCGACGAAACTTCCACAAAGGCGTCTTTGGTGTGGCGCATATACCACCCCATGTTTTGCGAGCGTAGGTTTCTGAGAAAAAGAAAACGGGAGGAACGACAAACAAGCCATTCTTATGTACGGGGAGAGAAAAGGAAACATTGTCTGGTTGACGCTGCTACTCACTGATGACACCACACGGAACAGAAACCTGGAAGCTTCTTTGAGATGGACATCCGAAAGCATATCTAGTAGATTCGAGCGTGTGTGGCGCCTTGTACGAGTAGCAACGTCATTCATGCTTTTTGTTCCCTGTGCATAGCAACAACACATTTTTATTCTTTAGCTTTTTTTTTTATACATTAGCATTTATTGTTTTGGTGCATGCAGCCGTTTTTCATTTGGACGGTCGTGGTTTGGACTGGACCGGACTAGTTTTGTGAGACCACGGCGTGGTTCCCACTGTGCTATTTCGCTTCGTTCGTTCGCTCATTATGTTCACTTCCCCTCTTGTAAGTGGATGTAATGCCCTGCACTGAATGCTAACGCATTTCATCGAGAATCAGCGTAGCAACAGCGGCGATTTCGGCACCATTCCTTCAGAAACCTACACTCGCTAGATTTGGTTGTGATAAATGATAACAAAAGGATCCTGCTTCCACATTTGATGAAACCGATGCCAAAATAGTTATTGGCACCGAAACATGGTTAACTCCCCATTTGCTTAACGAGGAGCTTTTTCTGAGTGAATTATTTTATCTATTTCTTAAAGTTTGTGCATTGTCAAGGGGGGGAGGAGTTCTCATTGCAGCTAGCAAATCTATTGCTGCGATGCCGATCTTTATATAGCGACCTAGAAATAGTTTGGGTCCGATTAGAATTTGCTTGTTCGCTACTTATTCCTGGCGTCTGTTACTGCCCACCGGGATGGGACAGCAGTTTTTCAGAACAAATGTTTGAGTGCTTTGAAAGTATCTTCTATTGCTACTCCCATTCTTGTATGATGTTAGGCGGGACTTTAACTACCCGAGTGTGAACTAGAAAGAAGGAAAAATTGAAACCTCATGTTCAATCCCAGTTGAAGCCTTTAATTTCCTTGATATAGTAAGCGGTTTTAACCTTCTTTAAGTCATGACTCAGCCCACCAGAAACTATGCTTTGCTAGACTTAGTTTTCGTGTCTTACCCTTGTGATATTAAGACAGTTCATGTTCTTGATAAAATCATTTACCATAATATTGCTTTTATTGAAACGTGACTTCCAATCGAACATAGAATTATAGCACCAAAAGTAATTTATGACTACAGTAAGATCAATGAAAACGCCCTTGTTGCTTCTTTTTAAGGTTTTCTCGTCTACATACTTGTGTGATTTTCCTAACAGATCTGTTGATTCAAACTAGAATATGCTAAAACATAGTTTAAAAGACTAAAGTTTACTTTCACCCCAAAAATTGTACTTAAAACGAATGCTGAACGGCCATAGTTTTCTAATTGCTTAAAATTATTGTCCAACAACAAGAAAAAATGTCTGTTTTCGAAAGCAAAGTTAAGGGACCTTGCTTCAGATTGTTCTAATTAGACAGAAAGCAAAAAACAAGCATTACATGAGTCATCTCCTAAATTTATTGAAAACTAATCCTAAAAAATGTTGGAAGACCATTGGTCCCAAGAAAGACCAAACTTTGCCCAGTATCTATAATGATCACTAATAGGAGCTGTCCCACCATGAGTCAGCATCCGTCTTTAATGAGTATTTTGTATCTGTCTTTACCGAGGAACTGTTTCCCTTACCATATGGTTCAATATGTGTTTCGCCTACTGTATTATATGAGCCTGTCACATTTACACGAGAAAGAATTTTGGCCAGTATTGACCAATTTTCCCTAAGCCCTGCTCCTGGAGATTATGAAATATGTCCAAAACTCCTTAAAATAACTTGAACAATACCTTCTCACTTGCTTTCTCTTATTCTCAAGCAGTTAGTAGAACAAATGTACCTTCCGGCAGACTGGAGGTTTGGGAAAGTGTTGCCACTTTTTAAATCTAGAGAAAAAAATAATGTATGGAATTATAGACCAATATCCTTAACAAGCATACCATGTGAAATGATGGAGCATATTATATATTACCATGTTATATTAGCTATTTATGTGATTATCACCTCCTCTGCACTAACCAAGATGGCTTTGGGAAAGGTTTTTCATACGAAACCCAACTTTTTGAACTTGCTACTTATTTGCACGACAATATCACTGCTTATAAAACTACTGGTGCCATTTTTATTGATTTTGGTAAAGCTTTTGATAGTGTACCTGACCAATGTTTGCTCTGTAAGCTAATTCAACTCAACATTCATCCCGCTATCATATGTTGGATTGCTAACTTTCTCAATAACCGTAAGCAAGCCGCATATTTCATTTCATTTCATTTATTGAACCCTTAAATGCCCACAGGGGGCTTTACATAAAGGGGGGCACATTTAAACACTCAAAATAACACAAACAGGAAAAAAGGCTAGGATGTTTGTGAACGCGTACAAACAGGATGCTAGGTGGTGACGAGAGAAGAAATGGCAGATCTGAAGTTATTGCATTGGATTTGCATTGGGAAGAGAAACTCTCCCAAATTATCAGTGAACCAGTGAAATTGGGGGTTCCACAGGGCAGCAGGCACGTAGCCAGGATTTTGTTTTGGGGGGAGGGCCCGCCCATGACAAAATGCTGTATGAGGGGAAGGGGGGAGAGGAGGTCCCAACGAAGTAGAAGATTTCGGGGGGAGAAGGGGGGGCCCAGGCCCAGGCCCCATGGGTCCCCCCTGGCTACGTGCCTGCAGGGCAGTGTCCTTTGACCACTTTTATTTCTACTATATATTAATGACCTCCCACTCAACTCATCATCTTATATAAGATTCTTTGCGGATGACTGTGTTGTTTATCGTCGCATCACTAACCCGGATGATCAACCACTACTATAACAGGATCTGAACATAATTTTACTTTGGTGCAACAGACGCCAACTAAAACATAAATACAAATAAAACTAAATATGTATCATTTTCCAGCCGACCCCCTCCATCACTAAGGAAATATACACTCAACCACACAGGTATAGAAACAGGTAGAACTTACAAATACCTAGGAGTCACATTTGCGGGGGACCTCAACCTGGAATGATCACATCAATAACACCGTGTCCAGTGCATGTAAAGCGCTAGGATACATTAAACGCTATCTTTTTCGCTCATCAATAAACTGTAAAACTGACTGCGTATAAAACATTTGTCAGGTCAAAACTAGAATACGCTAACATCATCTGGTGTCCTCATCAAGCATATCTCATCAACAAGCTCGTACCAGTACAAAATAAAGCATCACGTTACATCACTCATGGCTACTCGTATACCTCGAGTGTCGTAGCTAATAACAAGAACCTAGACTTTAGACTACCAATCGATAAAACCCAACTTGCCCGTCTTGTTTTCTTTCATGGCATCTACTATTCGTCGTCTGAGTTTCGCAGCCTACCATCTC